GGAAGGGCGGAGGGGGCGGGAACCATATGGAGCGCCGTGGAGCGGGAAGGGCGGATGGGGCGGAGCGGGAAGGGCGGAGGGGGCGGAAAGGGCGGAGGGGGCGGGGAGGGCGGAGAGGGCGGGCAGGCACTGGGACCCTTTAAAGTCAGCTGATAGGGTCCAAAGCCGTGAAGCCATGGCATGAGCCATTAAGGGTGAGAGGCATGGGGCCATGAGGCCGAGGCGGCGGAGAAGGCGGAGGAAAAGGTCCAGGGACATGAGGCCGTGGGAGCCATGGGGCATGGGACCAATGAAGCCAGGAGCGCCATGGAGCGGGAAGGGCGGAGGGGGAGGGGGCGGAAAGGGCGGAAAGGGCGGAGGGGGCGGGGAGGGCGGAGAGGGCGGGCATGCACTGGGACCCTTTAAAGTCAGCTGAGAGGGTGCCATGGGAGCCATGGGGCGGGATGGGACCATGGAGCCATGGGGCCAGAGCCCCTAGAGCGGACAAAAATGGGTCTGGCCAAAGCTCCTAGAGCGGACAAAAATGGGCATGGGGCCATGGGGCCGAGGCGGCGGAGAAGGCGGAGGAAAAGGTCCAGGGACATGAGGCCGTGGGAGCCATGGGGCATGGGACCAATGAAGCCAGGAGCGCCATGGAGCGGGAAGGGGGGGAGGGGGCGGAAAGGGCGGAAAGGGCGGAGGGGCGGGGAGGGCGGAGAGGGCGGGCATGCACTGGGACCCTTTAAAGTCAGCTGAGAGGGTGCCATGGGAGCCATGGGGCGGGATGGGACCATGGAGCCATGGGGCCAAAGCCCCTAGAGCGGACAAAAATGGGTCTGGCCAAAGCCCCTAGAGCGGACAAAAATGGGTCTTCACTGACGCCGCCCCGCTGCTGCTGGGGTCGGCGGATAAGTGTTTACGAAGATCAGGGTACCCTTATATATAAAGGATCCCCACATAGTATGGTTCCTTTAAAACAAGGACCACAAAAAGGTACCAACACCCATATCCACGAACAAACAAGAACTCTTCATCTTGGGAATTCAATCCATCTACATTCCAAGGCAGCCGGGTCGTGGCCCTCATCACACTCTACGCTCGCGGCGCTGATGTGGCGACAGTTCGCTCTTCGTTTCAGGCGTCCGAATCAGAGATTCGTGATGCCAGAGCATGGCCAGAACATGGCGTTCTCTCATCATACCGGCTACTTCAGCATAAAGTGCATCATCAAAGACAGGTTGCCCGGCGTTGCGCGATGAGCCACCTGCGACTTAGACTTGAAACTTTGTGGAGGCTTGGTTCGCGTTCACGCGACAACGCCGAAGAGGTACGGTTGCTCGGCTGAACGAAACGAAGCTTGCTATGAAACCGAGCAGCTGTGCAGAATTCAACAATCTTGGCCCAGAAAGAAGAAGCCTTTGTGCTGGATGCATATGGTCACTACCAAGAGGCAACGCTGATACAGATCTCTACGCCGCAGCTACAGAGAATAGTATCAGTGTGTGGAGGGCTCGAAGAGACATGCGATGTAAAGGAAGGTCATGCAGGGATCCCCAACCACAACTTCTTGCAACTTTGGTGGTGCTGGAGGCTTGTGAGACGAGGGGGATGGATGTACTGCAACCTGCCATGTCCGTCTGTTCCGTCATGCAACCCTTTTCACCACAAGCCGGCCTCAGGCCCAGCATCATGAGCATCACCGGCTGCACTTTTCAAAGCAGCCGGTCACCCCCGCATCATGAGCATCAGTGGCTGCGCTTTTCACTGCAAACTGGCCTCAGGCCCAGCATCATGAGCATCAGCGGCTGCGCTTTTCACCGCAAACCGGCCTCAGGCCCAGCATCATGAGCATCAGCGGCTGCGCTTTTCGGCCTCAGGCCCAGCATCATGAGCATCACCGGCTGCGCTTTTCACCGCAAGCCCTCAGGCCCGGCATCATGAGCATCACCGGCTGCGCTTTCCAAAGCAGCCGGCCACCCCCGCATCATGAGCATCAGTCACTGCTAACTGGCCTCAGGCCCAGCATCATGAGCATCAGCGGCTGCGCTTTTCACCGCAAACCGGCCTCAGGCCCAGCATCATGAGCATCAGCGGCTGCGCTTTTCGGCCTCAGGCCCAGCATCATGAGCATCACCGGCTGCGCTTTTCACCGCAAGCCCTCAGGCCCGGCATCATGAGCATCACCGGCTGCGCTTTCCAAAGCAGCCGGCCACCCCCGCATCATGAGCATCAGTGGCTGCGCTTTTCACTGCAAACTGGCTTCAGGCCCAACTCAGGCCCAGCATCATGAGCATCACTGGCTGCGCTTTTCAAAGCAGCCGGCCGCAAGCCCCGCATCATGAGCATCAGCCGGCAACACTTTTCACGACAAACGGCCACAGGCCCAGCATCATGAGCATCACGCCCGGCATCATGATCAGCATCATGAGCATCAGCTGGCATCCCTAACTGCAAGCCGGCCACAGGTCCCGCATCATGAGCATCAGCCGGCAACCCTTTTCACCGCAACCCGGCCTCAGGCCCAGCATCATGAGCATCACCGGCTGCACTTTTCAAAGCAGCCGGCCACAAGCCCCACATCATAAGCATCAGCCGCAGCACTTTTCACATCACGTCCAGCACCATGATCAGCATCATGAGCATCAGCTGGCCACCCTGTTGGCTGTAAGCCGGCCTCAGGCCCGGCATCATGAGCATCACCGGCTGTGCTTTTCACTGCAGCCGGCCACAGGCCCCGCATCATGAGCATAAGCCGGCAACCCTTTTATCGCATTGCGTTCAGCCGAAGCCTGACACATGGACATTGTCAATGATGCTCCCCGCCCCCCCCCACCCTCTCCTCATCATCCCTTTCAAAAAAGCAACTGCGCGGAATAGAATTGCTGAGCGAACGAGCGAAGATGCTTGGGGGGTCCATCGGAGGCTGCGAGGTTACTGCTGTACAGTATCTCAGGCGAGACTGGTCGGCCACTACGTACCTTGGCAGACAGCTGGTTTGATGCCGCTTTGTGAGACCTTGTTCTCAATGGTTTCATACACCAGGGTCGCCAGCCCCCTACCGTAATCAAAAAAGAGTTCCCGTGAACTTGATCTCCAGTGAACCAGCGCAGAGCACGAGGCAGCAAAGCAATGAGCAACTGATAGAAATGAGTTTCTGGCGAACCCAGTGTGCTCTCCACCTCCCGCCCCCCTTGTTACAAAGAAATGTGCCGTTCTGGTGCCGGCTGTCAGGGTTTCTCTGCGCACCCCTTCCGAGCTATCCCCAGGAGCGGCTGTGCCAGGATCGCTCAAGAAGTTCAGATCAGACGTGACTTGGACGTTCTTTCTGTAGAAGGTGCGAGGGGTTTTGTGCTCGGTTCCTGCAGGTTTGTACAGAGGGTCCGCGATCAAAGTTGCATGAGCCCAAACCACACTTGTGGAAGCAATGCTGGAATCCCAATGCTGGCATCAATCGGGCGAATATACCTGATGCAACATGCCCCACAAACATGCTGGGCCGGGGAGCCTTCGCCCTTGCAAGTTGTGCGTCCTACTCGTACATCAACTTACTCGGCTACTGGGCTCGATGCTTTCGTTCACTTGATCCAAAAAAGTTCAGCTTCATAGACACCACTTCCTGAGCTTGAAGTGGGCTCCTGTCCAGTCAACATTGCCTAAACGATGCTCCTGCAGTTGGAAGGACTTCCCACCAAACAGCTTGCTGTCCCAGCGACAAAATCAAACTCTTTCATTATCATTCATTGCCCATCTTTGGCAAACAAGTATGTAAAGCGCGCTGAAGCTGATGCCCGCGCTGGCCACGAATTGTTGGGTGCGAGTTTATGCGATCAGCTATGGATGTGAGCAAAGTGGCTAAGTCTCTTTATGGTCACTCGTGCGCTTGTCAGAAGCTTGGTACCTGCCGGATGGGATTGCTTCCGCATGCTTCCGCCCTATCTCCATCCCAGTTTAACAAGCAGCCTTCAAGAGAACTTTGCTACGTCAATTTCGTCACTGGGCCAAAACGAAGAACGTTGTTCAGCTTTCTGGAAATTGGCCTGAGGCAATCTTCAGAGTCTCCGAAGCATGAGCGCCAAAGAATGCGGACTTCCTTCTGCGAAGAAAGATCGGAGACCCAGCTTTTCCCTGACAGGTCGGTGGCACGTGGCTTATCTGTGCCCACAGCATGCAACTTGAGTAAGTGCCCACTGGCCGGTTCTAGCTCTCTCGGGCTCAAGCTTTGCCTTGACCCCATCCACAAGGAAGGCCGGGCGGATTCTGTCTAAACGGGGTGCAGCCTTGGCCCCATGGGGCGGTGGAATGTTCTGCAATTATCTGCTTCTGCATGCATGTATTTGCCGTGAATACATGAATGCAAATCAAAATGTACAGTACAGTAGATCTCTATATATATACACATGTAGATGTGAAGAAATACAAAGAAACATGAGTGGCTAGACGTATATGCCTATATTCGATGAGATGAGAGTGCAGTTGTTGACATATTCGTATGCAACCCACATCAGTTGTCTCATGCGTATACATGCCCTGGCTTATCCCCCCCCCCGCCCTCAACCCTCGACTGCAGTCTTGGCAGGAAGGTCCGTGCACCCTGCGGCCGCGCCAGCCTGAGCTTGGTGGGTGCGTCGTGCGCATGAAAACCCTACACTTAGAAGCCCATCATGAAGGCTGTTGTTATGCAACTTTGGGGGCCACCCTGACGACCTGCCCGCGTGACAGAGCTTCTTTCTTCGAACCCGGCCACGATGCAATATCCCCGAGCCCGGTCACGCTGTTAAATCCCCTCATACGACCTCATGACCTGATCTCATGATGTGGTGTCATGGCAGAAGCCCGATGGGGCCATGGAGGAACTCAGCTCTCTTTGCTGTTATGTCAAAACTGGACTTGGAAGCTGAGGTCTCCCCATTCATACCTCTACGTTCTCTAGGCCTTGATTGATCTTGATTGTGTGTTGAATCTTGCGGTTTCGCCTCAGACCTGGATGTTGTGGCATGTGGTGGATGCAGGCTGCTTGCGCCATGTTCGCTACAGCATCCCTCTCCATGATGTCCAAGAAGGCACCTCCCAACAAGGCCCGTTCTGGGCCTGGCATTGGCATGCTTGTACTTGTGGGTCAGCTTGGTGCAGCTTGGTGCGCGTGAGTATGCCGGAAGATTATGCGAGGGGCTTCCGCTTTGTGCATCTCTGTTCTGCGCTCCCTCGATGCTGCGTTTGCGAAGAGGTTATGACAGCCTACGGGTGCTGCCGGCTACTTGCTGCACCACGCTGTGCTGGGCTGTGCTGGGTCGTGGTGCCTAGTTCCCCTTGTAAGTTGGGTGATGCTGGCAAAGTCATCGGTCTTGAGCTGAGTCCCAAAGCTGGTGCCACCATTGCTGCCGTTGCTCTCGCTGCTTTAGCACTGCTGCTTTAGCAGTCGTCGCGAGCACTGTTTGGCAGCTGTAGCAGCGGCGCAGTCAAGCAGCTCGCGGTCTCCCTGGCCTGCCAGTGTCTTCCTCACGGCCGCGCTGGCAGTCTACCACTTCATCGCGAACGGCGAGCGCGACCCTCAGCTCTGGCGCCTTCTGGCAGGGTTTGGATCAAGCAAATGGATAGCGGTGCAGCCGGGGGCAGTGTCAAAAACGGCGGCACGGTGGCACAGTGGCCCGGGAAACCCCATGCACGCCTCAGGTTCTCGGCAATCCTGACACTGGCAGCCTCCGGCTGAGCTTATCCGCAAGACGACACAGCCCCCCCATTTCACCGACTTGCGCCCTTTGGTGGAGTCAACTGAGCTGTCCTGGAGGTCATCTTCCAGTGTCTGGGCTTCGCCTTGCTCTGCGTGCAGGTCCTGCTGACCGCCCGGGGCCTCGGAGCTTGAGACCTGACCTGCGTATAGAATTCGATGCCCGCCGTTGCCCGCATCGTCAAGCGAGTCTAGATTGATTAAATTGCTTCATGCCTACTTGGTTCTGCAAAAGATGAGCCTGCCGGGGGCCCAGGGCACCTGCGCTGGCATTTCCGCCCGAGCGCTGGCACTGGACGCCGGAAGCCCAGCTGCCTCCATTTGCACAGCCGGTTGAAGAAGCTGCCCTCTTAAGTTCCGAGCATCCATGGAATCTACGGGCCACGCCTTCGCCAAGGCTTGGGCTTTGTGCTTTCGCCTGTCGTCCACGCTGGGGCCTTAGCGAGTCTGTAGGTGCGGCCCAAAAGCCCAGAACTAGCTTGTTTGGAGCCAATTCCTGTGCACGTTCAGATGTTCGCTGGCTTGCAGTCTGTGGTTGAATGGCTACCTGCCCGTGGACGCCTCTGGGGACTGGGCCTACCAGGCCAGCGTCCGAACGACCTGGTTGGAGAATTAGCAAATGCCCTTCGCTCTATGTCTACTACAAATATTGAAGATACTAGTGGAGCTGTGCACCTGTGGGCAGTTGTTTTTGCCCGAGTCCTAGAGTGATGTGAGAGCCTCGCTGCTGGGTGCAAGCACCCCGAATCAGGATGAGATCGCGGCTAGATCACAGTACCTCAGCAACATTTCCAGTAGCACATAAACAAGTTAATTCCCTTTGAACGAATGGCAACCAAAAGCTCTTGCTTGATTGGAAAGAAGACATGTGCTACGATAGGTTAAGTTCGACATCAAAGCGCCACTACATCTCTTTCTGTTGCAGTAGCAGCCTTGGCCTACCGAGGCTGCTTGCACAGAAATGTCTGTTGACATGTGTTATTTCGTCAGATGCTTTCTATGAAAAATCACATCATGCATGTACAAGAAGACATGAGTACAACCCCCCCCCCCCCCCGAATCAATATGAACATCTGGCATGAAGACAACAGTGAAGTACATACAAGAGGTCAGCGGCATGTGCATGTTCATTGGACACTGGTTTCAATCTCGACATATCAACAAAGAGTCTTAAAGAATTCTGTTAGTTTTGAAGCGGTTAACGTTTGTTTTCAATTCTATCAGTTATGGGAACATCAAAAGCTTTCGTTGCGTGTACAAAATAAGCGCGTTGCGAACCACGATTGAAAAAAACAACTTGCCGCCCTGTCACTCGCAATCTGTCCGCTGTGTTGAGTATGTACCCGAAATCCCCCGCCCCCTACCCTGAAGCTATGCCTACCGAAGCACAGGAAAAACGGCTCAAGCGCAATGTCATCTGGGACGGAATTGGATTCAAGTCTGAGATATACTTAGTCGCAGGGTGCAAATGCGAAGATGGGCTGAAGCTTGGTGAGTGATCTGCTGGAGCATCAGCAACCTGATCGCGATGTGGCAGGGCATGGTGCCTGCCCTCGATCGATCGTTGCGGCCGCGTGCTTCCTTCTGCGTTAAAAATGCCGGATGGGAGGATGACGTAGACTCTCATGCATGGCTTACTGAAAGCCAGTGATGAGTCGGCAGTCAGGATCAACCATCTGATTGCATCTGGCACATCGTGAGGGTTGAGCATGACCGCATGTGCCGCTTGGCGTGAGAAAGAGTTCGCCGGAAGACAGAGCCGATCTCATGCATGGCTTGCATGGAAAGCGATGCTCCAGTTCCGGGCAGCAGCCATCCGATGGTGCCCTGCACGTGCCGTGCAAGATGCATTGGATGTTGCTTGTGAACTGTCGAGGCAAGTCATTGTTGACTAACGCACCCATGAAGATGACAAAGGCGTTGCGCATTGATTTTGTGTCACAGCTTTTGAGCTGTGTCGTTTGCTCACGTGTGCTCATGAAGAACATGGCATGGCAACTTGCTTCCGCACACTGCCTTCTCAAATGAGAGGACCAAATTTCGTACGTGCGACAGCAGTCAGCACTTACAACTTACATGGCAGTGTCCTTCACGAGGCCGTGGATATCGTGTCCCTCGTGTTGGTCCTGTGGCTACTGCCGCTTGGCATGCAGAGTCCGGCAGTTCTATGACTCACAACACATTTTCCTAGCAAGTGAGCGTTAGCAAATGCCTGAGACATGGACGTTCACGCAGCTGACAAAAGCTCAGCCACAATCTTCCACCGATCCTATCGCCACACAGCAGAGCTCGGCACTAGCGAAGCGGCCCCACGCCAGCCCAACGCAGGCATGCTCGTAGTGTGGTGTCGTTCGGGAGGGCTAGCCGTATATTCCGTCCAGTCCCTGCACACTGGACAGTTGGGTCCGACTAACTCGCCCCGACGTCTTTGAAAGTCTGTGCTCTTTCAGCCCAGGCATTCATTGCTTTTGGAGAAGAAGCACACGTACCAGAAAGAGCAGGACCACCGAACCAGTGGGCGCAGTTCAGAAACCCAAAGTTCACTTATCGGGCGGCTGTGCGCAGGATACCTTTCCTGCAACTCCTGTCGTGCCCTGAAGCTGTCGAACACTCCTCCAGGATTCTGAACACACCTGCGAACCTGCCCACAGTTCACTGTCTGCGAGCTTCCACGCAAGGGCAAACCAGAGCGCACTGGAAGGTACTGGCCTGTCTCGTGTTGGCAATCTTCTTTCACGCTGCTGGACCCTCAAAGCGTTTCACACGACATGGTGCGAGTCATGGGTGCGAAGCTCATGATGTGTGGATAAGACAGCACTGAAACATCCGACGTTCGCCAACATTCTTGCGCAGTGACAGTACTGCCCATTCCCTCGAGCATTGTGTTGGGTCTGTGGCTGAGGACATGAACTCGCGACCGATCTTTGACACCCTTTGGATGGCAGGTGTGGCCAGCATGTCAAAGTTGTCAACAACCCGAGAGCTGCCAAATCCTGTGACCCCAACGCGCCCCGAAGTAAAGCCTGGTGGCTTCCCGGTTGTGTTAGAGTTTGTTACTCAGAGCCCTCGTCGTCCGGATCGTGCAAAGAGCAGGTCTGTTCATCAGCGCCGTGGCAGTCTTGCCTCAGGCGCAGCCATTCGCAGTGCATGGTGTCAGAACTAGTCAGAACTAACTGCCCAACATGGATGATCATGGATGTATCTGCCTTGCCCCTTCTTCACGCAGACGAGGAGAACTGCTTAATCGTCGCAACTTCTTTCAGCAAAGTTTGTGGAGCAAGCGGCGTGGTGGGTGTTTGCACTTGGCCTGCCAGCTGTGGCTCATCTCCAAGACCGGCGGCAAGGTTGAGCCGGCGACCTAGCATCGGGAAGGGCCAATGCTACGGCAAGTGGCCGAAGATGTGCAGTGTGTCAGAGCTTAAGGGCTGGGGTAAGTAAGAATGTGTGTCTGCTTGGCGGCCACATGATTCGCAGGCCGTTGACCAGCCACTACATCGCAGCGATGGCCATCAGCCGGGCCTTGAGCGGTGCACGCCCCAGCTGGGTCACACACGGCAACAGACAAGAAAGAAACAGCGACTGAGATACTGTTTTTGGTAGACAACATTGCCAGTACAATTGTCAAAGGTAGTTGCAAGTGCGTATGCATGGCAAAGGAGTTTTGCATAAGCTAGGATAACTGAGTTCAGCTCCAGGTCAGTTACGCAGGATTGCCGGTAGGCCCAAGTCAGCAATCAAGATGTGCAGCCCTTCGTTCTCTTAAGTTGTCCATTCCCTGTTTCTTTCTGCTGAAGTGCAGAGTTTGTGGAATCGAAATACCTACAAGCCTCACTATCGAAGAGTCGCTTGTGCAAGTGCGAAGGGTCGAAAGAGCTTCCTACTCAGATTGAGTAGGGCTGGATTGTGGTTGCAACAGGTTCGCATGACATACAAGGAATCCTATCAAGACTGCAGAACACCCCCCCAAACCATTCCCGAAATGTAGCATGGATCCTCATGCTCTTCTCGAGAAAGAAACATTATCTACGGCCACCTTGAAAGGCGTTCCCAAAAAACTCTGCTCTCGCTGTATATTCTCACTGGTGTCTAGGCCCTAGGCGCTCCCAGATTACCTGCTTCTCCTTACCAATACCATGCAAAATCCTGGTTAGAATGCGGGCCCCCCTTCCCCCCCCCCCCCCCCCCTTTTGCTCTGTTTGCAACACTGCTTTCAGGTGTCTTCATGTGGCATGCACGCTTCGACATCACCTGCGCTCCGTGGGTGTCTGGCTTCAACCATGCCATCTGGGTCCGACGCTGAGAGATGTAGAAGACGCTTGAAGTTTGAAGATACTTTTAGGACGGCCGAAAAACAATAATCACAATAATCCCGGTCATATACTCGGCTTGAAGACCGCCTGTCGCCCCACAGTCTGTATGCTGAGTTCATCTTGGGAGCTCATGCTCTGCACATGCTGCTGCTTGGCGACTTCGGCTACTACTACATCAAGCCCAGTGCTCGGTATGAACGAGTCTGTCACGCACTCGTTCATGGCATGGCTCTGCAAAGCCACAATGCAGCTTCCACCTCACTGTCTGCCACATGCGGAGTTCAACTTGCATGCGTCAGCACGGACAGCTGCTCCCAGTGGCAAGATATTCCTGCATTCCTTGATATTCCTTGCCTGACGTCGCCTGATGTGGTCGATGGTAAGGACTGTCATGAAGGGAGGCCTGACTGCGCAGCTGGATCTGATCCAGGAGACATGCTGACTTTGAGCTCTAGCCGTGTCAAACGTGGCAGCTTTGTGGTTGACTTGCAGGCAGGCTCAGATTTCGCAAGCTGCGGCACTATGCTTCTCTGCAGGACAGCTACGTGTAGCTCCGATGTGTTCTGAGATCGCTCCCTCCCAGGTCGAAATTCACTGCAAACGCAGGGGGTGAGGAAGAACGTGTGTCATTGTCGCTTGCACGCGTTAGAAGAGTTTTTTGCACAGTCTGATGTGGCTGTGGAGCTTCCTCTCCCTTCATGAATTCTTGTTTTTCCTGGGAACGGACATCTGAGCTGCTCAGAAAGATGAGCGCAGCGTACTGTTGACACGTGCTCAGGGAGCTGTGAAGCGATGCAACTCCAAAACAAAAGCGGCCTGCGGTTTAGGGTTTAGGGTCTAGGGTCTAGGGTTTAGGGTTTAGGGTTTCTCAGGATTATGAGGGTAGGCCTGAAGATTGGGCCAGCCGGGGCACCCACTTGCTGCAGCTCTCTCGGGCTCAAGCTTTGCCTTGACGCCATCCACAAGGAAGGCCGAGACATGGGATGCAGAGGGGGTGAATCATGGGGGTATCATAGAGGGGGGCGGGGGGTAGTAGGGAAGCCCATCAGTGAAGCTCTGCTTTATGTTGGTGTCGATAGTTTTTTGACTTTCATGTGGACAGCGATCGCGTGGCGCACTACGGGTAGCTTGCCCTGGAATGCATGCTCGAGACGTTTCCCGTTGTCGGACCGAATGTTGCATACAATCATTGCGAGCCGCGGCATGCGGGCTCCGAATGCGCTCGGTGCTGTATGTCTTTTTGTTATGTATCTACTTTTGATGGGAAACTTCGCTCTCCGTCGCATTGCCTCGGCCGCCGAAGCACATCATGTGTAATTCATCAAGTTAAGCAGGATCCACTTGTCTTCTTCACAGAAGGTCACGTCTCGGTCGCTTCTTGATCGAGTGCTGGTTCTTGAGGGGGTGGCACACTTCTTTTGGTGCTCTTTTGGGGCGCTTGGCAGTCCCCGCACCCCAGCCCTGGCAGGAAGGTCTGCAGCCCGCGACCGCAGCAGACTGAGCTAGGATGCGGGGTGCAGCTGACATGAATGATCTAAGATCGGATAAGAAGGCTGATCTGGAAGCCGAGGTCCCGTTCATACCTCTACGTTCTCTTGACTCTCAGGCCTGGTTGTTTCTCAGTTCGTCCACTCGAGCCAGAACAATGGAAGGCAGCAAAAAGAGGGCTGTTCTAAGCGCAGGCCGTTTGCGCGCTATGCTCGCTACATCGTCCCTCTCCATGATGGCCAAGAAGGCACCTCCCAACAAGGCCCGATCTGGGCCTGGCATTGGCATGCTTGTACTTGTGGGTCAGCTTGGTGCGCGTGAGTATGCCGGAAGATTATGCGAGGGGCTTCCGCTTTTTACAACTCTGCTATGCGCTGCCTCGATGCTGCGTTTGCGAAGAGGTTATGACAGCCTACGGGTGCTGCCGGCTACTTGCTGCACCACGCTGTGCTGGGCTGTGCTGGGTCGTGGTGCCATGTTCCCCTAGTTCCCCTTGTAAGTTGGGTGATGCTGGCAAAGTCATCGGTCTTGAGCTGAGTCCCAAAGCTGGTGCCAACCATTGCTGCCGTTGCTCTCGCTGCTTTAGCACTGCTGCTTTAGCAGTCGTCGCGAGCATTGGCAGCTGTAGCAGCGGCGCAGTCAAGCAGTTCACGGTCTCCCTGGCCTGCCAGTGTCTTCCTCACGGCCGCGCTGGCAGTCTACCACTTCATCGCGAACGGCGAGCGCGACCCTCAGCTCTGGCCCCTTCTGGCACGTTGGGATCAAGCAAATGGATCGCGGTGCAGCCGGGGGCACTGCCAAGAACGGTGGCAGGGTGGCAGGGTGGCACAGTGGCCCAAGAAACCTCAAGCACGCCTCAGGTTCTCGGCAATCCTGACACTGGCAGCCTCCAGCTGAGCTTATCCGCAAGACGACACAGCCCCCCCATTTCACCGACTTGCACCCTTGGTGTCAGCTGAGCTGTGTTTTGAGTCCTTGAGGTCATCTTCCAGTGTCTGGGCTTCGCCTTGCTCTGCGTGCAGGTCTTGCTGACCGCCCGGGGCCTCGGAGCTTGAGACCTGACCTGCGCGCTCCTATAGAATTCGATGCCCGCATCCTCGATCGGGAACCCAGGGCACCTGCGCGGGCATCTCCGCCCGAGCGCTGGCACTGGACGCCCGGAAGCCCAGCTGCCCCAATTTCCAAAGTGGCGTGGGACGGCCATGACGAAGCCCACTCCAGAAGACTGATGATGCCGCAACGCAGCTGACAGCATGGAGCTACCCGAAGGCAGAATGAATGTAGCCGGAGAGGCCGGGTGATAAGCGTGACATTCGTGACCTAAAACGCATGGTCACAAGCACGTGCGGTCTGCTTGCAATTCACCGTGCATGGAGGTTGCTCAGACCCTATTGGGAAAGCGGAAAAGCTTTGCCTTCCACTAGTGGTTTAAATGATGACTGTGGTTGCTTATCGTCCAGAGTTTAGGGTTTAGTCTGGGCCTGCTAGGCTCGTACAGGACTGAAAGATGCAAGTGGTAGCTTAAACCGCAGCGATGCCATCAAATCGAAGCACTTGGGCACCCGTGCGAGCATCTATTTCGTTGAGTTTGACTGAAAAAGCTTGGTTACATGCAACGCTGCAAAGAAGGGGTCGACCGTTGGCATACAAGAAGAACCTCACGTATTGCACTAGCCAGTGCGACAACAGTCCCCTCATTGTTTCAAGGGATGGTGCTTCTGCAGTGACCGGAAACGAATCGATCTTTACAAGTACAGCGCAGCACTAAGGCTTGGGCATTGTGCTTTCGCCTCTCGTCCACGCTGGGCCCTTGAGAGCTGTGAAGTCCGGAAATGAAGCACTCTCTTCTCCAGATGCATAGGGGCTGATTCGGGCATGTCGTCACTTTCAGTCTAGTTTGAGCGCTGCTTTGTCTTGGCAGTTTGTGGCTCCATGGCTACTTGCCTGTGGATGCCTCTGGGGACTGGGCCTACCAGGCCAGCCCCTTAGCGCCAGATGTCCTAAACCCACCGCGAGCCAGAAGCCCCTTTCAGAGGATCACAAGGACTCTTCAATGCATGGCCTGCTGAAGCTCGGTGACGAGTCTCCGTCAGCCGATCGCCGGCGGTTGTCTGCGCATACCCGTGAGTGCACGCGTCGAGTTTTCCTGAGGGAAGCTGGTTGCCGGCGGTTGTCTGCGGATACCCGTGAGTGCATGCGTCGAGTTGCAGGGAAGCTGGTTTGAGCGGTTGGCTGCGGATACTCGTCAGTGCACGCGTCGAGTTGCGTGACGGACGCCGGTGTGAGAGGATGACAAGGGCTTTTCATGCATGGCTTGCTGAAGCTCGGTGATGAGTCTCAGTCAGGATCAACCATCTGATCGTGCCAGGTTGCCTGCGGTCGCCTGCGTGGATACTCGTGAGTGCATGCGTCGAGTTGCGTGAGGGAAGCCGGTGTGAGAGGATGACAAGGACTTATCATGCATGGCTTGCTGAAGATCAGTGACGAGTCTCAGTCAGGATCAACCATCTGATCGTGCCAGGTTGCCTGCGGTCGCCTGTGTGGATACTCATGAGTGCATGCGTCGAGTTGTGTGAGGGAAGCCGGTGTGAGAGGATGACAAGGACTTCTCATGCATGGCTTGCTGAAGCTCGGTGATGAGTCTCAGTCAGGATCAACCATCTGATCGTGCCAGGTTGCCTGCGGTCGCCTGCGTGGATACTCGTGAGTGCATGCGTCGAGTTGCGTGAGGGAAGCCGGTGTGAGAGGATGACAAGGACTTATCATGCATGGCTTGCTGAAGATCAGTGACGAGTCTCAGTCAGGATCAACCATCTGATCGTGCCAGGTTGCCTGCGGTCGCCTGTGTGGATACTCATGAGTGCATGCGTCGAGTTGTGTGAGGGAAGCCGGTGTGAGAGGATGACAAGGACTTCTCATGCATGGCTTGCTGAAGCTCGGTGATGAGTCTCAGTCAGGATCAACCATCTGATCGTGCCAGGTTGCCTGCGGTCGCCTGCGTGGATACTCGTGAGTGCATGCGTCGAGTTGCGTGAGGGAAGCCGGTGTGAGAGGATGACAAGGACTTATCATGCATGGCTTGCTGAAGCTCGGTGATGAGTCTCAGTCAGGATCAACCAGCTGATCGTGCCAGGTTGCCTGCGGTCGCCTGCGTGGATACTCGTGAGTGCATGCGTCGAGTTGCGTGAGGGAAGCCGGCGTGAGAGGATGACAAGGACGTTTCATGCATGGCTTGCTGAAGCTCGGTGATGAGTCTCAGTCAGGATCAACCATCTGATCGTGCCAGGTTGCCTGCGGTCGCCGCGTTGATACTCGTGAGTTCACACGTCGAGTTGCGTGAGGGAAGCCGGTGTGAGAGGATGACAAGGACTTATCATGCATGGCTTGCTGAAGCTCGGTGATGAGTCTCAGTCAGGATCAACCATCTGATCGTGCCAGGTTGCCTGCGGTCGCCTGTGTGGATACTCGTGAGTGCATGCCTCGAGTTGCGCGAGGGAAGCCGGTGTGAGAGGATGAAAAGGACTTATCATGCATGGCTTGCTGAAGATCAGTGACGAGTCTCAGTCAGGATCAACCATCTGATCGTGCCAGGTTGCCTGCGGTCGCCTGCGTGGATACTCATGAGTGCATGCGTCGAGTTGTGTGAGGGAAGCCGGTGTGAGAGGATGACAAGGACTTCTCATGCATGGCTTGCTGAAGCTCGGTCATGAGTCTCAGTCAGGATCAACCATCTGATCGTGGTCGCCTGCGTGGATACTCATGAGTGCATGCGTCGAATTGCATGAGGGAAGCCGCTGTGAGAGGATGACAAGGACTTGTCATGCATGGCTTGCTGAAGCTCGGTGACGAGTCTCAGTTGACCATCTGACCGTGCCAGGTTGTGTGCGGAAAATCGTAACTGCGTGCATCTAATTGTGCGAGGGAAGCCGTTTGAGAGGATGACAAGGACTTGTCTTGCAGGGCTTGCTGAAGCCAGTCCTTTGTCTACTGTAGTAGAAGCTGTTGCTGGCATCGAACATCAGCCGCTGTGCCTCCATGACCTTCATCCTTGCCTCATGCTGCCTTGCCTTGGTGAAACACTTGTGGCTTGTGCCTCTGCGGAGTCAGGCGTCTGTGGTTGGTAGGTCGATTATTCTCACGTGCCCCGTCTTGAAACACAGACCCAAAAGCCTATCATTCAGGGTGGCGTCGAGCCTTCAAGCGAAATCATGCTTTGATTGGTGTCTGGGAAGCCAGATGGCAGGATGACGGAGACTCTCATGCATGGCTTGCTGAAAGCCAGTGATGAGTCGGCAGTCAGGATCAACCATCTGATTGCATCTGGCTATTGTCAGGGTTTAGCATGATGGATGACAAGAAGATGGCATGCAAGTCTTCAGATTGGCTCAGCCAGCCCGTCATGCCTTATTGTGTTAGATGTTGAGTTGTGAATTTGACGCGCACATGCATGCGGCGTGTGCCTGGCTGGTCGTGGGTTGAGCTGGGTGATCGCAGGTTGGCTCTTGCTGGTGGGCGCACGAATATTTGCATACGATCTTGAATGAGGGATGCGCAGCAAAGTTCTGTGCGCGACGGGACAAGTGATAATGTTTCACATACTCAGTTTGCTTCAAAAGGCCGTGGACATCGTGTCCCTGGTCTTGGTCCTCTGGCTGCTGCTCCTTGGCATGCAGAGTCTGGGCAACCCACTTGCTTGCTTCAGCACAGCTGGGACTACTTTAAAATTTTGGCGCAGGCACTCGCTGCTTTTGGAGAAGAAGCACACATATCAAGAGGAGCAGGACCAGACTGCTGCTGTTCCGCCATTTAGATACAACGAATGCTGTGCAACCAGTATCGGGTGCTTTTGGGCAGGACACCTTTCCTGCTACTCCTGTCGTGCCCTGCTGTAGTTTTCCAAGATCTCTAGGAGCCAGGAATCTGCATGCAATCATACTCTCAGCTAAGCTTCCAGACATGGCAGTGCGCATTTGACCCCAGCTCAATCTCGGTGCAACATTGTGCAAGGTACTGACCTGTCTCGTGTTGGCAGCCATCTTTCACGCTGCCGGACCCTTAGGCAGGAGCAGATCACCAGCAAGCTATGGAGATGATGCTCCACACACCAGCATTTTGTCCAGGGGGGAGTCCTACCATGAAAAGGCTCTACCAACTGCGATTTGAAGCAAGCACATCCTGAATTTCATGAAACAGTTTTGAAGGAGACACCGCGTCGGGTGTCGCCAGTTTTCTAGTCATGGCAGCTCTCTGCACACGCCCTTTCATGGTACGGATACTGGCGTTGCAACAGCTGTCATGGTTTGAAAAACACCAGGGTCCGCTCATGGTTGGTTCAGCCTCTCATGACAGTGGCCATGGCATGCTGTAGTCACTGTAGTGCCTTGCCAAGCAGTGCCTGACACAAGGTTTAAGAAGCAGCATCGTGGCCATATGTACAAGGAAGCTGAAGTGTAAGAAAGAACTGCTAGCCGCCCCTAGCACACTCTCTCGTACCCGACTCACATGCAGCTCAATTGTATGTTCATTCAGAAATCCTAGACCAGCAGTGGTGCATGAACGGCAAGATCGTTAAAGCGTGTTGATTGAAGTATGGTTGTGCTGCTCGAAGTTGGGACAATTTAGGACTTGCTAAGGACATGAACGCGCGACCTATCTTCGATACCCTGTGGATGGCAGGTGTGGAGTCAGATGTTGAATGACATCCGTGATCCCACAGCTGTAGAGCAGGGACGACTAGTCACAACGGCATACCGCCACACCTCAGGTTTTTGTCGGTATACATGTGCTTTGACACGCATTTGCTTGAGTTCTAGTCCTCGTCATCCGGATTGGAGAACCGCCGTGCAAGAGCAGGTCTATTCATCAGCGCCGTGGCAGTCTTGCCTCAGGTGCAAAGAGCATGGTGTGAGACTTGTTCACCATGAACTGGAGTGATCATAGATGTATCTGGCTTTCCTGCCCTGCATGCAAAGAAGGAGAAGAGCCTGAGCAACATGTGGGATGAGAATTCGTAATCTGTTGAGCTGAGTGAGCCCGCGTAGTGGAGCAAACGGCGTGTGTGTGTGTGTGTGTTTGCACTTGGCCTGCCAGCTGTGGCTCATCTCCAAGACCGGGGGCAAGGTTGAGCCCGCAACCTAGCATCCAGAGGGCGAATGCTACGGCAAGTGGCCGAAGTCTTGTAGTGCGCCAGAACTTCAGGGTTTGGGAAAGAATCCACAGCGTTCGCGAAGAGGCGATGAGTGACTGCTTGGCTGCCACATGATTCACAGGCCGTTGACCAGCCACTACATCGCAGCGATGGCCATCAGCCGGGCCTTGAGCGGTGCACGCCTCAGCTGGGTCAGACTTCAAAAGCAGACGCGAAGCAAAAGGAGGCAGTCAGCTGAAGACACCCGTCAATGCAAGCAGAGCTGTGAAAGCCGGCAGAGATTCCATGCAAGAGCAGTGTGTCTTTTTACCTCAACCTTCCCCAACGCTCAAGCCCTAAAACATCCCAATCAGCCTGTGCAAATGAGAGGAGATTAGGAAGGCACGGCCGGAAGGAAGTTACCAAATCCAGGCGTTGGGCTTCCGTAACTTCAAATCCAGGCGATTTCCTGGTTATTAGGGGGGCGGGCGCAAAAAAACCAATCCCTGAATCCGAGACCCCAAGCTTCAAGGCCAGAACTCGCAGGTTTGGAGCCCCAACTCTTCAAGGACCCTAAAAGGCATACCAAGGACCAAAGCTTGAAAGCTCTTTAGAGGATGTGACGCGAAGAAAGGAAGCAACTACTCTCGCATCCGATAAAGGCAAAATTGCTCGATGTCTTATAGTAGTAGTTCTTTTCAACATTGCTGTCGCTGTACGTAGTTGTGAAAGAGTTGAGGAATACAGCGCTTGAATGGCAACAGGATGCAGGAAGTTTTGAAGATGGTAGTTCCGTGTAGCTGGGTACCATTGAAACGCGCTTCGCCCATAGCCAAGTATTCGGTCCCAACATCGTCGGCCACGGCTATTGTCAGGAGTCTTCATGTGGCACGCGCGCTTCGACATCACTTGCGATCCATGGGTGACCGGCTTCAACCATGCCATCTGGGTCCGAAGCTCAAAGGTGGTGGACAGAAGCATAAGAACCGTTTGAAGCTCCATGTACCCATCTGTGCCACGCTGCGAAGTTGGCAGCAAGGTTTGCTAAGATGTTTGCATCTTATGGCCGAGGTGATCTTGGGAGCCAATGCCCTGCACATGCTGCTGCTCGGTGACTTTGGCTACTACTACATCAAGCCCAGTGCTCAGTGCGAGCAGGTTATGGCCAGCAGTCCAGGGCTCTTTGAGAGAAGCAGCAGCATGGCTTTGCAAATGCAGCTTCCAACACCTGGCGATGTGCACGAACGGTTGCCAGTTGCCCTCAACAGTACCCGAAGTCTCTGACGTTCGGATGCTTGCGAGGACTGTCATGAAGGGAGGCCTGACGGCACAGCTAGATCTGATCGAGGAGCTAAACTGACCTTTCAGGGGTTCATGCGAACTGGCCTGGCTGCACAGTCCCGTCAGTTCTAGGATCCCTTATGCAGCATATCTTGCAAATCGCGGGCCACGGGGTGACAACTGCTTGGCAGGACAGCTACGTGTAGCTCTTCGCTCTGAGCATGCGCTTTAGGGTGCCTTCCTGTCGACGGACGAGGTTCTCCAAGGAGAACTTCTCCTCACCTCAAGTGCTGAGCACACAGTCGGCATGTGGACAGAGAACTACCTCACCACGCGAGCAAAACGTCGGCGGCAAGGTTGTTGATGATGTGTGTTGAGAATTTCAGTGGGACACCGCCACACGGTCTGCTCCGAAGCATACCGAAGCCCAGCCACAGCCAGGGTTCCAAGGCATTGTCAATTGTCAAGTATAAGATCGTTGCAAAGCCCTGAACTCCAAATGGGGAGGGAACAGAGAATTGAAATCAGCAATAGACTCACCATCCCCAGCGGTTGTTTGTTACTCGTATGTGCTTGTATTTCCGGTATGTTGTTGCATTTGTTTGTGCTGTTTGTCGAGGGCGCCGGCTCTTGGAGACCAGTACGTACCTGTGTGGTTTTTGGATGCTTGCGCGGAATAGCACTTGGGTCAACAGGACGCAAGCAACACGAAATCCAGGGCGGCGCTAACAGACGGCTCCCGACTTCGCGGAGTCGCTTTGGGGTTGAAGTTAAGTAGCGTTTGCACAAGGTCTGTGATAGCAAAAGCGTTGCTTGGACTCGGTGACACAACTCTACTGTCCATAGTTGTAAGATTTCTGGATATTTCTGGTCTTGCTCTTGCCACTCCTTCAAGCAGTGGGCGGCTTTGGATCGAACCACGTGGACGGAGTTGGCAGGACTGGCAGGGAACAGGATGCAGCCATTGCTTGAACGAGTTGTTTTTTTTGAACTGCAGAGTCTTCGACGGACTAGGCTAAGGCAATTGGCCCAGCATACTTTGCACATTGCGAACGTAGAGCTCCACACTCAGCACACAAGATGCTCTAGCGATCACGCGATCGCGCACAAAGCCTTATCGTCATGGTCGTCAAGGCCGGGAGGACCAGAGAAGCACAAGGATGTCTCAGCCGCGTGTCATCGATTCCTGTGCTTGGAGGCAGCGGCGAGCTTGTTGCTGCTGACTTCTGCACGCGCCATGGTTTGCCAAGTTTTGACACAGGAGCCCGACCTGCAAGTTGCCAGGGTATGTCAGGGTAGATCAGTCGGAGTGTCAAAGGTTCAAAGGAACCCTTGCGCTCCACAGGAGGGTTGTTTCGTTTATGAAGAAGCCAAGCCATGATTTTGGCTTCTCTGCTACGGCATGATGCCACTGTCTTTGAGTGGGTCTCCCAAGCTTAATGGCATGCATGGTTAGTTTCACTAGAGCCTTGACCTCTGTTGTGCTGTCTGTCGAGTCTACTCTTCTAGGAAGCAGAGGAGTTGCTTGCTTGCTGCAGGAGAATGCGTCACTGCAAGCTAGCCTCCTGCCTGAACTTTTGGAGGAGTCCGTGCTGACACGGGTTTTGCAGTGGTGCTTTCATCCCATGTCGAAGTCACGCACCCCCCCTTCGAAAAAATCAAAGCAGCAAGAAAGGCTTGGGCTTAGAGTGCACCGTCTCCGGGCAATACTGTGGCTTGGTCGCAATATCGCCTTCCCTTTCATTCCTACCATTCATTCCCCATTCACCTGGTGAACCCAAGAAAGGACAAGAGAATCCGAGGCAACTGCTCCAGTTCGTTTGTGAACGGGGTCGTATGGCTACTTGCCTCTGAGCCAATGAACTCCACCATGAACACCACGGCGAAGCCGGGTGAATGGTACATCATGGCCCGAGCCTGAGCCCTCTTCATCCCTCCTCGCACCACTGCAATCAGAAAACAGTGGGCACGGTGGTACTGTATGGATTGCACACTTTGCCTGTGAGCCTCCAGGCCCCGACACCCTTTCTCACTGTGCCTGAAGGATGCCACCGGGCAGTGCGTGGCGGCATTTGGTCCTTCGTCGACGGAGCCGACGGTCCAGAAGTGTCCTCCAGGAGCCATCTGGAAGAACCAGCACAGCAGTGCGGCTAGTATGGCTAGGAAGGACAACTCGAGGAACAATGGCAATGGTCACTACTGCGCAGCAAAGTGTTCGCTGATTTGTGAAGTGACTGTGCTGGGCTGCTCAGACATGTTGACGCAGCTCGGCTCTGGAGGCTTCTACTGTGCTGGCGGCTTGGAGCCGCCGCGCAGCTGCAGTTCGGGAGACCACTGCCCCGTGGGCACAGGTCTGGAAGACAGCTGCCCAGCTGCACAGGGGTGAGAAGGGCCGGGGGGATATCGAGGGATTGAAAGAAAAAAAATCTGAAACACTAATATAAAAAGAAAAAGAAGGCGACTGTGTATCGGCCGACAAAGTGGTTGTAGGTTTGATTCGGGGCTCGCCTGATGCAGCGGTGTCTTCGGGTGGCACATCCTTCCTCATCTGACAGCATGATAACATTCCCTTCGAGGGCATGGCTGAGATGCCACGTGCGCACGCACCACCGCACCACCGCACCACAGGCCTTCTGATCTTTCAGTCCTCCAAACCCTCATGGAAGCCGCGCTTCTGCATGTGACGAGATGACCCTATGGAAGGGATGAAATTAATTTGGCAGGATGCGGAGGATGTTTTCCACTGATTGGATCCCATGGTGCACACGCCGGCGAATGATTTCAAGCGCATGTCGAGCCAACGTGGCCCACCAGCACAGTCGTCTTGCTCGTGGTAACATGTCTGTGTCGCAGTAGGTGCCTTGTCCTCGATGCCAGGGCGCTGTAGGAGAGCATGGCTGTGCGTCCTCTTGCCTCTGTGCATGAAATGGCATCTGCCAACATTTGGCATCTCTCGAGGTGTGAAACAAGCTGCGCAGGCGAGAGGCTTGCGTTTGCGTAGCCGTGTTACAGAAGTCGGAGGCGACAATGTTCAGTTGACAGCTTCAGAAAGAAGCTCTTTAAACTTAATATCACAGGCTGCAGAAAATCTGGATTGGATTCGTGCGAAGGCTACCTCGGATCGCTGCAATCAGCATAAGACGCCTCTTTGCAATGCAGCTATGCATGCCGCTTTCAGGTGCGGAAACTACCAGGCTGGTGCTCGCATATACACGCAAATGTGCGACAGAGGTACGCTTGTCACCGGCGTGACCTACAACTGCGCAATACGTCTATTCTCTAAACTTGGGCAACAGGGCAAGATCTTAGAATTGTGGGAGGAGGCCAGGAGCAACTGGACTTCTTGGGTCCCGGGGCAGAGGTATCTCCTTCTGAGCGAGATGGTGAATGCATTTGCAGACTCAGGGAATGTAACTGGGATTGGTGTTTTCTTGGATACCATCTGCAAGGAAGGCTTTGAGATCGACGAGGGTACTTGGGGCGCTGCACTGAATGGGTGCAAGAATGCTGGTGCCGCATCTGTTGCTGAATACTTCCTCAAATTGATGAGGCAGTTCAATGTGTCTGCGAACCTCATTCACCATACCCTTGTTATGGGCGCATATGCAGGGCGCTCACTTGAAAACATCACCAGAGTTGCCGAGAATTCGGAGCCTCTGGGAATCGATGAATACTTCGTGGAAATGCATGTGACCTCCCTCGCCGGCCCCTACAAGAATACATCCAAGACAAGGAACGTGGCTGATGCCTTGGAGATTGTACAAAAAGCCAACAGCTCGCACAACGCAGCGGCGCTTAACGTAATTGCTGATGCACAGTCCCGGGCATCGCTTTAACTGGACTGACCAAGAAGTTTCACCAAGCGCTTTCGAAAGTCAGTAGCTGCAGCTGATCACAAGACTGTATCAGTCCGAAACCTCTTGAAGAGCTTAAGGGAAGGACGCAACAATAAAGACTTTGCACGGTTCAGTCCAAGAACGGGGGAGCATAAACGCATAGATATATGAGATGCAGCATCATCAGAAGGACATATTTAGTGGAAAGTGAAGAGAGTGTAACTTGTAGATATACATACAATACTCGTAGAACATGGTTTTGTGTTTTAGCAGGAATCTCGCTTACTGTAGCAAAGAACGCCAAAGCCAAGAACATGGTCGTTCGCTAATTATGCTTCGCTTGTTTGCACTGTTCACTCTTCTGTAGCTCAGGAGCGTGCCCGAGGGGATACTTCTGTCCCATACCAGGAGCAGATGTCACCTGGCTCATGAAGCTAGTGTTGGGCAAACCGACTGTAGGGTGAATGTTCCAACAGGACGCCGGTGAGCAGGGCCGTCTGTAGCAGCACCCAGCAACAGTAGTGGCAGCACCCTCGCAAACTCTCCACGGGTGCCTGCGAAGTAACTCAACAGATGAATCCTAACAGCTAATGAAAAGGACTGTGTCCCATAAATCCGTAATATTCGTGGAACGATAAGGAATGGCCTGAAACTGTGTTGCCGAGGTCCGTCCTTGTCCCGCAGGTGGCAACTGCCCCAAGGGCGTAACGCAACCGGAGGCGATTTGGACCCCACGTGCTCCCGCATGATCACTCGATGTTTCGCTCGTTTTTCACTCGTTGGCACCATCACACAGAAAAATTGTTGCCTTGCAATTCTTGCCTGCGACAAATCCCTCAGGCCTGCCAAGCTGGGCGCTTTTGCCCGCCTGGCAGAGATGCCGAATGTCCGAAGGCAGGAGAAAGCGTTCGTAAGACTTCCCCTTCTTAGAGGCAAAGTAGCGCCTTGTGGTGTTTCTATGCATTTCCATTTTGTCCGACCTGGCCTGGACCCTGCCCTAGGGACACTATTGCCCCTTCGGCACCGAGCATCCCAAGCCATGTAAGCCACTCTTCAGATGTGGGGAGCCCAAGCGTGAATCGCTTTGGTATGCCGGAATCTTGAGGCGATGTTGAGCAGTTGAGCAACTTTTGGTCTAGCCACTACCCTGAGAGCACAGGCATTGAATGGATCTGCATTTGGCGTCTAGAACCCGCACTGTCGCCCAGGCCCTCCAGGCAGCAAAGCTCAGGACCCATGGTTCTTCTCACTGCTGATGCTGGCCGTGCAGCCCTCAAAGTCTGAAAATATCTGAGCTGTGCTTGGTCGTGATCTTAGACTAGACCCCCCCCCCCTACCAAGCGTTCTGTGTTGTTCTGGCGAGGCAGTCATTGGCGTAGCGTGTTTGGGCTCCATGCTTTACACGGAGATGGTGCAAAGCGATTTGTGGGCCTGCGCCGTGAGCTGAGCTAAATGCAGCTTCGCCATGCGCAAGTCATGTTCACCTTATGGAAGCGTCTGGACATACCTTGACCTCAGCAAGTATCCTCTTAAAGTCGGTGCTGTGTAGGCCGGTGCTCTGTAGGCCTCCCTGTTCCACAGGCCGTTTGCGCTGCCTGCGCTGGCCTCATGTGGCTAGTCGACGAGGAGCGCCGAGCCGGCACAGGGCTATAGGCTCTGGACGTTATGTATGTCACGGTCCTAGTAGCATCTTAGTGGCGGATTCCCACAAGCCCGATGAACCCCCCCAAGAGCCCTATACCTGCTCGACGTGCAAGGAGATCCCGAGGTCCCGAAGCCCGAAGGAAGCACTGGAAACATAGAGCATGCCCCAAATTCCACCTCACACCCGTACATCGCACGGGACATACATAATCCAGAAACTCAGCAGGAACAACTTCAAATTTCATCTGTTCTGGACAGGCATTGGTTCGGGTTTCGTTCGAACCGTTCATCGAATCTGACGACGATGTCGCCATGGCTCAACAAAATAGCGACATGTGCATTGACTTGGCTCGTGTGGCCGACGCAGACCACGACTTGACCACGGCTTCGCTTTTGCTTGGATAGGGCGCAGCTGTGAGCTGGATGCCCCTATCAGCCACTGCCCTTCTGAGGCATCCTGGGGATATCACAGGTGTGGTGGGCCACTGGCAAGGGTGCGCACCCTGGACCCCTGCACCAAGAAGGCATCAAGCTGCGTGTCGAGCAGGACAACGTCACTGGTACTCAGTAACCGGAACGAGGCCGCCAGTTTGTAGTAACTCCTTCGTTGAGTTGGCTGAACGCTGCTCATTTCGGCGCTCCCGCACCTGATGTCCTCGGTGCTTCCATGATAACGGATTGCCGTAGGGCTTCTAAAGATCTTCTTGTGCTCCCCGTCCGCAATTTGCGGGCAAATTGTCCAAGAGTAAGCGGAGTGGTGGAGCTCGGGTTTTAGTTTGATGGATTGTGTAGGACTCCCCGGGTCCCGCCACTCTTGCCACTAAGTTGTGCGTGGTGGCCAATGCTACCGCTTAGGAAAGGTTAACTCCTGGATTCTCCTGTAGCATTGCAGGGTGCTATTGTCCGTTGGCAGTGCTCCGGTACAACCTAAAATCCGCCGTGCCATGCAGGCCATCGCCCTCTTCCTGTCCCTCACCTTCGTGTCAGTAGCCGCCAATTGGGCCCTCCTGCGGGTCGGTGGTGTGGACCCCGCTGTGTGCTCCCCGGAACCTTCTTCTTCGACTCTTCGATCCACTGCTCAGCCCAGCCTAAAGCAACGTCAGCTCCCAAGCCCGACCCTCAAGGTAGCACAGATCTTGCTGCTTTGCACCGCCGGTGTGGCAGTGGCGCTGCTTTGGTTGGCGCCCTCATGATGCTTGCAAGGGGCTTTTTCTAGGTATTCTCAGTTTGTGAGGCGATCGTTTACCAAGTGCTGGCCTTTTTCTCTTTCGAGGGTTGAAGGAGAAAGAGAGCAGGGCATGCTAGGCTAGGCTTAGTTTACGGTTGCAGGTCCTGCACCTCTTCCAACCTCTGAAGTCCCGCTGTTTCGATTTGGGTGCCTCACCTGGAGGTACATCCGCCGAACCACTGGCGACGTTTAGATGGTCCTTTCAAGGAAGCAAATGTCGAGAGAGATGAGTGCAACTGCTGCAAAGGCAAGACTTGAAGATGAGATCTGCAGGGGCCAAGAATCCCCAAGATGCTTTTGTCACTTCGGCCCTATTTTGCTTTCGAGTCTTCGCTGGATGCTCTCCCTACTCTGGCTTGAATCTTCCCTGGTCAGCTCGCCAGGTGGGCGCTCTTCTTTGCTGGGCTGCTCATGTGCTGCACGATTGGCTATCTGATGTCGCGACAGGCGGGGCACCCAAATCGGGACAACACAGGCAGATTTAGAGCATGGTGACGCACCAGGTACGTAGAGCTTCGGGTTTGGGATTGTTCGCGGCGTAAACTTCTCGGTGCTTCCTTCTGACTACTGCATTTCAAGTCTCTGTGCATGTTATGCTATTTCCGGCAGTTCTTACTCTGCGCAGCTAAGACCACCGGACTGGTTCAATTAAGCAGAGTTTCGGAGCTTGCGCAGTCGACTCAGGGATGCATCCTTCGATCGGCACCATCATTGGACCATCATGGAAGGATATGTAAGGGGAGCGATCGGTCAACCGCCTCGACCTTCACGTGGGGCATGGGCGAATCATCTCAACTGCTGTACATGCAAGGGAATCAATGCGTATTCTGCACTAGGCTGGCTACCTTGGGCCGGCTGTGGGTCGCAGCACAGAGGTCTGCATACACAATGTCTGTAAGCGGCAGGCCATCAGGCCATCCTGTCGTCGATAGTAGCTAGCTGCTGCTCATATTCGCACTCGTGAGCAGGGACTTTTGGCATGTTGCTGTGCTCTTCAACGAGGAAGGTAGCTCGTCGCAACACCCTACGCCCCGCTTTGTTAAAACGCATCATCCCAGATGTGCAGACATTGTGAACTCCGTTCTGACTCCCTAAAGGCGGTACAGTAGAATAGCTCTGTTGAATCATAGAAACTCCTTAAGCTTCTGCTCTCACCCAGGCCTCTGCCGCAGTTATGCTGGGCCGTTTCCTCCTGACCAGACCTCAGATGGGGTTCCCCTAAAGCTGTTGGACAAGAATGGGTGAGAGCACACTGCAGTTGAGGGTTCTTGTCTTGAAGGTTGTTCCAATGCGGTTGGGGTTCATGCAGGCAGTTGGCTATCAACAGCTCTGCTTACACGCCATAACGCTGCCGGAAAGGCAGTAGAGATGTTGGATTTTGATGCCTGCATGAAGGAGCCCACGTGTGACATTACTTTCTGCCAGCGCTCTCCGGTGAAAGTGAGGCTTGTAGCCTTTGTGGGGCTGATCTTCAGCTATTCCCAGGCGCTTATGCTTCATGTCGAAATAACAATTGGCCGATCCTGAAGATCGAGCATCGCGCCACATGCGTGTGCTTGCTTGTAAGTCTTCTGCCCTACGTAGGCGTGTCTAAGCTGCACACGAATGATTTGAGTGCTACATCAGCCTTCAGCTCTCAACATGGCTTTTGCTTTCTGACTTTGACGTTTGCCGTCATTGCTGGGAGGAGTTATTGCAACAAATATCAGAGACGGGGTCTTTTGAAAAGCGACAATTAGAACATTCAATCCTGCCGAGAGGTGGATCCGACGTTCACGCTTGCCTTGGGCATCGTTCTGCTCGTCCAGATCTTGGGCATCCTCGTCTCATGGGTGCCACCTCGAATCGCGCGAGGTCATAGGTGGTGTTGCGTCTATCCTGCGTCGATTTCTCCTGACATCCGAAAGGTGTTGCCTGAACCAAAGCCATCACACACATGGTCTAGTTTTGATCCAACATCAGTTTGCATTTGCTTGCATTTCTTGCAATGTCAGCGAAGCTTAGAGAACCCGGGCTTCTGAAAGGCTTTTGAAAGGCCTTTATGTCTTTTCTTCAGAGACTCCCCTAGTAGTAGAGTAGGTAACCTTGAACCTTTTTGGGGTAGCATAATCCTCTTATAATCCCAAAGGTTAACCTTTAATTTCCCCAGGTTACTGGACAACTAGGCTCCTCGCCGCACTTCAGCTCTACTGGGCAAAGACCCGACATGCGAGCGTCAGTACATGTCAGAAACATTGAGCCACAGAGTCAACTCGCCAGAGCTGTCTTGAAAGCTAGGTTCCCCTGAACAGAGTCTCATAAAGAGGAATGCAGATAGTGGAAAGGCACATACACCTAGCAACATACCCGTGGCCTCCCACACCAAGCCCATGTCCTGTGGCTTGCAACCCTGCGAATTCCTCATGGCTTCGTAGGCCCGAGACCCACCGACTTCCAATCAGGGCTCGTCTGTCTGCTGCTTTTGGCACAGTGCGTAGACAAGAATGTTGACGTGGCAGACTTCGCAGTCAGCGTCACCCAAACGGGCAGAACACTCCCCTGAGTAGCTGTCAACTCAAGCTCTAAGACTCTATGTCTGTTATTTATATATTTCACACAAAAAACTTGCATTACATGTTGTATATTGTATATTCCCACCTTTGTATATATATATATATATACATACACATGCGCATTATATATATATATATATATGTATATATGTTTCTCTATTTATTTATTTATTTGTTTATTTATCTATTTATTATATATATATACATACATTTATTATATATATATATATATGTATTATACATTTATCTAACATATGTGTATAGTACAGTACATAAATAAATAGATAGATATGTGTATGTATGTATGTATGTATGTATATATATAGATATAAAAACTGCATATAATCTAGTACGCATTATAGATGATATAGGACAAGTTGTATACTATTCGGTGTATATCATATGTCGTACATTGTATTTTGTACTTTGCATATTGCATATTACGCATTGCTTGTTATTAAACCGGCATTTGCGATATCTTTAGATACTGTCGGCATAGCGCTGTGTAGCCTTCCCAGTTGGTCCAGCGCCATCGCTTTCAGGCATGACCCAAGTATGGATGAACCAGCGGTTCTTGCGGTTGAGCCCTGCAGACTTCGACAGTGGCGCGTGGGTCTTATGGAGCAATGCACAGTTCAGAGTTCAGAGTCCAGCTTTGGATTGATCTCATGCATTTAGGTGAAGCCTGCGCCCCCACACACTAAGGCCCGAAACCCTGAGCTAACCGGCGCTAAGCTTGTAAGGTACACTGTGTCAGTGTGGCCAACATCAGCCCTTTGGCAGATGTCCAGAGCATGTGGACAGCCATGGCCAAGGCATTGTTGTGACGGCTGTGCTCTGTCTAAGTCCATTTTGAGGCTCTTGAGATGTTTTGGGTGGCTTCGGAAGTTTTTTGGCTCTACAAGTACTGCAAGTTATCGTGCGTCCTTGGGGCTCTTGCGCTTGTGGGTTCGATGAGCAGCTGCTTTTGGCAGGGCCAGGATCCCAACAGCGTCATCCCGGCCCTCAAGGACGAGCATCGGGTTGCTTTGCTCTGAGGTTGATTGGGGGACTCAAGCTACGAAACATGATGGAAGTAAGGCTGGTGTAGAAGTGGTCGACGGGACTTGTCGTATTCATGGTGCGCTCACCTGTTGGCCTTCTCCTCCTCTGGATCCTCGCATGGTCAGTTTGTCAGGGCAGGAGGGCCATCTTCATCTTCGCCAGTCCTAGCGACCAGGTGCAGGCCAGTTCACACCGGGATGGCTCATGGAGTATCAGAGTATCAGAGTATCCCGTTGTGTTTTGCAGTGTATGTTGGACGTGCGACTATTTCATCTGCCTCACCCTTAAGATCCTGCAGGAGCATGCGCAAGCACTATTCAGACCACTCACTAAATGCATCTGAATGCGCTACGCTTGCACTCCGCTCCAAGCCCGGCCCGGGCTTTGGGAAGGTGGCAGCGCTGCGTGACTTCGTCCAGGCGCGATATTGAGTGCGCAGTGAGCTTCGCTTTCCGCGCCTTTAAGTTGAAGAAGTGCCGAGGCGTGCTGACAGTGGCATAGAATTCACGATCTTGCCAGGCGATGGATGCTGTTGGCAGCGACGCAGCGCCAATGCCCAGCATCTCAGAAGTCAGATTCCAGCTAGATTTCTGAAGTGCTGGTGCAAAGGCGAAGCCTGTCCGAGTAGCATTGCCGCTTGAACCGTCCGCCTAGAAGTGTCTTGGTAAGCATCTCAAGCTGAGGATTTGGGCACCACACACCGTCACTCCTGAGGCCGAACAGGTTTTTTTTTGTTTTATTGGGGCGTTCTCGGCTCCAACCGAACCCGGACACATTCTGCACTTCTATTTGAGGGTTTAGGGTTTAGGGTAGCTTCACCAGCATGGCGAGCACAGTTGGCGCTGGACATCTCGCGCACCAGCATAAAAGAGCTTTGACAGACACATTGCCATGTCAGCCTCCACATTTGAGTCATTTCTATCATTGACGGTGGCGAAGCCTCATGTTTGCATGCAGCACCTGAAGCGACTGTGTATGACAACAGTTATTCGCTTCACTCTGAATTGCAACAACTTCTGCATGTAGTTTTGTCCATGCTCGTTCGTTCTGGCAGATTCGCCCGCACAACGCTGTTGTTGACCCTACACCGAATGACGGGCGCAATTTGGTCAGCGATGGACTCAGCTGAACCAGAACTTGTTGAGCATCTCGGTGATGTTCACAAGAACTTGAGCTGTCGTGACAGCATATGACTGCGTGGTCACCCAATGTTGGCAGCACCTTTTCCTGCGTAAGCATTGTTCGCTCGACTGCCGCAGTGAGGCGATTTGATGGCTGCGACCTCGGCAAGCCAGCGCGCATAGCACCACTACCGGGGTGTAATAGGTGCCACAAGGCTTCCGAACACTTTCGGGTGGGGCGCATAGTATGCCTAGGAAACGTGAAAACGTGAACGCAACAGTTTCCTAGGAGATCGGGCTTGACGGCATTATCTCGGGAGAGCGCGGCCCTCTGCAAACAGCGTAGAACTGTGATAGTGTGCTCGTGTGTGCTTCGAGAATGCCGTATGCAATCTGCTGGCCGGCATGCCAAAGCTAAAGCCGATGAAATGTGATGGAAAGCCGGAGAGCTGCGACAAACCACCGATCTTCTTGAGTTTGCAGTTGCAGTTGAAGTCTGCAGCCTTGCATAGCCTTTTTAAATCTGAGCTCGGCTCGCGAGGCCGCAAGGTCCAGCGCTGGCGCTAACGATGCGCATGTGGGTGCTGCCCTGAGACTGAAGCCTGGGACACTCCTCATAAAATTCTCCTACCGGATGTGTGGAGAGACGCGTTGGGTGCCTTCACTGAGGTGCACAAGATCGAGATGGCTGCACAAACCCTGCAAGGGCCCAAGCTGCAGGCGCTGCCCATTTTGCTTGGATTGCAGCATGAATGCAGCGAAACAACCTCCGGGGGTTCTGACGCCTTTCGCTGCCGAGGACGGAGGTCATGTATGAGAGGAAGCGTCGGGCCCAAAACGTGGAGTACTTCAAGGCCGTTCATGTTGGCTAGTGCAGGCTTGTGTGCTTGTAAGGAGCCTAATTAGCTAAGTCATGATGCGTGATGGATAGCTGTGCTCAGACTGTGTTCAACTCACAGCCCCTGTAATCATGAAGTCGTCGCCAGGCCCACACCGACAGCCTGCTTTGGGACTACCTGCGAAATCGGCCCCACACCTGGACATCCTGCAAGGCAGCCCCCGAAGGATCACTGTCGGAAGCACGCTACGACTCAACAAGCGAACGCAGGACAAGGTGAAGCTCGAAGCAACTGTCGCCGAGGCTCGCGCCTGTCGTCCCGCCTTGCGACCGACATCTCCCAGAAGGCCATTGCCAACGGCAAGCATTGCTCATGCCATCGGAATCTTCGCGCTCCATCTGTCGTTCCTTCAGCAGGTCGATCCTGGCACAGTTCCGCTGCCAACAAATAGTCATGCTCAACGTTCAACGTTCTGTTTTGCATTGGAGCTCGGTCTTCATTGTTGAATGCAGAGGCATACCGAGCCACATAGACGGATGGTCCTTTGGTGCATCTGCCGCAGCTTGGGGGGGTCACAGGAGACCTCACTGCATGCGCAGAGTTCTCAGAGTCAGACTGTGTTCTTGTATGCCAGGCAGTTCCCGCAGAACTCCCAGCGGCGTGGACACAGCCTGAGCTTGGAAATTTTATTCTGACATGGAACTTTGCATAACCGGTTGCGCGCCTGGTCGCGCGTGCTGCTTCCTTGAGTAGAAGTGCAACTGCACACAATCCAATAGTCAAAATTGCTGAGTCGAGTAGCGTCTCAAATCTCAAAAGTTGTGCACCTGCCGATTTCACGAAAGCTCCTCGTCAGAGAGCCTCATTTCCCGCAAAAGTAGACGCAGTCCAATTTCTTTTTTTGGGGAGGGGGGGGGGGGGGTTGGGAGGGCTGAACCCTAAACCCAATGTTTTGCAGGCCCGTGGCGCGTTTTTTGTGTGAAGGTTCGGGGGCAGAAGCAGCAGGATCCTCTCATGATGCTGTCCTCCACTTGAATGCCCCCTTCTTCTGATTATATCATTCCAATGGTATATCTCTATGTGTCTATATGTATATATATACACACTTAGTAGTATGTTTTTCTTCTTATTTCTTCTGTTTACATATTGTTGTATTGTACCTTTTGCCGCGACATTGCACTAGATGGAGCTTTCATTGCATCTGCGCTTCTCAAGTAGATAGCACCGTGGATGTTTACAGTATGTCGTGCCACTCAGGTTTATCGGCTAAACCGCCGTCGGCAAGACAGTCCGGACCCTGTTTTGTAGGAAGGGTCGACCGCAGTAGAGGGAAGTAACTGACCTGGAGTTGCCCCCACTATGTACTGCAGGATCTGCAAGCCTGGTTCTTAGAGGACCCCTTCCCCTTAAACCCTAAACCCTAAACTCCCTAAACGCCCTAAAAATCCAAAGCCTTGGAGCCCCTTGGACTCGACCCTGAGCCTCTCAGGCGCCAGTGGTTCCGCTCGCGAGGTCGCACGGCTTGCAGGGCAGCCCAGGTGTTTGCCGTCTTTTGGTTTAGGATTTGGGGCTTTGAGGGTGTCGGGGTCGAGGTGTCGTTTGGGCTGCAGTGGTCGGCGGAAAGATGTTTACAGCGGAAGCTCTGTGCGCAGAATCTCTTGCGAAACATGGCTACCTAGAACTAGAGCGCGCCAGCCCAGGTTGATAAATCCACCATCCGAGACATCAACGGCATCATGTCCCTGAAGCGAATGGCCGCCTGCTCGAAACAAAGGTTTAGGATTAGGGTTTAGGGGTTAGGGTTTAGGGTTTAGGGTTTAGGGTTTAGGGTTTAGGGTGTGAATGCCTGCGAGCTTGCTGTTGGCACGGGCATGGGGTTGCAAGCAGCTGACTTCGAGGTGGACGTCCTCTGGATGGTTAGCTGCGACAAATGGCAGCACCCAAATATTCAGAGGCCCACTCTTCGTTCAGAAGCTATCTACACACTACACGGGACATTTGCTTTTACTTTGATCAGTCTCGCTTAGCTTGAGCTTTCGGGCTACTTGCCAATCACTTCCTGACAAAAGGGACAAAAGCTGCGGAAGACAAGTTCAGATGTTTCACTGAGAAGTAAAAAACTTCGGAAGGCTCCTTCAGATCTACCACTCTCCGCCGAGTTCTGAGCTATCTGCCTTGTGTTGTAGTATCTGCATGATGTAGAAGGCTGCATTTATGTGTGATGAGCGCCAAGGACCCACATCATCATGCGGATGGAGTGAGCCAGCAGCGTGCATGATCCCGCATGTTCAAGATCCTTTAAAGCCTCATACAGTCTCCACCAGAACACCGGTGCACAATGGCCTCAGAGCACACGATGTGGTGAATGAGAAGAATTGAAGGTACTCCGGTGCTGGAAGCCTCCATGACCGCCTTGTGCGGCGGAGTCGAAGGTGGCGCGGCAAGCCACAAATTCGCGTCAGCAAGTTAATGTTTGTCATTATTATTATTGTTGTTACTACTATTAGTATTACTATTAGTATTTCTATTACTATTGCTATTGCGATTGCCGTTGCCGTTGCCGTTGCCGTTGCCGTTGCCGTTGCCTTGCCATTGCCGTTGCTATTGCTATTGCTATTGCTATTACTATTACTATTACTAATACTATTATTACTATTACTAGCACTCTTCTTATTACTATTCTTACTTCCATTTTGATTATGATTATTACAATTATTATTATGGTAGCATAGTTTCGAGTGCTGCGTCTTGCCGCCTCGGCCCGGCCCGGCGCTGTGCAGAGGGTTTTAGGCTTTGGGGTTTTAAGGGCGGGTCGGTCCGTTGACACAATTGCAGAGATTCCAGAGATTTTTTCGCTTTACGGTTTAGGGTTTATGGTGGTCCATAGCTGGAGTCTGTTGCAGCAGAGAGGCTGGAAGCGTTGAACAGTTGCGGTGAAGGCCTATGCTGCACACAATCGTTCTCTTCAAGTTCCTGCTCTTAAGCCCGGCCCCACATGCCCCGGCTGGCGGGGGGGGGGGGATACGGGGGGCGACTGGGGGGAACGGAACAGCAGCAACAGGGCTATCAGCACCCGCCATGAAGAGCCTGAAAACTTACAACGTGGGGTCCATGCAAATGGGATTTAGAGGAAGTAGGCAGGGGGTCCCGTAAACCTCAGATGCCACACGGCCGAGGGCCGAGGCGATCATCCGCCTTGTTAAGGCGATGGTTGTTGCTTATAGCAGCTTCAAGCCTGTCACGATGAGTGGACGAATCCTGCTCCTTCCTGGAGCCGTTTGGCAACGCACCCCGGTTATGGCACCTTTGTACATCCCAGGCCGCTGTCGTTTCCCAAAACGTACGCTCCTTACGTTTCTTGCAATGCAAGTAGAGCGCCACGCCGTTGGCGCTAAGTCATCAGGAGTCCCATGAAACAGTTGCGAGCGCTTGCATACTCGTGCCGATTATTCTGCTGCTGCAAAGCTCCGATTTTGTCTTGCTTAGCGAATGTGCGAGTCTATTGGGTCTCGAGGTCGCAGATCTTGCAACAGATCTTCCGGGCAGTGACCCACCTCCACCTGGCAGCAAAGGTGTGCGACGCACAGATCCACGCTCGACTGGGCAGGTATCACGATGCCACGACGTTGTGTCTGCCGATGTAAGAAGAGTGAATAGAGGTTTTCTGAATTTCCTGTAGCGATTATGTGTCAGCGACTCAGGTGCCATCGAGATCTCAAGCCAGAGAACTTCGACTTGCACGAGGAGTTCCCTGCACCAGTAGGTTGCATCACCGGCTTTGCATCTGGCTTTAAGTTGTACAAACAGCTACACGTGCGAATATGGCAAGCAGCCTTACCCAGTATTGCATGGCTGCCCGAGCACAGCTGTGAACATGGCAGTCGTTGCAGTGCCAGCCGGAGTAGCAGTGTCGCAACGATTATCTAGCGCTGATCCACGCCCAGACGCCGGACATGGTGTCGGTAAAGTTGACGGGCTTCCAGCTCGCCTTCGTCTTGGAGGCTTGCTGCTTCGGTATCTGCAGCGCTTGCGGGTTCGTTCCTATCATATCTTCTCTCGTTTTAAAATGCCATGGCGCTGTGCGCCGTCTTTGCCGGCAGTCCAGCTTCCTACAACAATCAAGAAGTGACCCGAACCAGACTCCAGATCTTGAGAGTTGCAGGAAGTGCTGCTCTGCCACCAGAAGTGCGGGACGCTGCCCTTTGTGGCTCCGGAAGTGCTGAAGGGCGAAGGGCAACCCGATTGCACTCGGTGTTCATTTGTTGGCACGACGGCCTGAACAGTCTACGCAGAGTTGAGTTAGGCGGGTGTGCTTTTACCGATGTTTACCGTTTACCCTCCCTCTCCAAAGAAGACTTCTATTGGTCTGGGGTGGGGTTGGGGCTGGGATCGGGGGAGGCGGTCGAAAGTAGAAATTTCTCCAGGCTCTTCAGAGAGTAGTTACGTGCTTCGTGCTTACTGTACTCTTGCCTGAGCTTCCTGTAGCCTCTGAAGGCCCCGCTCTGCAAACCTAAGCCACCTCTTCTTGCTCTGAGGATAAACGTTTCCCAATTTGAACTGCAAGGCAAGCTGAAGCGAAATTGGTGAGCATCCATGAGCTGAGCGGACAGCGATCATGAGACAGGACTCCCGCGCCTGCCGATGCTTTAGCATTAGTGAATTAAAGGATTATCGTATCACTTGCCCAGTCTTTGGCCACCAAGGTATCATGCTTTGCCGGTTGACCTCTGGGGCCCCTTGGCGGATGCTTGATGAGTTCAAAGCATGTAAGGCAATGTAAGGTCAGCCAAGGTACGCTGTCTCTTGCTAGATTCCGCTCTATCAAAGATTCAATGTAGCTGCTGTAATGTGGAGAATAGACTGACAATGGTATTCGCCGTATCACATAGTTTGTCATGAGGTGTCGGCATCAGCGTCATCGAAATTCTCTGTGGGACGCGTGCAGTCGATGAGGCTTGAACGGCATCACGTTCATCTTGAATTGCATTGCAAGGCACAGCCTAACTCCGATGGGAGAGGGCATCGGGGAGGGCATGCGCAGCACCTGTCACAGGCCTTGGGTATCTCAGAAGAGGACCACCCTGCAGGGTACTTAGATTGGCTGCCCTTCTAAGGCAGAGTGATGGAAGTTGCGTGCACGATACAAAGCCGTCAGCTGTCAGTCTACGCTTTACAAGAAAACCTTTGAGGCATTGAGGGAGATAAGCCAACGAGCTGCCAAGGGGCTCGCATACCGCTGGCCGGATGGTTCCTTCTTACAGCAACTTCTGGCAGGCCGGCATGATGCTATTCAGAAAGATGCAAACTTAAACTGCTGCCAAGAGTCGACGAAGCAAATGTCAATGCAAATGTTGTAATCCATACTTGCAGAAGGCAGCTGTATTATGTCCTGTTTCATGCCGGGGGCGGATGTTGCAATGTACTTTCGTGCTGATTCGTGCTGCTCTCCGCAGAGGTTTCCAGGAGCCTGGTTCTGCTGGGCAGCTACTGTGACTTGGGCCCTGTTTTTCATCTGCTTGTGCCGGCTGTTGCTGTGAGGCTTCGCTCCGCTTCGCTCTTATAGCAGAAAAGGAGAGTAGATTGTAAAATGGCGTTCTGACAGGGGAGTAGTTTGTAGTTCGTTTTGGAAACTTCTTGAGGTCTTCAGCCTGAGCGCTTTTGCAACAACGACGAAGACGACAACAGCGACACCCACGACCACCACGACGACGACGACGACGACGGCAGCAGCAGCAGCAGCAGCAGCAGCAACAACAGCAGCAACAACAGCAGCAAACAGCAACTACAGCAACTACAGCAACTGCAGCAACACCCGCAACAACAGCAACAACGGCGACAACAGCAAAACAACAGCAGCAAAACAACGGCAAAACAACAGCAACAACAGCCGCAACAACAGCCACAACCACAACGACAAAGACAGCGACAACGACAACGACAAAAACGGCAATGACGACGACGATGACCGTTCTCTGTTTTGTAAGTCGCTTGTTCAACGTTTTCCAGTTGCATTCTCTCTTTTGAGGCAGATGCGCTGCATGCCACAGCTGCGACCCTTCCTGCCCTCGCTTCAGCGGCACTCTCAGATCCGTTTCCAGTGCTTCGGTTCAGCGGTTCCGGTTCAATTCCGGTTCGGTTCCGCGACCTTCCTGTTCAAAACAATGGTCGGTTGGAGGAAGCGCCTGGGTGACGTGGACTAGTACGTGAGCAAACTAGTCAGACTCCCTTGCGCGGGACTTTGCTGGGTGTGTAATATGACTGGTCCCCAGGCCTGTGGTGGATGGCCTGCTGAAGGTGGATCCGGAGGAGATGTTTTGCATCATCGTATGTCAGTTGATTGACGGTCTGCTTTTGCTTCATAAGATTTGGGTGAGAGCATGTTGCAGCACGTGTTCCAGAGGTTTCGTCCCAACAGGTGCAGAGGTTTCAAAGATTTGCAGACGGCAGACATTGCATGCCAGTGCATCAGTCCTAGTGTTCAGACGGAGGACCGGTGGACAGCAATCGAGCTGCAAGCCACCGTGGAGCTGGTACCCAAAGGCCACGGAGCACGTACGACCAGTGGGTGCGTGTTTTGTGCATTGCGTGGTGCATCGCGCGCTCTGCAACGCCTCTCTGGATGTCAGGCCCTCCTATGGCGCCTCCGCCCTTATCGCTCTGACCTCATCTCTGGGAGTCTCCGCTACGTCCCAGTGCGAACGGCGAACAAGTGAGTTCCAGTAAGGCCGCTACCGCAGATGCTGCAGAGACCCCAGACTCCCAGACTGGAGCCGGCAATTCGGCAAGGGTCATTTAGATCGGGAAGAACGATAGCCAGTTTAATTAACATTGTATCGGCAACTACACCGAAGTCGTGCTTGAAGTTGTGAAAGCACTACATATTATGACTTTGGGAGCGTGGCGGGCATGGGGGCATTGTCGCGTGCGCACCTGGCGTGGCGTCGGACGATTTGATGCTGCGCACCTTCTTTGGCCACATTCAGCTTGGGCTTCATGCTTGCCTGCGGTGTAGGTGAATGTTCCACCGCGCCCATGATTGTGGCCAAAAGAACGCTGCTTGCACCAAATCCCAACTTCGGGCCGTGCTACTATTGGCAGGCTTCCTGACCACGAGGACACGCAGGCAGCGGGGACAAGTGCTGCTTTCCTATCCCTTCGGTTGGATGAGGCATGGCACGAAAAAGGCCAATCATTGAACCGGTTTTGATTTTTCTCAAACAAACCTTGGTACAGGCTGGTAAGCAAGGGCCGCGCCAAGATAAACGGAACACTTGCCGCAACACTGATTCGCCTACTGCGCAGTCCGTCCAGATGCTGGTCCTTGCCTCGGCAGAATCCGGCGGACGTCTGGAGTGCAAGTGCTTGAGCAAAGTCGGTAGAGTGAAGCTACAAAGTTGCAGCTGGCGTGGCTTCATGCACGAGTCCCAACCTATGTGAAAAATCCATCCCAATCCACCTTGCAGATCCCTCTGGCTCAGACAGGTTCAGACATTGAGAAAGCTCTTGCCAGCCGCCATGGACCATGACCATGGACATCACATGCCTGAGACGGGAAGCAGTGACGCTTTCTGTTCGGGGTCCGGCGGCGTGATGATGTCAGGGTTCCAGTTGGGCTTCGGCCCCAACCAACCCTGCGTCCTTTTCTTATTTCCAGGATGGGTGATGAATGATGCCGGTAAATATTTTGCTGGCTGCCTTGGCGCCTTTCTCATGCCAGTTGCAATCGTGGTGTTACAGTCCATCCGCGAGCTTGTGGTGGAGACCTCAGCCTCCAAGGGGAGGGTGACGGGATTCCTCTACGATGCCCTGGCTGCGTTCCTCTTCGGGTTGCAGATGTTTTTTGCTTATGCAGTCATGCTCTTGACCATGACGTACGAGGCGGTGATTTTCTCCTGCATCATGGCCGGATTCGCGCTGGCTTGGTTCGGGCTACGCCGTGTGAAGCGCCACAAGCATACCATTGACTTGGACAAGTCGAGTGTGGTTGGAGCTCCGTGCTGCTCCTCAATGGAGGATGCCATCGCGTAGCTTGGAGCCACAACTACGAGTTTGCCCAATTTTGCTGTCGAAGTGCAGCGTGTGCAGCTCCGTTGAAGCTTTTAGAGTCTCATACGGCCTCAGTCCAAAGGCTGGACCTGTGTCGCAGCCAATATTTCACAATCTGACCCTTAGGTGGCCTGGCCGTGCCAGGTCTCTTGAGATTTCTTGACAAAGGTTGAGCTGCTGCAGCTCTCTGCAAACGTGCTGCGTGGTGCTCTGCTGCTTGCTGGTCTCTGTCTTCTCAACATTGTTGACACTAAATAACTTAAGGACGAAACCCACGGCGAGATCAGTGAGGGAAACTTTCTCCAGGAAGAGCAGGAAGAGCCGGTGGTATCCTTGGCAGACTTGGCAGTAGCTCAGAGCCCTGGTTTGTTCGACTTGTCGTTTGCCGCTGGGGATCACTGGGGTCACGTCTCCATTCGTCATTCGTGAATGCATTCTGCTCGCATCTTCAGCTAGAAAGAACATGTCACTGTACGTTGAATCCTTTGCTTTTTCTACTTTTTTCCCCAGCACTCGAATTGAGGCGTCGTTGGTGCGCAACGAGTCTGCCAAAACAGCTGGCACTCTCGGAGGCGCCTGCTCTCAGCAATTCTGGCACGGGTCTTTGCCGACCTTCGTGTGTGCTCTTGAAATGTCTTGCAGGACCTGGCTTTCATGCCTTGCAGGACGACTGATGCCACATGGCTTCAGCATCTCAAGAACTTGCATGCCTTCAGCATCCCGACAGTCCACCAGCCGTCTCACCATGTCCAGCAAAGCTGGACTCTCTAGCTCCGGGCTCCAGGAGTTTCAAACCAGGTTTAAGGTTTAAGGGTTACGCCATACAACTCCGAGCCCCAAAAGCCTCAAGGTCCAGACCCCAACCTGGTTCTGGAACCATCTGGAACCCTAAGACAGAATCGAAAAAAGCATGCTTCCACAATCAACTTTGTGTTTGGGGTCCAGGTCAAATATGCTCAAATCGCATGGGGCTCACAGCATGAGAGTTTGGGTATATGTTGGAGTTTCAGTTCGTCAAGTCGCACCAAGGGCCCTGCGCCTCTCCCTGGCTAAGCCGTCTCCTGTTAGCACGCTGACTCATCTGACTCGGGGGTCGTTGCAAGAGGGAAGGTAAATCTACAGCAAGAAGAACAGCATCGAAGACAAAAACACAGCCGCCAACAAGACGAGAGTGGGTTAGGGCAGAATCAGATGTTTCGCTGTCAACCGGCTGCAATGGACGATAACTGCTAGCGTTGCTGACACCTTGCTAACACCATCAGCTTTTCTACGACGTGCCGATCATTGAATATTGAGCCCTCTAACAAGGCCGACACAGAAGATGTCTGCTCAGGTCTAAAACCAGCTGATGGCCCACCTTTGCTATAGAACATGTAAGTATACTATACTCGACAATATTATATTATGTACAGAATTTGTGTATCTCAGATGTTCAAGAGCTTAGGATCACACCTGGAGCTCTTCGAAGTAGTGAAAGGCTTGGGTGGAAGTGGCCGTTCTCCCGTTGCAAGTCCTGTTGGCTCGCGAGCCTGTGCCTGCGCCTGCGCTCGCCAGGCAGCAGGCATTCCGGGAGTTCATGGGTGTTCCATATTGAAAGAATCACATGGTGAAAGGAAAGCTTAGTCAGCTAAGTGGTCCTTGAGCAAGTTGCTACTGTCACAGCCATGTTGATAGTTCAGTTGGTGGAGCTCCACAAGTTGGTTGAGAGACCCCTGGTTGGTTGCACTGCTGAGTGCGAATCCAGAGAGGCCATGGGAGCAGATGACCTGGATGCCGAAACATTGAAGCGGCTGAAACGAGAGGCCTGATTGGCATGAAGCCAAGTGATTCGAAGAGTTTCTCCTAACAAAAAGACCTGGTTGACATGACTGACATGACTGACACGAAGGTTGGCATGCCCTAAACCCTAAACTTCAAACCTTAAACCCTAAACCGTCCAAAGCTACAGTATGAAAGATCATGGAAGGATCAGGTGAGTGTGTCCAAAAAATCTCCGAGAGGTCCTGCAATTGCCCTGCAATGCGCTGCAGGCCGCCATCCGCTCAAAAGAGCAGGACTTTGAACGCAGAAAGAAGGCCGGGATGTGTTTGGTTGCAAGATCTTCCCGCCTCCACATGACCCCAGTGCAAACAGATTGTACGCTGGGTGAACGAGTCGTTTTAAAGCACATCAAGTCGGGCCAACGAGGTTGGATATGGTAAAGAATGTACTTGTAGAACCGTGAAAGCCTCATCCGAGGCACACACGGGAAGTTCAGCAGAGTAGGTGCAATGTTCACACAAAGGTGCCGATTTTTTGCCATCTTCTGCAATATGCAAGGCGGAAGAGAGGAAGAAGCGAGAGCAGCTTCAGGTGCCTTCCGTTCTGCACCTTCACATGGGGGTGGGGGAGGGGGGGTCTCCCTTTTTGGGGTTGAAAGGGGTGCCCTACATTTTGGTAGACACCCATGTCAGCCTGGGAACAGGCATTAAGAGAAGAGTTTGGACCCCAGCTTCACAGTGTGGCAATGATTGGCCTGGGTAGTTGTGCTGCTTCCTTCTTCTAGGGCCGTGGAGTGGGAACCGTTGCGTTGACTTCCAATCTAAGTAGGTGCACCTTTGCGAGCCTGTACTCATGCCTACCACGCGCTGCTGCACTGCGCTATGCGAGCACGCCGTGACCTAAGTGGCCGAGGTATGAAAGCAAGCAGGAGAAGCGGGAACAAGAAAGGCGCGGAAATGGCCTGTGCGTGGAATGTTTCTCAGCCGATAATGCGGAACCCTCTTTATTGTGTGTCAAAGGAGCACCCTGTGTTAATTGCTTCCCTCCCCGTATAGAGGGGCTTGGGATGCGGGGGGTACTGGATTGTAACGACACAAATGTTCTGGCGACGCTTGGAAAGCCTGTCCTTCAACAGAACCTCGCTTGAGCAGAAATGCCACTCGGACCTCTTGCAAGCCGGCAAAGCTGCCGGAGGGATTAAGGCTTCTGAGCTGCTTTGGAGGCTGAGCCTGCTGAAGAAGCAGACTGAACTGCGAGCCAGGAAGAAGGCTGGGGGCCAGCTCTAGGCACATGAATTCTGAATGAGAAACGACTGACGGGGAGAATCGGATGTTAGCTCCAGCCCTGCCCTCAGAGCCTGAAAAGATCGGCAGGCCGAGAACGATCGCTTGAATCAGCTTCGAGAGAAAAACATCTTGAAGAGGCATCAGGCTGCGGGCACCGGGGATAGCCAAGCACTGTTCCATCTCCAGCGTGCACGACTCCAGTGTCTCCAGCGTCGCCATACGTCAGCCGGATAGACACGTTGCATTGCCCTCAGGCCTGGCGCAAGCGAGCCGATGCTGAGATCTCGCACATCATTGAAGACCAGGTCCGCTAGAAAGCACATCCAAAGCGAGCTGCGTCTGCAAGCCAAGTGAAGTCACATGTCTCTCGCTGTGCCATCATCGATTGCGTTCCAATATGACTAACACGCAGTAACAATGGAAGTAGCTACCTAAGATGCTGTGCTGGGTCATTTGGGTGAGGCTCCTCCGGGAGTTCTTCGGTCTCTTCAATCCCTAAACACTAAACCTAAACCCTAAACCCTCTACCTAAACCCTGACTCATGGAGTCACAGCCACTCAACGTGTTTGCTGTTGACGACCGGCAGGTGGCCGAGGAGGAGCGCCTGGAGGAGGTGTCGCCAGCAATCCCAAAAGAACCACAGAACAACGTACAACAACAAAAATGTTTTGGCAAAATCATGTGACAATATGTCATAGCAGAATAAGATTAGAATATCAGAATGTCAAAAATGTAACAGCGCGATAATCTTATCACATATTGAGATTATGCTTTAATAATCTAGTAGAAATAAAGTGATCTTGTAAGAATACAAAATATTGTGCTTGTTCTTATGTTCAAGTTTTCGTCTGACTCGTTTCAAGCTTCATCCGTTTGCTACAGCTCGTTTCTCATATGCCCAACGCCCCTGCCCCGCAATACAAAGTCACGCCCAAGGCCATCAACGCTGCCCGACAAAGGAAGCCAGGGGCCAAGAAGGAAGGCCTGACAGTAGATCCACATAGCGTCGCCACGCACACTCAACCCCACCCCCCTTCACCACGGAGATCGGCATGTTTCTGAGCCTTGGCCAGTAAGCATCGATGGCGTATGAGGTTCGACAGGGCCGAGGAGATACGACAGCAGGCCAGGAGCAGCCATGTGCAATTTGCCTTCTAAGCTTCGGCATCTTGATTTGGCGCATGCACGATCCCTAAGTCTTGTGCAAGCCATGGTTTCCACTCACTATGCCAGCGTAGACCCCAAGCAGTGTAAGACGATTCCAAGAGCACTCCAAGCCCACTGCAAAAAACACACACCAAGAACATGTCCAAGAGAATGTCCAAGAGCACTGCATGTCGACCTCTTCGCCTTTTCTTTTCTACAAGTGTCGGATTTGGAGCCGTAGGAGCTCCGATCGTCCTCAGTTTCGCACTTAGTCCAGACATCCAAACTTCAAAAGCGGCGACGAGAGTTTCGCATGCCGTGGGCGAAGCGACGACAGCGGCGACGGTTTCGCCTTTCGCGAGCCCAAAAGCGACGACCTCCGAATTGAAAATCCCCTTTTGCTTGCGGCCTCAGAGGAGATTGTGGCGGATTGAATCCGCATTAGCTTGCTGCGCCTGCCAATGACACAACGTTTCGGGGTGTCCTCCTCTCTCCGCGGCCGGGCTGCACTTAGGCGAGAGCATAGTTTGCGAACAAGATGCGAGCATGTGTCGAGAACAAACCTTGGTCTGGGATGCGGGCGCAGCGAGTGCACACCCCTCTTGCTTTGACATTGGAGCCTTTTAATGTTGACACACTGTTTGGTGAAAAACATTTGAACCCTACTTTAAGCAATCATTCACGCCCGCCTAAGCTAGTCAAACCCCACGACCCTATACAACACCGCTAGACTCAACAAGTCTTCGGGGAGTACTCCCTTCCGGTGTGGCTTGTGGGGGTAAAGAACCGCTTGGTGGGTGCTTAGGAGTTCCCAATGCAAAATGATGGTGTGACATGGTGCGTTTGTTTTTGGCACGTGGCGGACCTGACATTGAGACTCTTTATAGCCAGACTGTTCGCAACGGCCTGCCATGATCAGAGCGCAACTTCGGTGAGCATCAGTCAAGTAGCGTGGGCACCTTGTCTGGGTGTCACTAGCAGCCCTGACCAGAAAATGGACAAGCAGACGCGCCAAGAAGAGTTGGACATGGCGCGCGGCCACCTCAGTTCATACAGACATCAATGGCTCACATGGCTCATGACTCGTTTCAGAAACCAACTGTATCAAAGCCACGCAGACGAGCAAGGCATGCTCAACACACGATGGGCCATTGAGGGCATTGTCAGACTTTCAAGTAGCCAGGCCTCAAAGTTGATGTCAGAACCCGGTTCTCAGCATGTCGAAGAGCCAGTGTCTTTGCCTGCAGATTGTATCCATGGCGCAGCGTTTCGGATCATTTAATGCCCCCGCTTGAGCCTGGCAAGAGGACGTGGCAGCTGCGCCACCACGCGGCAAGAGTTTTGAGAAACGGGCCGCCCAAATATCGTTCCACGCCCCTCCCCTCCCCTGGTCAACAGCTAGGACGTGCAGTTGTTGTGCTCAGATCTATGCGATCGATGAACAAGGGCTGAAATTGAAGCTGCGGGAATCACTGAGCTGAGGTGGCTGCCACGCAGCCTTGTGCCCTCGAGGGGTAGAGGTGTTGCAGGATGGCAGACCAGAAAGCCAAGGCTCGAGCTCTGGGCAAGCAAGCCTGTTCCTCCCTCTGGCTCTCCTTCCCCCCCCCCCCCCCCTCGCCCTATCCCTGTCTCTGTCCCCGTCCTGCTCTCTCGCTCTCTCTCGCTCTCTGTGTGTGTGTGTGTGTGTGTGTCTCTCTCTCTCTCTTTATCTTTCTCTCTCTCTCGCTCTGCCCCATCATTGCCGGAACAGGATGCTATGTTGGAAGAGATCGCCAAGATGCAAGGTCCAGAAGGCTCTTCGGCCATATTACGCATGCAAGCTCACCGCCACATTCTGTGACCTTGCAGTCCCACAGCCCACACCTGTCCCCTGTTCCCGCTGCGGTGGCGTGGAGCGCATTGACAGGTCCTTAGGTTGAAACATGTTGAGACCCTGGAGCACCAACACTGGGTTCGAGGGTGGGGTCATAGTCTTTATGTTCGAGGAAAAGCCTGCACTCAAACCAGCAGCCATGGGTTCCGGGTGGGTGTGGGGGACAAGCTGCAACACCGCGCCTTCTGCCCTGGTTGGTGTCTGTGCGGCCGCAAGAAAGGTTTTGATTTCGTGGTCATCTGCTGCTCCGACCAGAGCGCGGAAGACTTCTGGCAGGCCACCACTAAAGCAGCTAGGAAAAGTCGTCGAGTAATCGTTGCATCGTGTAGTAGGATTCCTGTTCGGCATGGCTGACGTCACAGCAGCAGTATTTAGGAAACGGTCGTTATTTCTTCAACCTGAGTCTTTGGAGCCAGGCCAGGCTAACTCAGACGATTCGGCAAGTCACCGGATCCAACAGCATCGTCATTTGTGTCCACGAGGCCTGGAGGTGATTGTCTCATCCTTGAGAGACGATGGTCGCTGTCGGTTTAGGGTTTAGGGTTTGGATGCAAAAACGAGCTCATATGGTATCGTGGGTCATGTCAGGGTTAAGGGCATTGGGAATTGACTCTTGTGGGTCCTCGTGTTTCTCAGCTGCCAGCCTTGCGCGCCCTGCCTCTACAGGAGTCTAGCTCCTCACCTTGCAGCATGTTTTCGCATAGGTGCACATCTTGTTTTTTCATGTTGTCAAGAGCGGTGCTGCGCGCGTGGGGCTTGTCTGTACTGTGAGACGCCTCGCCACTAAACACACACACAAACGAACGATCGAACAAACAACCAGCCAGGTGGAATGCGTAGATAGGTCACCATACAGGCATAGCAGAGAAATGCGGCCTGGCAGCTGGAGTTGGCCCAGAGTGCAACCAACCCCTGCAGTGGAATTGACTTTATTTGGGGAAATGAAGGAAGCAAGTACAGTCTCCCTACGGGAACTCCCCGAACCTAAGCCAAAAAGGTGCCTCAACGCGCGTAGGGCTTGTATGAGACAGTTCTAGAAGTCCAACCAAGATGTACTGGGGCACCATACCGCCGCAGCCAAAATGTTTTGCCAGAACCTTGCGTTCGTTTGGTTTTATTTCTTGTTGTTTGGTTGTGTCGTGAGTTGTGTGTGTGTGTGTGTTGTGTGTTGTCGGTGATTGATGTTTTGTCAGCGCGGCTGTGTTTGCGAGAGCTACGCAAGCACTGTTTGATCGACACTGGGGTAAACCAAAGCCCAAATTTCGTAAGCAAATGCATCGCTTCAAGCATGCGCCGCGGTAGGTCAGCAACACGCGTTTTTTATGAGCAGTCGAAGCATAAGAGACCTGCAACAGTGTGATCAGCGAACATCCTTCAAAAAGGGTGATCACCTCTCGCTGATCTCCAGGACTGGAATGGGGGTGCCGGCAATGGCCTGGGTACTCTCTATGCCTTCGTCAAGGACGTCTTGGCAGAGGGATTATGAAGTGTCCGGCTGCATGAATAAGCCCTAATCCTCCTGACCCTGAACCCGAAACCTGATTTAAACAGATTTGGTTGAGTCTCAGCTGCGCAGGCCTGCTCCAAGGGCAAGGAAATGGGGGTCGACTTGGCCCACTCGATGCCAGAGCCTTCTCAGAGATGCCAAAAAGCCCAAAACACGTTGATCTCTCGGGGTGCGGTTTTGAAGTGACTCGAAGTGCGCCAGCTTTGAGGCATGACGGCATGTCGGTGGCCATTTACCACACCGCTGGGAAGGGAACACGCTTGGCTCCCCTGCCCGGTGCGGAGAACAACAACAAGCCAGGCCTTTTATGCGCACTCCATGAGCTGAGCATGTTGCCCTATTCTGAGAAGAGCTGACGCGTTTGCAAGAAACTCCAGCAGAAACAGCCAGATGTCGCGTTGTTGGGGAGAACGTATGATCCAACATCGTAGCAAGTGGGCCTTTGGCGACATTGGGGGATGGTCGCTGACATCATAGGATCAAGCCTGCCCCTGTAGGGGTGAAGCTGCCGGGTCTTCTCTCAGTCGCTGGAAGATTCGAGCCCATAACAGTCCTCGAGAGCGTGCTCCGTGGATGGGACGATTTAGCTGGCTCTGGCTGTTCTTTTGAGATATGAGCGCTTCGGGGTTCAGCAAAGTCAGGGTCTAAGCCCATGACAGGAGACTTGCTGGCGACTAAGCTGAGACTTGCCTTGGTCAAGGACAAACGAGCAGCTATGGATCTGTTCGCGGTGGTCGGTGTTCTGTCTCTCAGCAGCAGACGCACGCAACAGGAACGATTTCTTGAGCTTCCCCTGCGGACTGCAAGTGCAGATTTTGCCCAGGTTTTCTGGGGCGACCAGATCTTCGTGCCCTCGTGCGGCATCCAGAAGACCGACTACCCGGCCGACATTCTTGCAGCCTTGAGGTTTCGCTGAGGGTCTGAGAGTGCACATGAATGCACATGAGCTGCATGCACCAGCCGGGCCGTATCATGTGGGTGCCTCAAAGTAAAGCATCGGTGGCTTTTGGAAGGCAGTCGTCTGGTAGCACGGCTTCTGGACAACTAGTGGTCACCCCTGGGAGGCCCATGCCCACGAAAGAACAGTGGGAGTCGGAAGCGCTGCACCAGCACCTCAAGCTGAAAGTTCTTGCCCTTGCAGTATCAGAAACGGCCCGGGCAGTGGGGACTGGCCAGTCGGACTACAGGCTTTTGAGATTCTGCCTATCAGTATGACAACGCCAGGGGACTGGACAGCAGCAATACCTGAAGTCTTCACTTTTTGTCCAGTCTTCATGTGTGGTTTGCTCCTCCCGTTGTAAAGATGTCTTGACAAATCCCCTGCCTGCTCTGCGAGGTATGGCCTGATTGCAGTCGATTCCAAAGGCGACGCGATGCAATTGGAGAAGGCAGCACCTGCTGTTAAGGACCTAAGTGTTCAATAAATCAGCGATCCGCAAGCCGCTTTCCCGGTTGCTGCGGGAGGTATGCAGCCCCGCTAGAGTGCCTCACCCCTTTTGCTAAGTGCGAAGCTGTGTGCGAAGCTGTTGACACGTCTTCATCAATGAAGGCAGTCTAATGTGGCGTCCTTGCTGTGCTGCAGCAGCCAGTCATCAGACATCTCTCTGGAGGTCACCTACGACACTGCCGTGCAGTACCTGCCCAAAGATGTGGCACAAGTTGGCACGTCGTTGGGATCGTTCTCCGTCAGCGCCTGAGCTGTCTCTGAGCTTCCCTGTCTCAGCAAAGGAGCGCTGACAACCCTAGGTCTCAGCAGCCTTGATGGATGCCCTTTTGGCAGAGTTTGCCCCGGAGCTCCATGACAAGAAAGCCTGAAGCCAGTCTGCACTCAGAAGCCATTTGGAGCTTGGAGTCTTAGACTCTATTATTGTGAGTATCGCGGTATCGGATGAGTGGAGACAGATGGAAACGTGGGTGAGCCGAGGCCTAGACTCAGACCCACACTTCTGGATGCCTCTGACCCTCAAGAAGGCCAGACGCGCTTCAAAAGCGATGATTGGACTGCTTGCTTGGCATGTGGCATTGCTTGGTTCCCTAGGCCGATTACATCGCTGCACCTCCGCTGCAACATCATGACAAGCCTGTGACAGGCGCTTGCATGGAAGGCAAAGATTCAGACATCACCAGCCCAGAAATCGCGTCCTTAGTGCCCCGGACGCGTGAGTGCAAGGTGATGGGCAAGAAGGCTGTTTCAGCTGACGAAGCTGGAAAGCAGCCTGGCATTCGAAAATCGAAGAACACCCTGCGTGGTTGAAACTAAGCAGACAAAAGCTCTGATTGAAGAAGTGCTTCGCGATGCTTCGCACAATCCGCCTCGGCCCCCAATCAGTGGCGGTCGAGGCATGGGAGATGTAGGCACAAACAGAATCAAACAGACAATGGGGCGCACGTACGACGAGCCAGCAACACAAGCCAGTGCCCTGATTTCAAGCTTCGTTGCCCGACCTAACAGTCGGATCCCGTATGAGAGAGCGCTCGGTTTCCAAGTCGGACGGAGCCTATGTGGCAGGCTGCAACTGCGTGTGCAATATGCGACCTCAGTTGACCTCACGTGAGCTGCTTTACCATCTGCTACGAGTTGGAAACCGTCGTTTGTTTGCCCTTAGCAAGCAGAAGCAGTTGGGTTGGTTACAGCTTCCCGAGGCATTACGATCGCATGGCGTCGTTCAAGAACAGCTTTAAAAAGACAGGCCGAGGGTGGGGTGGGAAGTTGTCCAGAAAGTCGATGCTGGCGACTTTCAACGTCGTGGGTGTTGTAGTCTGCGCAGCATCTCTTGCAAGCGTGCTTCCTAGCCAACACACTGTTCGTAGCGAGCTTCCCACGCTGACAGGTGGCATCCTGGGTTGCGTAGATGTCGGGCAGCAGGATGCTTGACACACAAAGGGTGGACAGTTATGCTGTTTGTGGAGCTGGCATGGGCTGGATTTTCAAGCCTAGTACGTTGACGTCGCAGACAGAGTGGAGAAGATGATGAGCGCATGCCTTCAGAGCTACCCGATTCCATTGAACACCTCTCCAGCTGAGTAATGCATTGTGACGGGTGTTCAACTTGATTTGAACAAGGTATACAAGTGCCCCGCTGACACCAGAATTTTGAAGTTGCGTGCTGTCCACATCAGATGTTGGCTTTGACTGCAGAGTCCAGACTTGACAAGACTTTCGCTGTCCTGAGGCATACTGGTGGGATTATGGCCGATTAGAGCTGAATCTCGCTCGCATTCGTCACGTGTGCACACTTGGTCCTTGAGGTCTGTGGCATGAGAGGAAGCTCGATCGGCATGGTAGGCTTTTGCAGCTTGCATGACCATGCTATCATCGTTGATTCCTGCAAGGTACATGCGAAACAATTTTCTCATAACAGCTGCTTGGCATTGAAATTGACATGACATTGCAAGACAGTCAGCTCTCGCAGGATGGGTGTCTGTAGGGGCTCTACAGTAGATCTTTCATGGTCTTTGCGGGCGAAGTTCACCACGGGCACGGATTTCAGATAATGCGATTGCTAGGAGGCCAACCCCAGCGCGCACGCTCTGCGGACGTTTCTGCGACTGCAGCAGCCGAGCCTCGAAAGTGACCTGAGCTTGCGACAACAGTGCTGCTGGGCTGCAGGGACCTAAGGAGACTGGTCACTTTCACTCCATTGGGGTACATCATGAAGAGTGCATGCGATACATGTGTCCTCAAAACTCAAATGCTCATGCACTGCGACGCCTCTCTCGTATGATTTTGTCTTCTCACCCGCTGCTCATCCTTGCGTTCCGCGACTCAGGGAACACGCTTGACGGCGTCACGGTGGACGCCACCTCTGTGGTACTGAACTGCCGAATCGGGGGCGGCAACATCGGGCCAGGCGATGCAGAGCCTCCTGCATTGCATCAGCACGATGACAGCAACAAACAGGCACCGGTGTGGTGCCATTCTTCTGACACCTCTGGGCAGGCTGTGTGCTGGTCAATGTCGTTGCGCCCACCATAGAAGTTGAGAACTGCATCCTGGTGGTGACCTTGGACATCTCTAGACATGGTACTTGTACTACACTCGGTCATCAGGGCTCGTGATGAAAATGTTGAAGTTACATTAACAGTCGCACTACGGCCCGGCCTTGTGTCATCAGAGATTCTTATGGCAGTCGTTATGGGGGTGAGTAGGAGGTCCAGAGCGCGTCGCGGGTGGGATAAGGGGTACATTCGGCCTATACCAGAGCCGGCTTTCGGCCATGCTGGAGAAAGGGGTCAAGGAGGTAGGTTGTTCATGTATCCAAAATGCCTTAGGCATGGGGCCTCGGCGGATGAGATTTGCATCATTCTCTGTCATGATGTTTCACACAGACTGCATGCACGCGCCGCTGCGTGGGCTACTTGTATAGTGCAAGGTGAAGGTCGCATCATCGCGGCCCATTTCTGGAAAGGCATCTTGTCTCACAAATCGCTCATGCACATTCTGTCCCTGTGAAATGGCTCAGGGCGGTTTGCTCTACAACGTGGTCGAAGACAGCAAGGGCGACATGCTGCTTTGCGACCGAGTTCGTGCTGACGTCTTCATGCCAGGATCGAGCTTTTCGATTTGCATTGCTGCATAGACCAGCCTGCTCTCAAGCTTTACACCTGCTGTACCACCATGTGCGGAATAAGTCGCATGGTTTTCAATGGGTTCCCATTTCTCAGGCCTAAACCTGTTTCGAGGGTAGCTGGTTCTTATACTTAGTTGTGACGTGGTCTTGCTTACTCAGTGCTTACTTGTAACTTGTTGTGTCTTGGGGCCCTCCCCCTGGCTGCAGGAAGGCGACGAACCCTAAAAGGAACTTTTGGGCGGCAGACCCAAAACCCTGCAAGGAGATGTTGGGCGGGAAGCCCTACAGAGGACATGTGGCAAACCCCTAGAAGGAGATGTTGGGTGGCAGCACCCCGCTGAAGCCGGCAGGGACGTGCCTTGAGAAGCCTTGAACCCAAATCGGGTCAGCCAGAAACCGGGTTCAACAAACCGCACTGCCTGCTTTGGGCGACATCACCTGAACCTTCGTGCCCAACCACCATACAGTACCATACAGTAACACAGCCTGAGCCAGATGGCATCCACCACAAGATCTACTCCACGCCCAGCACCGATGGTGGCAAGGCATTCTTGGTCAACAAGATTTCCCCTAGTTGCACACAGCAAGGTGGTATGTGAGTGCAAGTTTGCTTCGGAGCAGATATTTCTGAGTCAAGAAAGTAGATGGCGTACATGGCAGGGATTTTTGGCGATTGGAAGTCCAAAGTCTAGGTGCTGCGGAAGATTCGACAGGTGGGTGGTTCAAGTTCTAGCACATGTCCACGACGCAACAAGGTCTGGAAAGAAAAAGTTGAAGGCAACAACTACAGCTTCGAGGGAATTTACAAGGCCGGAGCTTGCCACTCCTGGACATTGAGATGGGGTAGGAGGTAGGATCGGTGTTTTTTTCAAAGGACGGTTCATGCATTCACTTGGTGTTTCAGCTCGTTGTTGCCGGGGTGCAAGTAGACGTGGCCGTACGGGAGTTGCGAACTCTTCAACGACCCTTAGGACCCTCCCCCGGACTCCAGTTAGGCCAAGTTATGCCAAGCTGAGGCCAACCAGCCTCTCGACGTCTCGAAGTGCACAAAAGAGGCGAATGCCGCGCATGACGCAGTCGGCAACAAGGTGATGAACCTCGGATGCAGGAACACTGAATGTGCCTCAAGGTTGACAGCGCAAGGTAGGCCAGGTAGGTTTTTGCACAGCACGAAGCCGAGGCCCGTCTCTGCGCTGACCAACATATTTATGTCCATGTACAGCTGCTGCGCCATGCGGTAACGATACCGCTCTGAGAGCTGAGTCCGCACTTGTGTCGGACAAGTGAAAGCACAGCAGTTCGCAGAATCGCGGTAGAGACCTCTAGTCTAGGAAGCTTGATCAGCAACCTCTGGATGACAAACGACTCTGCTAAGTGCAGACACGGAGGAAAGGACTTGAATAGAGCAAAATGCTCTCAGTCCTGTTTCAAGTAGGCAGACATCGCAAGAGACCGCGCAGCCATTGTGCGTGATGCTTCACATCGGTTTTTTACAAAAGGTATGGCGCTGACAGGAAGAAGTGGTGACTTAATCTTGACTCTTGACATCCGGTCCTTGAATAGGACACGTTGTCGGCGAGGAATGATTCCACCCAAGGGCCGGTCAAGCCGCATACTTTGGGGGCTTGACGGAGGCTTCAAGGCCAAGAGCTGAACCCCGCCCCTCCTCCAAGCAAGTCTTCAAGTTTTTCCCCTGGAATTGGGCCATTTCCCTTTAATTGCCGATGTCAGTATTCATGGACCCACCGGAGCCTGCCACACACCCAGGCGCGGAGGCAGACCTCGAAAGAAGCAAGCGGCGCGATCTCAAGGCCATCAACCGCCCGGGGCCTCTGCCTTCTAGAAGTAGGAGTTTGCGATATTCGGGGTACCTTCTTGGGGTCCTTATTGTAACGGGACCCTACTATTTGGGGGTCTATATTAGGGTTCCTCATTATGGTAAACCCCCAAGTAAACCACAAAATACCAGTAGCCGGTCATCGAAGTTCTGGTATGTAGTACTTGTGAGCACCTTCCAAAGCAACTTGTTTGCAACATCGAAAAGAGCTCAGGTGTCGATGCTTTGAAGATGGAAGCACGCGATGAGTTGGAGCGCCTTCGGCAAGTTGGTAGCCTTCGGCTGTCAGCAGCGAGATCGGTGTCATCTTTCGCAGTTGAGAGTGACGAATGCAAGAGTGGCGTATGTGGCAGTAAGATGCACCGGCGCGTGTTTAGTGTGACTTGACAGGTCCTTCATCCAGAACCCGTACCCCGTGCCGCTCAAGCAGGCAGTTCTAAGAACAGAGGTGTACGTTCTATATTGTGCGCATCTACAGAATTGTGCGTTCCTGCCATGGGCGCCTTCTGACAAGCGAACAGCCATCAGGTGCTGCAGTCTTATGTATCCTCAGACCTAAACCACGCATGACTCCAAAATGTTGGAGCACACTCCAAGAAGCCCTTCTTCAAGACAAGCGCTGAGAAGCTACTGAAAGGTAAAGCTGGCTACAGCCACCTGCATGCTCAGCTTTGCCGCCGCCAGGTTCTGGCCGGGCGTTTGCGTCCAGTGCCGACGGCACATTGCTGAGCTTTCCAAGAGTTGGATTCTGATGTGGCTCTGATTCCTGGTTTGGTGCATCGAGCCTTACTTTGTATCGTCTCCACACAGGGCCGTGTGAGACCCAAGGGCAAACAGAGTCAGGATGGCTGACCGAGTGGGGAGACGCTTGTGGAGTCAGTGTTGCATATTCCAGTGAGGTGTCTGAGCTGCTGGCAGCCTATAAGGACCTTTGCCGAACTTCTGCCCCTCAAGCTTTGGACCAGCCGGCTGGCTTGCTTTTCCCGAGGACCAGCGAGAAGAGCTCGAGTTCCTGGAGAAGGAAGACATCCCGATGCGGGTGTGGGGCCTGGACTGGAACGCTCTTATGCGTAGCGCAGGTCACCAGTTTGCGAATGGCGGCATGTCATGACATGACTTCCTGGCAAGGCACAGCTGTGCAACCAAAGCATCTTTCAGTACGTCCGGGACATTCAGCTCAAAGCAGAGGCCAGACGCCCTCGCTCCCATGAAAAAGCTGCTGCTGACAACGGCATTCGCGAAGCCAAAGCAAATCAAACGAGTCAAGTCCCGTTTCTCCGTAGAAGAGCCACTTAGCCCCTGAAGGCCGAGCGGATGCGGCCGCCAGAGCCAGTGGCTGGGGTCGGGGCCTGTAGCAAACAGTCCTGAGCCTGCAGCTTTGTTTCTTTGTGGGACACACTGAATCATGGGGTTCTTGAGAAGATGAGATGAAGAAGGACAGAAGGATATAGACATAGAAGGTTCAGGTTGTTGCAAGTGGCAAGAACGCCCACAGAATCACTCGCTGCCTCTCTCTCGCTGTCTCTCGCTTGGGAAGTCGGCCTTTGCTACCCAAGGATCTTCTGCGGACAGTTGGCAAGAAGAAGCAAGCGCCAAGTCGGGGGCTCAAGGTTGCCTAATATGTTCAATTCAGCCACTTCTCTGATTCACTGCACTCATCGGTCACACAGTGAGTCACACATGGTCTCATGAGTCTAACCCTGCCCAGCTTCGCCGGTCAACCGGCGAACCAAACGCATTGGGACGCGCGCGGCCTAGATGCAGAAGGTGCGGAAATCATTATCCGAGGCCACTCGAGGATTCTCTGCTTCAGCTCAAAGAATCTTTGTAGGGGAGTCGAGCTGGTTGAATGGAACCGTAGTAGGAGGGTTTGTCGTGGACTCCGATGCAGATTCCGCCGCACCTGTACAGTTTCACCTTGTAAAGTAGCAGGAAATAGATTGCAGTAGGTCAAAGCCTTCAGAGCGACTTCTGGCAAGCAACAGCGTTTAGGCTGAGCAGACAGCAATGACCAGCGTCTCACCCAGCAAGGTCACCGTTTCACGAATCCGAGTGCTGTGAGAATGCGACAAAACTGCACCTGTGGGGGGGGGGGGGGCAAGAGTGGGACGTGGGATCTCTGAACATTTTCGTGGCATGCAAATCAAGCGGAGCCATGAAATCGGGTCAGTCTGCGCAAGTTCAAAAATTTCGTCACGTTTGTCTGCGGCTGATGAGTTTGAAGAGTCACGCGTTCCCTTGCAATCCCTTGCGGCCTGTCGAGTGGACCCTGCGAAAGCCCATCAGACTTCGACAGGTGCTGGAGCAGCGCCGTCAGCAGCGCCGTGTGGCCCTGCCCTTCTTGACCAGGTGGCGTTGGCAGTGCTGGCCCGAGAGGGACTTAACATCCAGTGCTCCAGTGCTTGGAACATGCTTGGAACATGCTTGGGTAATCCCTTAAAGATCGTTCAGCAACTTAGGCGCGGGGAAGTCGGGCTTTTTCAGAGCGAGCTACCAGAGGTCGAGGCCGGACGCAGCTGAGCTGCGTGCCCTGCGTTGGTGTTGCATGCAGCTCTTCCCTGTGCCCATGGTGTGTGCCGGTGTGCTCGTGGTCTTCTGGTGCCCCCACACCTAGCCACCGCTCACGTTCCCTTCTGCATCCCTCAGACATTGCTACAACTGATTTCTTTCTCTTGCTCAGGCTACCTCATGCTTGTAGTAACAAGAAGGCTGAGACCAGGGTTGGCCTCGGAACACTTCGACAGTGCCGGGTGGAAAACCAGTCACTGCAAGGTGTTGTTTTCAGGCGTTCGGCTTCGGGGTTTCAGTTTCGATTGCCATGCGACTGTGATGTTCTGTGCTGTGAAGGCCGGGCAGAGCCAGCCGGCACAAAGAGATCAAGAGTGGCCTGCAGCCGCCGAGGTGGATGGATGTTCATTCCACTCACGACATCTACACGACATGTCAGTCATACCCCAGCATTAGGAGCAACAGTCGGCATTTTCTTCATACCAGTAGCATCTCCTAGGTCTCATAGGTCTCTCTGGGACAGGTCTACTGAAAGCACAACTCCTGTACAGAATCGCAGAATTTCATGTGCGTCTTTTGTGTGTAGGCGAGAAGCCTCCGTCCGCTACAGGTCTCCCAGTCATCCTCACGGGCATCGATTCCAAGCGGTCCTTCACCTGCAAGTTCAGGTTCGGACGTCGGATGACGTGATACAACGTGATGTTGCGTGTTGCAAGTTTCCTTTGCCACAGAGGGCAAGGGTCGTGATGTCTTTTGGATCTCGACTTACTTTTGCTGGCAGGTCAGCGACCTGCAACGGCGTCCTGGACTGAGAGCGGGCGGCAAACAGTGGTGACATTGGGCGAAGTCGTTTCACGCGCATGTGTTCGAACTCACGCTTTCTGATTGAGGCCTCCATCAGCGCAGCCTGGTGTTTCCTTCAGCTTGGAGGCAGAAATTCCTGTCAGCATTGAGCTGAAAGCGTGAGCACGTACGAGCTTTGCCTTATAGGCCTGCCTTGCTGTATGGTCTACGGACGTTTGCAGTCTTTTTTGCCTGTGAGTGACATAGGAAGAGATGCAATGAGATGCAGCATCAGGATGTTGGCTTCGAGCTGCCTGATGGGAAGCGCCTTCTGAAGGCAGGGTGATGACACCGATGATATCTCAGATTGAGCCAGCTCATGCTTCCATGATCTTCCATGGTAGTGTGAGCAGCATCCACATCTTCACTCTGTGCGATTGCCAACATACAAACACCATCAGTTCTCACAGGACATTGACTTCACCATCGCCGCAGGGCGGCGTGTGGCTGCCAAAACCTCAATCTGAGTGCGCCTCATCACAGGTAGACAATGGTAGGCGCGCCAAGTGGTCTTGCTCCTGATGCATTGCACCTCTTGCAGTCTCCTGTGTCATCATCTTTGAATCAGTGTGAATGTGAACCATAAAATTGGACATTGGACATTGCTAGAGTCAGATGCATTGAAGGCTCAAGTCATATTGGGGGCTAAGCCTACGTAAGCTTGCCGGAGGTGATGGGACCCTCTGGCAGCGGCAAGTGGCCTTGGCATGTTTGCTTTGTCTTCGCAAGCGTGAACTGGACGCGTGCTCTGCTCCAATTGCTGAAGCAGCCAGGACGACCCTGCTTGGAGTTCTCAGCGGTGGACCCCTTGGAATATGGCATCCATTGATTGGATGAATTCTTATGGCTGACAAATGCTGCACACAGTGGAAACTGCACTGCAATTTGGTCCCGACAGCTCCAGGAAGGCCCAGCTTAAAATTTGGAAGCTTGGTTCACAGTGAAATCAGAGCTTTTGCTTCAGCAAACATAGTCAACGCAGCATGTTTGTAGACAATGCGGGTACAGCCATTCAACCCACTGGGAAGAGATTGGCCGAGAAGATCAGCAACCGTCGAAGCAGTACAGGCCTTCTACCCGGATTCTACCGCGTAAAGAGAGAGTGTTTTCTGAACTGCGCATGTGAAACAGGAAAGAAGTATAGATTCTCATGCCACAAACCAAGTGGCAGATTGCAGGATCACAACAAAAGTTACAGCTCTACACAAGATGAATTGTCGAGAATATAGTCATTCATCTTTCAGTCGCACTCCAATGCTGAAGCCCTGCAAGAGGTCGTGCCTCCTACGGCCGCGTCTCGGGCAAGCTGACAGTCGGCGGCAGGCAGAGAGAGTCTTTGTGAGGTCACTAAGATCGGAGTTGTTGAAGTTGCTCACGGTTTTTACTTAACCGGCAACAGCCTTTGCGCCGCAAAGACACTCGTTCCGTATGAGAAACTAGGTAACTAGAGCGACGGCACTGCAACCTGGCGTTATCTGTTGTTGGTACTCCGAAATCAAGCAATTGTCCATCTTGCGGTGGCTGCCCCAGGCCTGCTGACGATATGAGGCCGTGTTGGCACAAGTTGGTGCACTGGTGCTACTCCTGCTACTCATGAGGACTCAATTCTTTGCACGGGCATCCTTCTGACATTGATTCGGCAACCCGCCAGGCTGCTGCAGCATGTCACCGGCTTCGTGCCACAGGCCTGGACGCACCATTGTCAAGTGGGCGTCGCAAGCAGACCATAGCAGACCACCAACTTCGTGATTGGCACTTGGCACAGGACAATACTGAACAGTTCTTTCCTTTGCCAGGATGACGTCCTGCATGGAGAGCTGACGGTTGCGGAGAACCTGCGCTTCCAGGTCTGGGCAGCATGCTGGGAGTTCATCCTGACAGACACTGGCTGGATTGACAGCAGCCAGCATCCTCGGTGGTCGATGTCCAGGATGCTGTTTCTGCGAAGTCTAATGTCCTTGCTGATGTTCTTCTTGGGAAGCATGGTACCAAAGTTAAAGCAAATTCACCAGGGTGTCGAGAGTGCTAGTCGCCTTTGATATTGACCTGTTCACAGGCCTCATTGAGGCTTCCTGCAGGACGTACGCGTGAGGAGGCTCGGTTGTAGGCATCAGAAGTTTTCGGTCATTCACGCACATGCCCTTTGCTGAGCATTGCAAGCAAGGCGATTTAGAATTCAGGGCTTGGAAGCCACGACTGATATCATAAAAGTGCTGCAGCATTTCATCCATCAACAATAGCTGGAAAACGCAGATCCAACAACAGCTGACATGTGAGACTGAAGTGAGCGCTCATCCTGCACTACCTTTGCTGCGACCAAAAGCACAGAGGGCCCACTGAAAGCTGCGTCAGCCTTCGTTCTCGGAACAGCTGCAACAGGTGGATGCCTGTGTAACAGCAGCAGCGCACCTACCAGAAGTGCCGATCTTCACAGCTCATTGTGAACAGAACAAGCATGTTCAGCGCACCAAATGCTCTCAGGTTGCAAAGGACCTCAATCTCAGCAACCTTCTGGATGTCTTGCGCTTGGGTTGTCTGCATGCAGCCCCCGACACCTGATCTGGCCCCATGCCGACTGGTGCCAGCCTGCTGTCAGGCAAGAGTGGGGACTCCCGAGCGACGTGGAGTGTCCGGTGGACAGAGGCCTCGTGATTGAACAAGGAAGACCTCGAATTGATTCTTCCATTATTGTGCGGACGCACACACACATGCAGTCCGTGTTTCAGGAAGCGAGTCTCCATTGCCGCTTCCTCAGGGGCTGAAGGAGTCGCTTCCCAATGGTGACCTTGACCGTCGGCGATCCCGTCACCATACGCTGTGACGTATTCACGTCGTAGACCCTGCAGCCAACATGCAGCATCAAATACATGCTGATTCTGCACTCTGCATTCCAGTTGAGCAAAAGCTTAGCTATGTTCTTGCATGGTGTGTGTTTCAAGCCGAGCCTCTCTCTCTCTCTCTCTGGATATGAGCATGGCAGCGCTCGCCTACCGACAACCCTCGCGTCATTCTAGCCTGATCAGTATATTTCCAATCCGCTAAGCCGCTCATCAGCACTCACTTTGAGAACCCAAAGAGCGTGCTTTCTGAGGGTATGGAACTGGTCGCCCAGCCATTGCTCCTCTTTGCGGATGAGCCTACCAGCGGGCTGGACAGCACCACGAGCCATGAGGCAAAGGAACTGCAAGCGGTGCCTCTGAGAGTTGGAGGATTGGATCGTTTGGGCATTCGGCATTCAGCAGTTGAGTGTGTGCGTGCGCCGATGTTTTCTCATCATGATCGCTGTCAAACTGCATAGCTCTGGAAGGTTGTTCGATGCCTGAACAGCGCCGCAGTCTGCACCTTACCAGAGGAGTATGCATGATTTGAGCCCAGCTTGTGTTGGGCACATGCTTTTCTGGTGTTTCCGAATCACGTGAGGTCGCTGAATGTGCATCGTTGGACATGCTATTATTGTACATCTCAACTGGCACACCTGCCAAGGCAAGGCTGAATTCTACAGCGAAGGGCTCAATGAAGAGGATGCCACTTCACATAGGGGCATAGGGTGGCCTGGAGTCCCACAGTGTTCTATGAGTGTCTGCTGCTCTTGCAGGTCGTTGCGGTTATTCATCAACCACGCTACGAGACACTGCGGCTCTTTGATGACCTAGTGTTGCTTGAAGCCCAGAAACAAAAAAGCGTGCAAAGTGAAATATATATGATACCCGGCGCTGCTGTCTGAATCTAGCTTGCTGCATGTTGATGCCCTCCATACTTTCATGTGCCAAAATTGCCATGTGCCACATTCAGGCTGGCATTTGGTGGTTGTTTGGTCTATGCTGGGCCCACAGAGGCACGGAGTGGTCGTGCACGGAAGTTTGTTGACAAGCCATTTCCATTCAGGCGCAGTAGTGGAGTTCACGAGGCTACATACCCTACAAACTAGCAGAAGCTTGCGGCGATGCCCTTTTCATTGGATGGGTGTTGTTGAGCCCTGTACCGGACACGGTGCTCTTGGACATCTCTATGCTTGAGCCGAGGGCTTAAACTCGAAAATGATGCAAATTAGCGGTTCAACCCCGTAGCTCGGCTCGCCGAACAAGGTCCTTAAAAGCGCACGGATGGGATCATCACCTGGGTAGCTCACCTTTGCCAAGGGCACGGCTGAGATCACACGAGGATAAGGGGCTGTGGAGTTAAAGGACTAAGGGTTTAAGCGTTTAGGGTGGATCCGATTCTCGTCTTCACATGCGAGCCGTTTCGCACCCCTCGCGATCCACTCGCCTCCCCGCCGCACCCCACCCAAGGCATGCACTGGAGTTTAGTAACCTGTGCAAGTGCATCTGGTAGCAACTGCCTGTGCTTGCAGGATGCTGTGGAGCACTTCAAAACGCGCTTGCACGTGACGCTGCCCTGCTTGTGCCGAAGGTCATGCCGTGTTCTGACACACGCCGGAGTGTAGAACCCGCCAGCTTGCAGGAAAGGCTAAAAGCATGCCAAAAAAGTGTCAGGTCACCTTTGCGCAGAACACAAATCCTGCTGACATCCTGTCTGCCACCCAGACGTCAGTTCCGACACGATCGGAAGCATTGCCAGGCCATCAATGTGTCTCTAATTCACAAGCGATCCTCAACGTTAGCGTTGGTTGGAAAATAAAAGGCACCTCGTCAGCCTCAAACAGGCTTTGTAGATCTTTCCTTTCTTACATGCATCATGTGCCTCACCGCATCCCCACCCAAGGATGGATGCAATTCAGCCGCCAATGGCTGATCCGGAGGCACCCCGACCTGCTTCGTGCCGTTGCAAGCTTCTGATGTCATGATGTCATGCAACCAACAAATACACAAACACACGGGAACCACTGGAGATTCACAATAAGTGAGAGGAAGACTGGCTTCTGTAGCGAGAGTAGTTATGTACTTAGGTTTCTCAGTTCTGCGCCACTGTTTGCACGAGGTTTGTGCCAGCGCATGGAAGTCCTGTGCAGCCTTGCAGGAGAATGACCGGGAGTAGGTGCAACTACAAAGAGAACTCATCTCCTTGCCTTTGACCAGCTTTCCTTCCCTTGATTGTTTTTGCCGAGCCCTTGCGGACCTAATCCAACAGCCTCAGCGAACATCGATGACAAGTTAGACATGTGGGCATGTGCCGAACTTTCATGAACTTCACCGAGACGAGTTTAGCAACCATGGTTGGCAAAAGGACCTGTTTTACCTCTTGTCCCGCTCATCATGAGCCGAATGATCTGAAAGGAAGCAGGGTCGCGAATGGCTCCCGAAAGCTCCATGCCAATTTGCTGGCTATGTCGGTCGCACCTCAGGCTTGCTCACTTCTGTCAACGTTCATTCTGCAGGAGAAGGTCGTGGAGCAGACGATGCTGCCAGCGAGCGTGTTCCGTCGCTCGCGCCAACCTTTCTTCCGTGCGGCCGCAGCCTCGGCATAAGACTTCTTGACAGCGACACTCAATCTGCATGGGTTGCCATGCTCACGGATGAGGTTGATGTCGGGGCTTCGCACTATCAAGCACATGGCTGTTGCCAGGTCCTGATTTACATGGATCGGTCCATGCTACAAACAATCAGGGCGCCAGGCTCTCAGCAGATGCTGCGGTGATCGAAGCACCGAGCAGTACCAGCAGCGGCGACTGGAGTGATGATGCGAATCCTGTCCACCCTGCTATCAGCCACACGGCAGCCAATGACAAGTGACTCCAAGGTACGTCTCTCTCACCATAAACTACAGCCTGTGCTGTGTGGCCGTGATGCTTCTGTGCATGATCTTGACCTACGACCGGCTGGACAGACCCTCATAGGATCACCGTAAATTCACCCAGCTGTGCGAACCAACAGCAAGACGAAGATGATCAAGTTCCGTTCTGCTCTGTTCCGGCGTTCCTTTCCGCCAGGGCTCCGGGTTGGCAAATGGCCCCCACCTTAGGGATAGACCCAACCTTTCGGCTGTTGGGAATAATATGTAGGGGGATAACATGTATGAGTGGTCGAGAATTCTCAGAAGTTATCTGTCCGATCCCAACTGCCACCAACTGCCTTCAGTGATTCAGGCCCATCTGCATGCAGGATGCTACCTGCAAGACTAAACCCCGTCGTATGTACTGCTGACTAAGCATGTGGCATGCCTGGTGCAGGACCAGTTTCTTATGCAGTCGGCGCTGGCTGCGCTCTTCCTCATGCTGCTTCAGGTGCCTCAAAAGGGTTCATATGGGTTCATGATATCTCGACATGCCGGCATCCGTGCATAAAAAAACCCTGTCAGCAACGATACGCAGCAGTTGCACCACGGAAGGGCGTTGCCGCACAGCAGATATTTGGTCCGGACCCCAGTGGCACAGTGAAGGTTTTTGCGACGGAAGATGCTACGACTCCCATCACCCATCTTGCGGTGTGGCATTTGCATGCTTAAGGCATCAGGATTATGACTGAGTCCATGAGTAGTATGACTGTAGTTCGCAGTATGCACACCACTCGACTGACTAGCTGAGGGACGGACGGATGAAGACAGTGGTGATCACCAGAATCTAGAATGGCAGTGTGCGGTTTCTGCGGTCGTGCATTCACCGCGACGAAACCACATACAATCTCAGCAGTACCCCAGAGTCGGGACAAAGCCCAAAGCCCGAAGCTCGTCCAGGGGCTGATTTGCTCACCACCTGGCGAGAAGCAAGGGCAAGCTCCTCAAGGGGAGACTTCGAATGTGCAGGGTGCTGGGAGTTCCAGTCGTCTTCGGGCAATGCGTGCATGACGTGGTGATCACGTGGGCCCACATTGCCGCCACGTTTCTCGACTGAAACCCGACATCCCCAACCCAGCAGCAGCAGCCTACGCTCGCTGCCGTACTCTCTGTGTGATGCGAGACTCACATCAAGTCGGGAGATGCCCTCGGAGTGATCGAGTGATCATGTGCCACAGGTCGGGATGCCAATGGTTGCCTATTTCGTGGCCAAGGACTTGACAGCTTGCGTCGAGGCCACGCAGCTGAACTTCGGTTCGGAACAGAAGTTTGTCTTAATAACGTAAAAGCAGGTCACGATGTCGTCGGCAGTCTTTGCGGCAGCTTATGGCTATGCAAGTGGCAGCCAAATATCCTTGCTCGAGCCCTGGCAAAAGCGCCACACAAAATGCAAACATTCCTGGTACCTTGCTAGGACTGTCGAGCTGTCATTATAGTCAGCATGGAGCAGCGCTGGCTTCATGAACAAGCCTCGCACGTGTTCAACAGTCTGCGAAGTGCTGTGCCACGCGTGATTACAGTGACTGCGCGCATTGCGGGCGCAACGAGGTGCCAGCTCTTTGCAGGGTCTTGGGCATTTGTCTTTGCCGCCGGGAGCCTGGCATGGCATTGTCTCACGTGCATGGAATTTCTGAACCTTCCGAACCTCCATGTTGCTTAGATCTTTGGCCTCAACTATATCTTCAGCATCATCCTTTCACCAGGCGGGTCAGCTTAGAAGAGCCGTGGCCGTTCGGCAGACATAGCAACTAATACGCACAACTGGTTGTAGCTTCTGCTCGTTTTTCGGCACGCCTGGGGCCTCTGCACTTGCCGCACGCTTCCCTTTCAAAAGCCCTTTTCAAGAAGATGCGGGGCAGCGTAAGTGGCACGGTGTGCGACCACCACAGCCTGGCTGAAAACTCTTTCTGGTGTCTCGTTGTCTTGCTTTGCTGAGCAGCATGTTTTTGCCATCAACTAAAAGCATGATCTTGGGGTGGTGCACTCAGCTTTGCAGGCGCGGCGCAGATGAGCGCCGTGGTCACTTCTTTCCTGTCCTTCTGCACCGCCGGCGTCTACCAGCCTTGTGCTCAGAGAATTGTGAAAGTCAGTCCGGCAAATCATGCAATGTATGCAACATCAAACGGCTCTCGATGATACTATGACTATGACTATGACTCCAGCTGGTTCCCTGTGCCCTGTGCGCAGATGTGGTGAACTGAGAGCTTTGGTATCAGCCCGAAACGTCCCCTACATCTCGCTGCTTAGCAGTCTCCTGCCTTCTGAAGCATGATTTCGTAGATTGCATAGCAACCTATCGACCTCAGTTTAGCCAGTACCGCGTGGCTTGGTACAGAAGGCCACAGCTGAACGAGATGGCCGGCATGTTTCAAGGACGAGGCGCTTTGCGAGTTGAAGATCCGATTAATGTGTGATAGCAACCTCTGGCGTGCTCTACCCGTATGTTGTCATAGTATGTTACAGTCAGAGATGAACAATGATGACTCCATTCTTCGCATGGGCACAGAGGAAGGATCCAGTCATGTCCGACTGTCCGACAGGTTGGATGGTGCCGGCGCTGAGTCCTGTTCGATGGCTGTGGGGGTACATGCTTACTGCAGAGGTGCCGGCCAAGAGAGCAGCTCAATATGCCACAAACGCCTTTAACTTTGAACGACCCTGGCAGGTTCCCAACCTGACGCCCCTCACGCTCCAAGGGGCAACAGGCAGCCTGCTGAACAAGGCCCGCGAGTTGTACAGGACTAGCGGCAAGCGCTGCTTACAGCCACGCGCTTCCGCAGGGCTATAACGTGAAGTACCTGCACGATTGCAAGAACTCCATGGTGGGCATTCAGGAGAAAAGCGCCAAATCGCTTCTGTATGCTTCTGTATGCTCCGAGGAAGCATCCCCTGAGCAACACCATGCGCTGTCTGAGTCTATGGCGCATATACGAATGACACGAATCTTATTTAGGCAAGATTCCTAGAACGTCGCTTTTACCACTGCTTCTGAGAGGATCAGGCTGTCAGAACTCTGAAAGAGGCCTGGTCATCACGGCGCTGACATGTCGATGGGCATGAAAAGTTGGCATGTCAATGTCGGGCAAGCACCAGCCATCTGCAATATTGGAGAGGCTTGGCTCGACGACAGAGGTTGGGTGTGCTCTGCCCGTAGCTTAGTGCGCTTAAGCTGATGGAGTGCCGAGCACGCTGTGACGCCCTCAGTGCCCTCCCAATCAGTGTCTGTGCGCGCTATTGACTGCTAGTTTTTGATCCGTCTTCCTGCATGCCAAACAAGCTTGACGATTCAGGTGCAGGCTTGCTGCCATTCAGTTCAGTTTGTCGCTCGCAGCCCGTGCTTTGACCTTCCTCCGCCGTGCCTTGCCAAGACTGCGCCGCTGCTGTTGCTCGGCATCCTCTTCCGCTTCCTTGCAGGAGGGGCTGTGCTCCTGTAGTCTGTAGTAGCACAGCCGCTTGAAGGGCAGTAGCCCCAGAGCCGCGCAGGATGCTGCTTGCTGCTGTATGTGAGTGCGCAAACGAGTGGTTGGGCGCGCTTCTTTGGTCAGCGCCGTCCCAAGTGGCCCAAGTGACAGGTGGGTACTGAGCTTCTCATTATGGGGGGGTGGACCGCTGCAGCAGGGCTATGCTAGCAGCTGCTGCAGGCCATTTCTGTGCCCCCCTGAGGTCAGAATTGGGTGCGTGGAAGCTGGCGGGCCACTTCTTCAAGCTTTTAGTAGGCCCGGTCTGCAAGGTCCAGGGCAAGGAACTGAGACGAAACCTTAAAGGCACTCGCAAAGATTCAGATCAGATTGATGTCCGGCCAGGTTCGTTCTTGATCATCTTCCTCTTTGCTGAGGCTCTGATGTGGACTCCTGGTTTGTCGGCAGTGCACTGGATAGATAAGCCCGACTGTTTCAAGAAGAGCGTCGTGGCCATGTGCTGTGCTAAAACTTAAGCGGGGCTGAAAGTGAACCTGTATGTTTTTTTCTGATAGATAACAGATATTAGTTCATCGAATACAGTACAGTATGATACAATATATACAAATTACACCTTGAGAGCTATGCTGCTTCAATCATCTGCCAGGTCTGGATCTTCGGAAGCCTTCATTTGGATTTCAACGTCGGCTGCTCACTAGAAACTTGTTGCAGCCTGCAGAGGGTGCAACGGAGGAACCTCGGGGACGTTTCCCTTCACGTTGGCTGTCAGGCTGGACATTTCGATCGGCAAGCCGTGCACAGCGAAGATCTTGAGTTTGTTTCTTTCGGGTGAACAAAACAGCGCGCGCCTGCTGGAGTCAGAACGTAGTGTTAAGTCTGCAAGAACTTCCATTCTCCTGAATGAGAACGGGGTTCCTTCTCTTTCTTAGCTTTCTTTGTAGGACCGCATGAGTCTGCAAAACTTTGCCAGGTTCGGTTGTCACGTGACAAAAGAATTAGCAAACCTGGGTTCATGATGTGCCAAAACTATGTCATCAACAATGAATCTATCCATTGGTCGGAATCGAAAATACACATCCCAAAATGAATAGCCCAAAGTTCCAGATGAAGAAAGGCTGTCCATCACTGTCGGTCGCAAGCAAACCCGCACTGCACCCCACTGGCAAAGTTTGCTGCGCACAACGCGGGCACTCTTAGGGTAGGCGGCGAGGATGTGCTCACGGCAGTGAGCGCACTCCAGGGGGACTGCCAAGGCCAACGCAGGTTGCAACTGGACACTGGAGGGTCCATACATATGTGACGGGCTGCGGGACCACGGCCGCCGCAAGAATTCCACGACCCGTTCGCAAAGCAGCACCGCCAGAGGCCCAGAGGGTCGGACGCCAAGAAGCGTGCTCATGGTCCTGGCTACACAGGATTGCAAGCCGTTGAAAGCACGGGTCACTCGTCCATCAGCGCGTCTTCTTGTCACGAAGTCCTCCGTGCAAACTATGGTGAAAGATCACATCGTGGCCGCCAACCTCAGCAAGGACTTGCTGAATGCACGGAACAAGCCATTTTTGGAGAAGAAAGATTGGATTGTTGGAAGAGGCATAGATAAAAATTTCTGCTTCGCATAGATATTCATTTTGGAAAAATGTTTGTTGGAATTCGTTCTATCTTCTTCATTCGAGAATGAGCCTCAGAAATCTATTTTTATGTCTACTTTAGTCTTTTCTGTTTTCTTTATATTTGTTTGATAGATTCATATGATTGATTTCTGATTTGGTGTCGATGGAATGGATGGGTGGCTTCTGATTTTTGTCTTGGTTGCCGATATATTTCGGCATTTTTTCTTCACTGAACTAATTCTAATTACGTTTTTCAATATTCTATCATAATTGTCTATTTATTTTATAGTTCTCTTAATCAGGATTCATGTATTTGTCTGATTTGCGATAAGTAAATGATATGTATTTTGAATATAAGAATAGAATATTGGATATCATATTTTGGATTGGTTCAGGTGAAGGCATAAATATGGGGATATTCTATGAAAAAATGAAATGATTGATTTGAGATTATTTTGGAATTAATGGATTAAATAAATTTGAAGATCTATAATTTGGATTCGATGTGAAATCGATTTTATTTTTATGGAAGAAATTTCTCGATTTATTCTCGATATTATTATTATATTGATGATATTTTCATTTTTTATTGGAAGAAATATGGTCATAAAAGGCTACGGGCTCGACTCTATTTTCACTCTGTGACCGCTTTGTCGGTCGGGTTGGACTTTTAAGATTCCAGCGCAATAATGATGACGTGGATGCCCCTTCACCTTCAAGGAAATTTTCAATGGTCCAGGGTAGTTCCGATGACGGTCGCCGCCCGCCAATTAATCAAGGGGGTTCCCGCCAATTAATCAAGGGGGCTCGGTCTCACCATCACATATCAGCAACAGCTCTCGAAAAATCCTAGGCATTCAAAATTCCGGGAATTTTTTGGATCCCCCGGGTTCAGGGTTTTACGCTTAATGGTGTAGGGTTTTGGGGTTTAATAGAAATTGCATAGGGTTTGTGTCCGGAGTTTTGTCGTGTTTTGGGGGGTTTTGCTTTTTGCTTTTGTTGTCATGGTTTGGGTTCTGTCGGGTGCGGTGGGGGTGGGTGGTTTTGGGGTGCTGAGGGGTTGGGGTTGAAAGGTTGGGGTTTTGGGGGGTTTTCCCGAATGCCCGTGGTGGTGGTCCGTGGTCCCTTGGTGGTTAGTCGTGGTGGTCCCACAGTGTGGGGGTGGTCCCGTGGTGATGGTGCTCCTTTGGTGGTGGTGCTCCTTTGGTGGTGGTGCTCCTTTGGTGGTGGTGCTCCTTTGGTGGTGGTCTGTCGTGGTGGTGGCGGTGTCCGCGGTGGCGGTGGTGGTGGTGTCTGTGATGGTGGTGGTGGTGCTGGTGCTGGTGGTGATGGTCCCTGGTGGCCGTGGTGGTGGTCCCGTGGTGGTGGTCCCATGGTGGTGGCCGTGGTGGTGGTCCGTGGTGGTGGTGGTCCCATGGTGTTGCGCGTGTGTGTTCCGTGGGTGTCCGCCGTGTTGGTGGTGTTCGTGGGTGGTTGTTCCGTGGTGGTGGTCCGTGTCGGGGGTCCGTGCGGGTGGTCTGTGTTGGTGGTCGTGGTGGTGGTCTCGTGGTGTTGGTCCCGTGGGGGTGGTCTCGTGGGGGTGGTCTCGTGGTGGTGGTTTGCGGTGGTGGTCCGTGATGGTTGGTCCGTGGTGGTGGTCCGTGTCGGGGGTCCGTGCGGGTGGTTTGTGTTGGTGGTCGTGGTGGTGGTCTCGTGGTGGTGGTCTTGTGGTGGTGGTCTCGTGGTGGTGGTCTGTGGTTGATATTATATCTTGCGATGAATATGATAACTAGAGGGGACCCGTCGATTCCATCGACGGCATATCCGCCTACTAAGTAGAAATAGATATACGTTAAAACTCTGAAAAAGTGCGGACAAATAAAATATCCAAATATTTTCGGGATCTCTATATAGATATTTGAGGGTCTGACGTGTGAGCGTGGTGGGTAAGAATTTATTTAGCAAGAACTTGAATGAATGATTTAATGCGAAGGTAGGATTTAAGGATTACGATTTAAGATTTATGTTCTATGATTTGCCATCATAATTCGAATTATCATTATATAAATTTGAATATATAAATAAGCTCCCAAGATAATATCCTCAATGAGTCTTAAAACTTACAAATTGCCTTATCACGACCCCTCCTTTCAAGCTGATCCATGAAGGGCGCAAGAGGCCTTTGCTCCCCAAAGCGCCTATTAAGAAAGATGACATAATGATAGGAGAATACGACGATTTCTGTATCCAAATACCCGGAACCGGAAATGAGACCAACCTACCAATCAAAAATTTCGTACTCTCCAAGATACCTCTTTTTTTTTAAATCCACCTCCATCCCCCAATTAGAGAAATATCCCAGAAAGACGAAAAATAAAAGAAGATAATGAAGATTCTAAAAAAACTCCTCGATCCCAGATCCGAAATCCTTAACCCCAAATGCCTCGATATCTCATATAATATCATTAAAACCATAATTTCTCAGAATATTAAGAATTCGTCCTTTCATTTAGATGGTATTCTAAATTCTTGTGCCAAATTAAAGCCCTAAGTTCGTAGGATTCCCTATGGCTCGTCCTTGCGCCACCTTATGCCATGCTAGCGAATAACCATAATAGAACGTAATATCGATAAAATTCTCTAATAGATACATTTACAATAGACTACTCTAAAACTTGAAATTCACCTAATATTAGAATTTAATTTAAGATTCTTAATCCTCGCATTCGCCCTTAGACCCCCCCTCCCCTTACGCCATGTTAGACTTTAGCGCCATGCTAATATGAAAATAAGATGTATGAGGCGGATCCAAATAATCACGAAAAGAAAAAATTTAGAATAAAAGATAATATATCTAAAGATTTTATGAGGTTATCGAAATAAATAATTGAAATATTATCATCGCAATATCAATCCGATTCCAAGCCCCCAAATAACCCCTCAAAATACAAAAGTGCTCAATCCTCAACAGCCCCATCACAATCCCTCTCTTCAATAGTTCCTCCCTTCATCAATCCCCCCTTCAATAACCCCTTCCTTTAACAACCCCTCCCCAGCCCCTCAACAAGCCCTCCTCAACTCAAGCCCTCAACAAGTCTAGCCCCTCAAATCCCAACTCCTCAGCACCCCAAAACCATCCACCCCCCACACAAAAAACAAGACCCCCCAAAACCCCAGCCTTTCGGCCCCAACCCCTCAACCACAACCCTCAGGCCCAGCCCCTCAACACCCCAAAATCATCCATCCCCCCCCACATCCGACAAAACCCAAACCATTACAACAAAAAACAAAACCCCCCAAAACCCCAACCTTTCAGCCCTTCCACCCCCCGCCACGCCCGACAAAATCCAAACCATTACAACAAACCCCCCAAAACCCCAACCTTTCAACCCCAACCCCTCAACCGCAGCCCCTCAAACCCAAACCCCTCAGCCCCCCAAAACCACCCACCCCCGCCGCACCCGACAAAACCATCCCCCACCACGACCGACAAAACCCAAACCATTACAACAACAAACAAAACCCCCCAAAACCCCAACCTTTCAGCCCCAGCCCCTCAACCGCAACCCCTCAACCCCAACCCCTCAACACCCCAAAACCATCCACCCCCCACCACGCCCGACACAATCCAAACCATTACAACAAACCCCCCAAAACCCCAGCCTTTCAACCCCAACCCCTCAACCGCAGACCCTCAAACCCAGCCCCTCAGCCCCCCAAAACCACCCACCCCCCACCACACCCCACAAAACCCAAACCATCACAACAAAAAACAAAACCCCCCAAAACCCCAGCCTTTCAGCCCCAACCCCTCAACCGCAACCCCTCAGCCCCAGCCCCTCAGCACCCCCAAAACCATCCATCCCCCACCACGCCCGACAAAACCCAAACCATTACAACAAAAAACAAAAACCCCCACAACTCGACAAAACGCCGGACACAAACCCTATACCATTTCTATTAAACCCCAAAACCTTAACCGAAAAATCCCCGGGTCCCGAAAATTCCCGGAATTTTCAAAGGGCACCCATGTCATCATTGTTGTGTTGGAACCTTAAAATCCAACCCGGCAAGCCCAAACCTCAATCCGGACAATTCCTAAAATTCCGGGAATTTTCAGCTCCGGGTAATTCCCAAAATTCCCAGGATTTTTAGACAAAAAGGATTAAAAATTCCCGGAATTTTCAGGATCCCCCTGCAAGGCCCTCACAAGCAGCCAAATGGACCGGAAGAGGAGGCGGGGCATCCGACAGAGCGGCCGCAGAGCGAAAATAGGGGGTCGAGCCCGTAGCCTTTTATGGGGATATAATCTTATAGAATATAAGACCCATTAATCTCAATATAATATCATCAACCATAAATGATATGATTTATAGAATATAATGGCCGAAATTATTTCTTAAAAAAAATGAATATATATATATATATATATATATATATACATATATATATATATATATATATATCAAAATACGATGTAAATTCCGAAGATGTCTATCTCGCGAAAATACAAGATAATGAAAAATATCGATAATAAAATGATTTCTCCTCTGCCGTATGATTCATCATAAAAATATTAATTCCACTTCCCGAAATTTATCGTATTCCCTATTTCAAAGGATATATCATATGTTTTACCCAATGCCTATAATAAATCGTATTCCCAATCTCGCCAAACCCAATGCCTGTGATGAATCGTATCCCCTATCTTAGTGGCTTCCTTGGATGTGCATTCGGCTGTGCCTTACTGCAGTGCAGGCTGGCATCGCCCCAACATGCAAATGCGCAAGTTTGGTTCAAAGTCGGGTTCACGGGTCATCTCGAGTTGTAGCTACTTGAGGCCATGCGCTCCAGCACTGCAGTTTGCTGTACAAGTACGCAGAAACGTGTCCACTGGCTCGCTGAAACATTCAACTTGTACCTCGAAGCCAGCAGAATTGCGACTGAAATGGCGGCCGGCCCTGCGACTGCGGGCGCAATGCGAAAGTGGCTGGCAGTGAGTTGTTGTCATCGGATGGAGGAATGCAGTGAGAACCCACTTCGTGCAACCAACTCAAGAAAATCGTGACTGCCGAGGCCTCCGATACTGTACCTGTTTTTCACATGCACCAAAAACCCGTGTCGCTGGCCCACCTAAAAATCTTCGACATGTAAATGGAAGCCAGCAAAATTGTGCTGCCACCGATCCTGCGATTGCAGGTCCAGTCAACAACAAGAACCAGACGTGGTAACGAAGTTAAAAGCAAATCTCACACTCTTGGCTGGCATCGCCCCAACATGTAATCGCCCCAACATGCAAATGCGCACGTATGCTTCAAAGTCGGGTTCGCGGGTCATCTCGAGTAATAGCTACGTTGAGGCCATGCATGGCCATGCGCTCCAGCACCAGCACTGCAGTTTGCTGTACAAGTACGCAAAAATGACCAAACAGATCTCACTGGCTCATCGGAAACATTCAGCATGTAAGTGGAACCAGCAAAATTGTGCTGCCACCGATCCTGCGATTGCAGGTGCAGTGAACAAAAAACTGGGCTAGCTAGGCTCAATTCTGAAACACGCCAAAAGAATTTCGCAGCGGTGAGTAGTCTTCGCAAGCTTTGCATGATTTGGATTCGGGCCCTTCTCTCTTGAAGGGTGCACCCCAGACACCGTTTCGAGCAGCCAGGATGTTTGATGGATCCAGGACGGCTTTCAGGTCCCGCAAGGTCTGCGAGAGTACTGGAGACTGAGTGCTCGGAAGTAGGGCCGCTCGGAGTTTCCCAATCCCATGATGGTGACTCAAGCAACCACCAGCATCCAAAACAGCTTGTCGAGCCACGTGCTCCAAAGTCTCGAAAGCTTCCAGCGCACGTTTTGGCTCCAAGCCCGTCGTGCACACAGCGATGTACATGTACAAGACACCTCCCTCGTCATAGAGCTGTGTCATCCGACATGACATGAAGGGCCTGCCTGGCAACCTAAGGAGCCGATGCTTCTCTTCGACAGCCGCCGTGACCGCCGGCCATACCTGATCAATCATCGACCAAGGCACCATGGTCTCCAAGGATTCTGCCAGGATGCGGTAGTCCAACCCGAAGTCGCGGAGGTAGGCGATGGCGAAGGTGAGGGCATAGCCTGCGGCACCCGATGACGCACCGGCCCAAAGGCCCCCTGCCCTTGCGACCAGCCTGGCCACCAGCTTCTTCTGCAGGTTCACTTCCTCACGAGTTCCCTCGAAAACAAGGGTCACTGCAGCTGTTTCAGGTCCAGACAATCCCATGAGGTACAAGAACGCTTGACGCAAACCAGCCCGAAGGCTTGCCATGCGGCCTTCGGGCTCTTTCAGCGCCTGGGCCAGCTGCAGCTGCTTCTGATCCATTAGGCGGCAGGAGGCCGGGCGCAAGGCGGCTGGCAGCCGGGCCACCTCCCGCATCCATTCAGCACCCTTGTCCCAAGTAGGAAAGAGAACGCTTTGGTACTCCACAACTTCGGGCAGCCGTTGTACTCGAACGACCGCACATGTGATGATGCCCAGGCAACCCTCACTTCCCAGCACCAGAGCGGGCAGGCCAACATTGGCGGAGGCTCTTCCAATGGCGCTTTGTGCTAAGCTGGAACCGCCGTGGCGTTGCCAAAGAGGTCCACTGGGTGTGACGACGCGCGTGTCAAGGACCATGTCTTCAATGTTGCCGTAGCGTGCCCTCTTCATGCCACTGGCTCTTGTGGCAATCCACCCGCCCAAGGTAGAAAGCTCCATCGAGTCAGGTTCCATGCCCATGGTGACTCCGTGCTGCTTGAGGGCTTCCTGGAGACTCACACCGGTGATGCCAGCTTCGACCATCGCAACTCCATCTTCCGCGTTCACCCAAAGGACTTTGGAAAGCCCACGCATGTCTAAAGACACGAAAGGTCTGGGATCCACCTCCTTCGGAGGGCATGCTGTGGCTGAAGTTACGTTGGTGCGTCCGCCGACAGGAATGATCCCGAAGCCCTTCCCCTGGTTAAAGGATGTGGCGGCTTTAACCAAGACCTCGACCTCCTGCTCTGACTCAGGGCACACCACAGCATCCGAGAAGCGCACCGTCTGTCGCGTGCGCAGCTGCCAGATGTCTGCCAGGCCATGCCCTGTGCAGGCACGTATGCGAGACTCTACATCAAAGTGACTTCGTCCTGGTAGCACCTTTGGCTACTCTAGACCTGGAGCAGGCTTGGGCAGGTCTGGGATGGAGGACTCGAGAACGTCCAGAACGTCGAGTGGCACAGCTAGCTGCCGCTGAAGGAACTCCCAAAGTTGGAAAAGGGGCCGGGAAGGGCCCAGAGCCTTTGAGTACCTCCGGGACGTGATTCGTGCAGCGGGCCTTCCATTCACATACTGGGCCACAAACTTTGTGTCTTTGAAGCCCCATCGGTCCAAGGCTTCATCGCTCTGCAGTTCATCAGTTTCTGGCCAGAGCGGCGTCGCAAAGGAGCCTCCTTTGCCTCGGCCCCGTGTGGCGTGGCCGGCGTGGCTGGCGTGGCCCTCAGACTTGGCGGAGTTGGCGACGACCGAGGCTGCGCCACGCGCCAGGAGCGGCGGCAGGCCCTCAAGGAGCTGCAGGAGGTCCACCTCCGTGATCGCCACCATGCCGCTCTGACGCAGGACCTCTTCAGCATGCTTCGCGGCCTTCTCGGCCGCAAGGAGTTGGGCCCGAAGCGCACCAGCTAGCTCAGCGAGTGCAAGACCCAGGCCGTGGCCGGCAGCCGTTTCAGCTGTAGCTGTCTTCTCTTTGGCACCTGCCCAAGGGGATCCCAAGGGGCGCGATTCTTCTCTACGACACACAAAACAAAACAATTCTTTCATGCTTTCTTTTCCGTGCCGGTTTCCTGCCTTCTTCCAAGCCCTCCACCAACCAGCGGCCCCATTGTTCCGGCAAGTGCCGCCGGATGGGTGCCAGCGTTGCCGCCTACTCAGTGACTCAAAAGAAGGGGAGCCTAGGGTGAGCCTAGGGTGAGCCCAAGGTGAGCCCAGGGTGAGCCGTTCTGAGCCCTTCTCAGGGAATTTATCTTTGTCTCTAGTTTCTCTTTGTCTCTCTTCTGAAGGGGGCCTGCAGCACGAGGGGCCAACACTCGGAAGAGGAGAGCGAAGGCTTGGCCGAGTCTGGAATGCAGGAGCTGCGGACGAGGGTCTCCATCTGCAACGCAGCTTCCACGGATTCAACGGACAAGGCAAGTACCTGTGCAAGGGCTCGGCAATGCAGCGTGGTCACTGACGACAGCTCCACCAGTTCAGTCTGCACCTTTGAAGCAAGGGCATCAACGTTGGTGCTTTCCTCCAAGGTGTGGGGGGCTCCGAAGCGCAAGAAGGCTTCGCCCAGCGGCACCAGCTCTCCGCGCAAGCCCCGCAGGACCCAGGAAAAGAAGCTGCTGCTACGAAGTGGCTCGCGTGGGAGCCCAGCGATCTCCCTGTACAGGCTTGCGTCCTCGGGCAGGAGCTCGTAGGACATGGCCAGGGGAACCAACGCCATCGGCCGCGAGTGGCTCTGGAGGGCCTTGAGGAGCCCGGTGCGCAGCCGCAGCTGCCTGCGGCCACGGCTGCGGAGGCCTCGCAGCTGAAGCGGAAGGTGTCTCCATATGCCCCCTACAAAACCTAAACCCTACAAGCTCCTAAACTCCTCAAATCCCACACGACTCGATGCCCCCCCCCACACACACAAAGCTCACTCAAAGCGCCATTCAAGGCCCCCACCTTCCAGGTATATCTCGAGGGGCCGCCCGCTCCGGAGGGCCTGGTCGACGGAGGCCCTCAGCGCAGGGTCCGGCTGCCCGTGTCGGTTGCGCTGCACGCGGAATGCGCCCAGCCAGGCCAGCACACGACCCAGAACTGGGAGAGCAAAGAACTCGGCATCTGCGGCCACGTGCGGGAGCTGCAGCATGGGCAACATCGGCTGCATCTGAAAGCATGTGAGCCCGACAATGACAAAGTCCAGCATTGATCTGTGCTGAGGACAAAGAACAAGAGGCGTGGAGATCTTGGTGAAGGAATGCAGGGAGGCTCCATCCATGGCAACGGTGAGATTGATCCAGCTGAGCCCTCGCCGCACGAGGAAAGCCACCAAGGCCTGGAAGATGCTCGCCTTGGGATGTGCAAGGGTCACGACGGCATCCGCCCAGAGCGTTGAGGGCGAAAAGATCTGGAGCTCAGCAAACTCCTTCGCGTAGCTGCGGCCAGGCCCGTGGAGCCCGGCGCTCTCTGCAAAGGCATGCCCAGCCCGGGCGCAGATCAGGAGATACTCGTGGATGCACCAATCCTCTGGCAGGCGCAGGCTGGAGCAGAAGTGCCACGGCCTCCGTGGGCTCGAGAAGGGTTGGTAGAGCCTTGGCAGCTCACTGCAAGACTGTGAACATTGTGACGACTTGACCAAGTTGTCAAGCAGTCGGCTCGTGACACCAAGGCAAGCCAGGATCCACTGGAGGCAAACGCAGCAGGTGACGGACAGCTTTGACGGCAAGAGGTGGAGGAGAGCGTGTATGACTTGAAACACGCTGGCATGGTCACTCCAGCGAAGGAGCTTGGCCTTGAAGCCGAGCTCGGGCAGAGTCAAGCTGCCTTTGAGGGCCAGCAGCTGATAGTAATGTCTTTGGAGCGACTTGAAAGAGAACATCTTATCTGCCTCAGAGGAGTCTAGGCAAGCGTGGACGATCCGTCTGACACCTCCACCGGCCAAAGCCTTCACGGCTTCTTCGGCCACCAGATCAACTGGCACCACTGGGGATGGATGGCTGAATGCATCTTGGAAGACTTGAAGTCCACCAAGAAGTCCCCTTCGGCCTAGGAGAGCGAGGCCCCCCACCACGGTAGAGGGCTTGTCCCCAGCCCAGCCTATATAGGGAAACGCCCATGCTGGTCCCACGATCGAAGGGCGGACGATCCTCACATCGAGGCCTTCATCATCACCAGCCATCACCAAGTGCTCAGCCACGGCTTTGCAAAATGCATAGGTGTTCGGAAAGCCCAACGCCTTCATCGCATTTTGTGCCCAGCTCCCCTGACGGAGTGCATCTCGGTAGAGTTCCATTGCATCAAACTCCTGGAGCTCCACCAGCCTCTCCGCCAGATTTGCTTTGCAAGGAGGTGTTGCATGTACGAACGCAGTGGACACGAATACAAAGCGCGCGGCCTTCCACTGGGAAGCCAGCTGCTGCATCTGCAGTGTCGCGGAAATCAGACATATAGCTGCCTGCTGCATGGGCTGCGTGAATCGCACATCGCCCGCGCAATGCAACACTGCCCGCAGTGGCTCCATGTGCGGCCAGCTGACTTGTGCCTTTCCCCATCCAAAATTCTGCTTTGACGTGTCACCTTCAAGGCCGACCACCAGCTTGTCAAAAGTGTCCCTAAGCTCATCGAACATAGCCTTTTCCCGAAGCTTGTGGATGCGCTCCGCCAAAGTTGAGCCACGCCGCGAACGAACCAGGAGCACAATCTTTGTGATGCCCAAATGCTCAGCTCGTGCAAGCAGGGAGTATAGGATGCAACCGCCAACAAAGCCAGTCGCCCCAGTGAGGAGAACTGCCCCGTCAATGCGCGCATTTCCGGCATCCAGTGCCTTGCACGCTTGCAAGCCCTCTGGCCTCGAAGCTGGCGGGAGTCCTTCCAACATCCAAGGGCTTGCTTTCAGGCTCGGCTCGGCCGCCAGCCACCTTGCAGCCATCCTTGCAGGCATCGAGGCCACCACGCCCCCAACCACGAGGAAGAGCGCCGCCCGGAGCAACGCGTACAGGGATGGGAGCCAAGCCAGCCAAGCTATCAGCCAGGGAAGTCCGGGAAGCGGGGGAAGCCCGGGAAGCACCGGCGCCAACAGGGATGCCAATCCCAAGACACATCCCAGCAGCAAAGCACCTCGCAGGGGCGGCTCAGATGCAGTTTGTACACACACACACAACTGCTGGCCAAGAACGCAGTCGCGCCCTGGAGTCTGCTCTGCTCCCCTGTCCCGAAATGAGGATTTCTGAAGGCCTGCACGGGGCCTCCCCTTGCTTGGTGCCACGCCGCGCCCCAGCACTTCGCGCGCTGAGAGGACCGCCTCGGCCATCGCCACTGCGCAGGCCTCTCACCAACAGAAGCTGACACGTAAAATCTTTTTGCTGGAGCTGGAGGTTGGAGGCTTTCTTTTGGATTTCAAGTCTCAATTTTGAAGCCACATCCTCGGATGCTGCACCCTGTTACAATTACAATGCTTACCCATGCCCGGCCTGGGGCATGTTTGGGGTCAAAGGCAGGTAGACGATGCGGTCCATGAAGTCCTCACAACAACACATACCAGACTGAACATACGCACTGCATTAGCTTAAGGGCGACAAAGATGCAAAGTGCTAAGGATGCTGGGTTTTTAGACTCTTAGACGCTTAAGGCTGGTTGAAGCCATCTCCTGCTGCTTGCCGCCTCTCTCTACTTTCATTCGGACTTCTGCGCTTGGACTTGTATAGGTCTGCACCGGTACGCAAAGCCATAGGTCTCACTTTAGTCTGCCGCCTGTTGCTCCCTTCCACTATGACACTGAGCCACTGTGCGCTCTTTGATTGATACTCTTCCCAACTGCTGGCGACTTCTACTCTTTTGATTCTGGCCTCAGAGTTTGCGAAAATTGCGAGCGTGGATGAGGATGAAAAAAACAGTTAGGTTACATGCAATCACAAGAGTCCTGGCCGCTGGACGGGATCAGCGCCTGCTCCTTCGATGTTGCGGCCGTGACGACTCGCTGCAGCTGAGTAGTGGTGCTGGTGGCATCAAAGCCACGAGCCACCATCTCACTCGCCAAGCCTTGCGGGTCATCGGAGAGAATGGGCAGCAGCCACCAGCTGTTGGTGCCGTCTCCTTTTGACACAAACTCGATGCCTTCCTTCTCGAGGCGACTGATGACTACATTGGCATTCCGACAGCGCCTGCTCACGGAAGACTGCATTGACGGATCCTTGAAAGCAGCCATCTGCTGACGTTGTAGGCGCCAAAGGAGTAACTCCAGAAGCTCCGTCGCTGGCTTCTGCCGGATCTCTTCCAACTTACCAAAGCCACGAACGGAGGAGACGATGAGGTGGTCAAAGTTGAACCCCAATGTTGTAATCAGGGCTTCCACGATCCCGTAAGGGATGGGCGTGGTCAAGATCCTCAGCAAGGCCGCCCGAATGATGGAGAGGAGGCGCTGCCTGCGGCTGCGCCGGGGCCAGGAGGCCGCGATCTCCCGCATCTTCCCGCGGAGCTGGGCGTCGCGGACCTGGGCGATGCCACCTCCCAAGGCGGTCAAAGTCTTGATGGTGCCAAAGCTCGAGAAGATCACGTCGGAAGCCTCGTGCCCCCGAAAGCCCATGGGCCAAGGGCAAGCCGCGGAGCGCTTCTCGGGCAAGACGCTGCCCATGAAGGCCTGCGCACCGTCTTCCACCACTAGGATTCCCAGCTCCTTCGCCTCCCGGATGAGGTGCCCGGCTTTGTGGATGGTTCCGAAGAGGTGGGTGATCACCAAGATGCGGGTTCGCGGCGTCACAAAGGGTGCCAGCTTGGGGGGAAGCATCTGGGTGGGCTTTGGTGGGTCCAGGCCTACAGGCTGCAACCCATGATGTTCGACAAGCTGAACCATCCCAGGGATGGTGATGCCTGGGAGAAAGAGAACTTCGGAATTCTTCGGCAAAGCCAATGCTGACAGAAGCATGTCGAATGCCGATCTCACCGAGAGCGTCACAAGCACCTCAGATGCCTCGGACGGAGCATAGCACTCACCGATCTTGCGCTCCAAGGTGGTGCGGTCCCGACTTCTCCGCGTGAACGATGTGAACGATGTGAACGCGACCATCAAGTCCCGCCAACCTATGTCGAGGACCTTCCGAGGGTGAAGCCTCAGAGACCACGAGCACACCACCAGGAGGGCCAAACCCGCCAAGCATGGAGAGAAGCCGACGAAGCCCAGCCAAAGGCTATCAAGCAAAGCCGTCATGGCAAAAAATTCGGCCTGCGAGTTCTGTTCCAGTTGCTGCCAGCTTGGAGTGAGCCCAGACTTTATCATGCGATGAGGCAGCGCAATCAGGCTCAGGGAATCATGCACGGAACGGCGAGTGCAGTCCCCCCCGTGCCCCCGCTGTGCTGCCATCATTTTTGCAAACGCACTCTTGGGGGTCCTTGCATATGCAGTCGGCTGTGCGTTGGGCAGCCAAGGCTAGCATCACCCCAACCTGCAAATGCGCGCGTACACTTCAACGTCGGGTTCGCAGGTCAGCATCGCTAGCACTGCAGCTTGCTGTACAGGTACGAAGCGACATGTCCGCTGGCTCGCTGAAACATTCGACATGTAAATCGAAGCCAGCAGAAGTGCGCCTGGAATGGCAGCCGAAACTCCCGAAACCGTCACTGCAGGTCCAGTGAGTTTGTCATCTTTGGGTGATCGCAGAGAATCTGAGAATTTGGTACAACTAAAGGAAGACCATTGTGACTGTCGAGGCCTCGATGCCAGCTGTACACAAACAAAAAACATCTCGCTGCCTCACCGAAAACATTCAACATGTAAGTGCAGTGCAAGCCAGCAAGATTGTGTTGTCACCGATCTTGCAATTGCAGGTCCAGTGCGAAATGCTAGGCTAACGACAGACTTGGTGGGCTCCTTGCACGTGCAGTCGGTCGTGCAGGCTGTCATCATCTGTCATCGCCCCAACATGCGAATGCGCATGCTTCGAAGGGGTGGGTTCGGGCCATGAGCTCCAGCACTTCAGCTTGCTGCACGCTCACACAACACTTCCGATGTTCATGCTACGATGTCCTTGCTTGCCCGGCTCAACACACATTCTTCCTTCCCTTCCCCCCTGTCCCCCTTTCCCTACCTTCCACCACTTCTTTTTTTCCTTCCTCGCAGGCCTAACTAGAAGCAACCCTTGAAGCAAGTTCCCCAATCACAACAACAAACGATCCTAACAAAGGATTCCCAAATAACATGTCCACTATTCACTACAGTACTGTCCACTGGCTCCTTGAAACATTGAGCGTGAAATTGATGCCAGCGGGCTTGCGTCTGACGTGTCCGTGCGATTGCAGGTCCAGTTGCAAGAACCTGGTGATGTGGCTCCCCTGCTCAGATTCCAAGAACGTCAAAGAGGTCAAAGCAGGGTTCAACCTTGGCTCGTGCGAGAAACAGCACATCGTAACATATCGCAACCTTAGGTAACCTTGCCTTGCCAGGAGCCGGGCGACTGCCCAGCCAACCACAGCGTAATTCAGGAGACGTATCGGTGTATGGACCTGTGCTGGGAGAAATCTACATCGCCAATGGCTGCTGGTAGCGAGTAGCATTTAAGATCTGAGCTTGCTGCATTGTAGCCTACAGAAACCTTCTGTGGTGGCTGCTGCTTGGCCCTGTCGCGGCGTGGTACGTGCATCATCCGACAGCAGCTGCTTCCACACAGCTACATCGCAGCTACATGATTTCAACGACGCGGCGGAGCGACTCGTGATCGGAGCACTGTATTCCAAGAGCATGAGAAGCGCGTGGAACCAAGAACCTAGTCGTCAACAAGCTCAGTCAAACTTCACGAGTCTCATGGGGCTGCGCAGATAGAACCTTGATCAGCCATCTCTTGACAAACTCTGCCCAGTTCAGCTGCTGATCAGTGGTGCACAAAAGGCATGAGAAACACTTGGCACCTCATCACAAGGAGACAAAATGAGGCATTCAGTGCTGTTGCAATATGCAATCTGGATCTCTCCACGCAGTGTGCTTACCTTTTTCGGGTGGCAGAACTGTAGTGGTTTTTGGTGGGGGGAAGGGGGCAGCACTGTTGCGTTCATGTGTGAGATCCCGAGTATGCGCCAGGACAAGCACAGGCCGCGAACTGAATTTGGCCATCATAGGCGAAGCATCGCTCAAAAGGTCAGGCAAGCATCAGGCAAATGAGTTTTATTGAGCAGTCCCAGCCTCAGCCGGGCAAACTGTGCTTGCATACCTGAATACGCAAGTTATGCGGACGGCCAGCTTGTGCCGGAACCGAGCACAATGTACTTTACAGACCGAAACTTGGGCTGAGCTTGAAGGGAGGTTTCTTTCTGGGCCCGGAGCAAGTAGGCAGGTGATGATGTGAGCAGGGGGAATTGATGGAACGATGCCGTCACCCTTATGAGTCGATGTTGGCGAGCAGCTGCACGTTGGTCTGTTCTCCTCGACCTGATTGTACCGTGCGAGACCAGCAAAACCAGTGGTGTGATGACTGAGGCTGCAGTTGCTGCTGCCAGGCCAGGCCTGCTAAATGTGCGCAGGATGAACAGTCGAGCTTCATCTCCACTGATCTACACTGCATGTGTGAGGGCCGTGGTGATATGCAGATGACTACCACCTACTTGGGCTGGCGCAAAAAGCATCGAAACACACAACAAAGCACTACACTTCCTGACAACTACAGATACTTTCCTCCTGCTGCTGCTGCTGCTGCTGCTGCTGCTGCTGCTGCTGCTGCTGCTGCTGCTGCAAAGAAGAAGAAGAAGAACCACAAGCAAAAAAAGGTTGAGGCAACTGAGTTGGCAAAGTGTTGTCATTGTTGTGTAAGCAGCCATGACACTTGCTGCGCGCTCACGGTGGATAGATGGCGAAGTGTGCGGGCATTGACTGCAACTTGATTTGCAAGGAAATGCGTCTGACCTTGTGATTGGCAGCCGAGAGCCCTTACTGTACAAAGACTCAATGACCTTAGATTTGAATAGAAACTTTCTGATGTCACTCTAGATTGTGCCGAAGCCTAAAGGCATAGACTCAGACTTGAAGATGCGACTGAAGCCGAATCGTTGACGTCAGCACTAGCGAATGCAAGAAACGCGAAGAAGCGCGAGCCCACGAACTGAGCACTTCTTCACATTGTGACCCTAAACCCTAAATTACTAAACCCCAAAAACCCTAAACCCGAAACCCTCTCCATCATCACTGCGCAGGAGCATCACATCGGCTTGGGCACTCGAAGGTAGCAACATGTTCAGTGTCACGCTCTCTAAGCAACCTGCTCGACCTTCTGCACACTTGGGGGCTTTACACCACGGCACAGGTCTGAAGCACATCATGGCTTCCCAAGAAGAGTGGGGTCCTATCAGGTGTCAGCTGAGGCCTGCGCTTCAAGCTCTCTTTGCTAGCCACGCGCAGGGCAAGCACGAGGGCAATTCCAACCAAGAAGCGCCGGCCTGGCACAGATCACGACAGTGACCGAACTTGGTATACGTGCAAAGTCCAACGGAGCCCTGTCCTATGAAGACGACACAGCGGGGCTGTGTAAGTGGACCCCGTGCCTGAGCACCGGATTCTGCCAACGAGGCGCGCATCGCGCATGACGTGTTTCGCAAGCCACTGGCTGCTTTCATGGCTTCCGCCGCTGCGACCTGCGGCTAAAACTCGATCTGGGCTGTGGGTAGACTGCATGTCTTAATCAGAAGTTGAGGAAAGCTCGCTGTGGTGATGAGGACAACGCCACCTGACAAGAATCCTAACACTCGGCCAGTGGTCTTGGCGCAAGTCATGACAAATGCCGAGCGAAGAAAAAGGCAGGAGTTCACATCACACGCGAAAAACACCTGCAACGAACGTCATATGCTGGAAACGAGCAGACGCAAGCAACAAAGATGGAAGAGCACCGTACCGAGAGGGGCTAAGCGACTGGGACGCGCACATGCCCGTGACAACTCCCAAGCCTGACAGTCTTCGCGCAGTCTTCGCGAATGCAAATGACAAGCGCTTTGACCGGCCCGAGGCAAATGCAAACACCTGTAAAGTACACCGCGTAGTTGTAAGAGGGAGTCCACCTCAAGGCGCAGACATGCCCGAAAGGGCCGACAGTCAACACCAAAGACTCTGGGAGCTTGGCTGCAGTCCTGAAGGATACGTCCAACCTCACATGCTCCGCGCTCTGTGCTCTCTTGTAAGCGCACGCAGCCTACGCAGCGTACGCAGCGTACACAGGCAATACAGCACCTGATGAGTGGCGGACAAAGGAGAACCGACAGTGCCAACTGATAAGCTGGGACCTGTGATGGACTTAAACTCACATGTGAATCGCACGGCATCTGCTGAAGCCACGACGAAAGCAGTCGCTGCTGTCATCCATGCGTCTAGAAAATCGTCCACCTGAGCAGAGCTGCGTCCCACAACGCCCACCAGACGCACACGCGCACACACACGCACACGCGCACGCGCACGCGCACGCGCACGCACACGCACACGCACACGCACACGCACTCGCACACGCACACGCACACGCACCACACTCTGCGCACGCTGCGCACGGGCCCGCGCACCCGCACCCGCACCCACACCCGCACCCGCAACCGCGGCTGCGCCCGCGCCCGCGCCCGCGCCGCGGCCCGCCCCGCGCCCGCGCCCGCGCCCGCGCCCGCGCCCGCACACACACACACACACACACACACACACAGACACAGACACAGACGCAGACGCAGACACAGACACCGACACAGACGCAGACGCAGACACAGACACAGACACAGACACAGACGGACAGACAGACAGACACACAGACAGAGAGACACAGTGACACGATTGCTCTCTCGTCGAAACTCCAGCTGTGTTAGCGGTAGAGGAGAACCTGCTTGTATTGCATGAGATATAACGACCAAGCTGGCATCTGCACGCACTTGAAGTTTTCGACTTTTCAATGACGATACCACAAGTGAGCGAGTGAGTGACCTGCAGGTTAAGGCTGTGGCCCGTCCCTCTCGATGGGCTCCGCTGAACGTCATTGAAGAAAACAAAATTACTAGCATACTCGACGGGGCAGCACCTTTAGAGGCACTGAATAAAGCGGCCTCTCACAATCAGAGAACAGGCCGTAAAGCTACCGATAGTGCGACGAAGCTACAGCTTTGGAAGCAGACGCAGTGCATCAGGAGCTCAGCTACCATTACCGCGCTTACATCTGCAGAAGGCGGGGCCGCGACCGCACTTACCCCTGCTGCAGCGCGCGGAATAGGACTCGGACTCTTTGCAGAGATGGCTACAGAAGCTGCAGAGATGGCGACGAAGGTGCTTGAAGCTACAGCTTTCGAAGCCGCGAACATCGGGGACAGAACTCAGATGTCCGGAGACCTAGAAGCATTGGATGTGCCGGGATGTGCCGGGGCAGGCCGAAGTGCAACTGCTCGACCCTATGAGAGCACAACCTATGCTGGGAAGAAAGCGGAGGTTGACTGATGCAATCCGTTTCGGAGTTTGCAAGTGCTACCACTACCCCACTTACAGCCGCAGAGGGCGGCGGTGCTACCGCACTTACCCCAGCCGCAGCAGGCGGAATAGGTCTCGCTGCAGAAACTACAAATGCTGCAGACATGGCGTCACGCCTACGCCTACAGGAGCTACAGAAGCTGCCGGGATGGCAATGAAGGCGCTTGAAGCTACAGCTCTGGCTCGCGACTGCCTACGGGCCAGCTTTCGAGACGCAGCAGGCGGCGAAGTGAGTTCGTTTAAGGAAATAAGCGACTGAGGAGCGCTAAGTGCCATGAGGCTTCATCGGAAGATCTACGCCAGACAAACGTAGGAAGATACTGCTGGAGGACTATGTTGGGGGCGGTGTACCACTGCACCCTACATCTGAAAGATTACCTATGGCCTGAGGCACGGAACGGTAAGCACTGGTAAACCTGTGTTGGTGTCGCGAACTGCCATCACCTACTCTTGGCCGACGCCGACCGTGCGGAGCAAGAGTCATGTAGAGGCGTTGCATGACGGTATGACGAGCAGATTGCTTGTAAGTATGAGACGTAGAGCACGAATGCGAAGAATTGTACAGGCACTGGGAAAGGGTCCGGGGGGAGGTGCTCGGTATAATGCCTTTCGCGCCGACACCAGGGTCCTCCACCCTGCAGCGATGCAAGCCCCAACGCCCTGCACGGCCCGGAGGAACGATATCACAAGATTGGAGAACCATGCACAGTTTGCAAGACGGTACACACCCCGCGGTGCGTGTGGGTGGCTTCTTGTCGGTGAAGGTTTGGGCACTGGAACTGGCCCGCTAATAGGATTGCAAATTCACAACCTACGCCTGTTTATAGCACCAAGATTTTCCTGCTAGCCCTGAGCTACAACCTGTTTGAGGGCAAACTTCTCTAGAATTGTAGACCAATTCCACCACTCCAACAAAGTTTAAAGGTGCAAGCTTGGGCTGGCCCTTGTGTGCAAGTACGTCAAGAGAGCGCCCTCTCATGCTTCACGCTGCCCCCCCTGCTTGCATTCATGGTATTTGGGTTTGAACCCCTACATCCACGTTCCAGGATGGTTCACACACTCACTCACATGCTGACACGCACTCACACACGACATGCGGAACCAAGCGCCAAGCTGCAGCAAAGATGCAGAGCCTCCAGTTTGCACTTTCTTTGCCGTATCAAGATCCCTTCGGATGGTTCTAAGATGTGCACAGCAAAATGGACATGCCGAAGCCAGCAGCCTGAAGATGCAACAGGTGCGAGATCGAAACGAATGTTGCAGGATGCAGCAGGTGTTGCTTAGGTTCGGGCGACATCGATGGGCGAATGCATGCCGAGGTACAACCGCCCATACCTCCAGTCCACACTCATTGGCGTGGCTCCACCCCGACCCGGCGCGGAAGCTGCTGACATGCTCCTCGCTTTGAGCTGCCGACATCATGAAAGTGCACCAGACGACGATCATGCAAAGTATCCTCGGTCTGGGGCGAGGATGCACGACGCCATGCAGCAAAAACACGCATCAAAACATGCATCCACTGTTTGAGCAAGGTGCACTTGCAGCAGCGGAGACCTGCCGGCACTGCTTAGTCAGAGCCTCTCGTGGCCTTGCTTGGCCTTGACGTGGCCTCAAGATGGTCCAGCATACGGACACACCATCTCCGTATCCTGCGCCACAAAACTCAGCATCCTCTCAATCAAAAACACTAAATATCTGAGTCCGATACTGGTTGTGCTCGAATAATGATAGAAAATGTAGAACCACCTCAGTTCGGCAAAAGTGAGACAAGACAATGGAGACTGGGCTGAGGCAGGGGCATACAAATCGTGTTGATCGTATGGGTACCTCCAATACTGAAGCACGCCCTGACTCTGCAAGACGTGGAAAAGCTTCTCTGAGAGGCGTGCTTGGCAAACCATACTCCATCTCGAAAGTCGACCTCTTGATTTGGTCCATCTGATACTGCAGAACAAGCTGACTCCACAAAGAAGGCCTGTGGTCTACATGCCTTGGCTACCCATGCCAGACATCACGTGTTCTGGGAGCGTGGGCGCGTCATCACCGTCGCCATCACCTACGACTTGCACTGCGCAAAACCTACACAGATCGACAGCCGGCTGACGAGCCTCTCTCACAACATGAGCAAGACTGATGCCCTGCATGGAATCTGAGGTGGCACGCTTGTGAGTCGAACCCCCTTGTTCCAATCAGGCCTTAGAACCGCAAGCAGACAATCTCCGGGCTCCGGAGAAGCTCTGGGTCGGGCCGGGGTGAACTGATGGCATCCTTCATTGCGTTTCCAACCTCGGGGCTTACGGCAAACGCCCAAAAGCAATGACAAAAAGTGACCAAGGACCACTGCACTTCTCAAGGCGCGAGCATAGGTGCAGGTCGCCATCAACCTTGGCGAAGGCTCAGCTGCCGCGCCAGCCTCGCAGCGCTTCCCCACAAGGCCCCCCCCCCCCCAGGCTCCCCGGCAAGGGAACGCCCACCCAAAGATCTGGCAGATGCAGGGCTGGCACAGAGTAGCACAAAGAGTCAAAGAGTTGCACGAAAAGTAGCACCAAGAATGGCACAAAGGGCATCCGGGGATTGGCATGCAACGCAGACGTCTTAGGCGGAAGCTGGAGCTCGCCCGCCTTAGCGCATCCAAGCAACGCAGCAGCATTGCGCAGCTCCATCTCCCAAGATCAGGTTCGCGCCCAAAACAAGACGGGCAACGCGGTGACATAGAAGAGAATCTGGCAGTGCATGTGGGCGCTCAAGCTGAAGCGGGGAAAAGCCGGGACCAATCATACGTTGAGAAAATTCTGCGGAGTCCCAGGGCTCTCAAGAACTCTGGGCCAGCCGCTCCACAGGAATTTGCAACCGCGAGGTGGATGCGGTCCAGCAGTGGATGCCTGCTCGGACTCGAACCCACTCACTACAGAAGCTGTGGAGACAATCGCCTGAGCTGCTGGATCCAGATCACCAATGGCCGCTCCAGACTTAGCTCTTAAGCATTGCAAAAAGGACTTCCTTCAAACATGGCACCGGCACCACTGTTTGTAGAGTTCCTTGCGCGCTTCAATGCCGCGCTGGCTCATCTTGGCAATCCGAGTCGCTCCACTCTTCTGACAACGTAGGGCCGCAGTGCTTCGCGCACCTTCAGCTGAGGCAACGAATAACCTACGCTTTTTCCTACATACCGGATTACACACCGCAACCCCTTTACACATCTTTACACAGTGCAGCATGCGAAGCCTTGCGGTAGAGCACGGGGGAAAGGCCTCAGTGATAAGGTCCATTCGGGTTTTGAAGGCCGGCTCGGCATACAATGGCGTACGCCCTGAGCAACCCCAGCATACAGCCAGGAAAGTCACGGCGGCGAGCCCGACACCAACCTGCGTATGAAGCACACACAACTTGGCAGTCTGGATGTCGGAAAGGCGGGTTTGACGCTGTCTGAGAGCGCAGCCAGCACAAACATATCTTGCATTGCCACTTGGTACCCGCTCTCAAATGCCGCCTGCTCCTTGCTGTACCTCTGCGTGTTGACGATGCATTATGGGCTGCTGCTGTGACTCTGTTCATCATTTTTGACTCTTTTTGACGACACCTGCGCCCACGCAGCGAAAACCAAGCAAACAAAAACTGTGAAATCTGCAACGACGTCTGCTATACACCTCTTCCACCAAGGCTGCTGGGGCACATCCACGACGCTCCTTTACATGCTCAAACTCAGAGTGACTACAGCTTCAGCTCTGCACTGGGGTCGACCGGACACTTGGGAGGAAGACTCGCGATACCTTCTCTGCTCGGACAACTCACGTACTACATCACATCGACGCTCTGACCTGGTGCTTGCTTGCAAATGCTTAAAACGTGTATACTACAGTGTACCTCATAGTGCACCTGTCACGGTGCCTAAGGCGCCGACGCTTCGGATGCTGAAGCTCGAAACCCCTTTGCGCAAGAGCCTCCGCTAGCAGCCGCTAGCTTGCGACTGCGTGAACCGCAGAAACCCTCCTCAACGTGCTGTTCATCGGAGCTCTGCATTTACCAATCGGGGAAAGCATTTCGATATGCTGCCATGACAGCCCCAAGCCATTCCCACGCATTCAGCAGTAAGCCCCCTCAGCGTTAAGGAACAGATTCATGATGATTCATGGTGCCAACATGGCGCTCTCAGCCTTGCAAAATCCCAGGCGCGAAGCGCCGTCGGCGGTACTGTTGTGCATGACCTGCGCTTCGGAGGACTTCAAACTCTGGCGCTGTGCTAGCTGACTCGAACGTACACAATCGAAACCGCAGAACGAGCCAGTTCCGAACTCAGGTTCCAGCTCTGTCACTCATGGGGGCCCGACATCCCGTAGCCAAGCAATACTTGATCCAAAAACAGAATGAACGCGCTGCCCCTACTGCACATGGCGTTTACGTTTTGCAATGTCGCCACCGCTTCTGAAGCCATACTCCAAGCTACAGGGCTATAGGACATCAGAACTTGCTTAAACCACAGCCCGAGCGCGCTGAGTTTAATCAACGTGGAAACTGAAGACCAGATCTCCGGCAAGGAGACGCGCACATTTTCTCTTCCCAAGTGGATGTCTAATGCCGCATCTGCGAACCTTCCTCGCGACAGGCACAAAAAAGGACACCCCTGGCCTCATGATTTCAGGGGGTCAGACGACATCCTTATCACTACGCACTTACGCACTGCGCCACATCTCCTCAAAAAGTTGCCGGAGACGCGCCGCCGGCTCAGCCGGCAAGTATCTGCAGGCCCATCGCAAGGTGGTTCCTAATGAGCTCTCGCTCAAGGTCCTGATGTTGACTTTCGGAACAGGGTTTGCTTCCGGCAAGTTGGCCCAAAGCCTGAAGGCAAAGAACAGGATGATCTTCCTCGCCTTGGCACCGCCGATCCAGGTGCGCACCTTCTCGACCACTTCTGGCCACAGAAGGTTCAGAACCTGCGCTTCACTGCATCTCGCGAGCAAAGCCCGATCTTTTGATCCGAACTCCACCTCGATGCGGCGATGCGGTGCATGGCACAGGTCACAGCCCCGGTCCCGGCTGCAGTGCCCACGCGAGAAGAAGCGACAGGGCGAGCAAAGGACCGGGTGTCCCTTACACTTTGCTTTGATGTTGAAGTCCGCACAGAGACGCCCGTCACAGCTCGAAGGCCGCGGGGTCATTTCGACGGCTTCTGGGATCTCTACATCAACGAAGGTGCGCAGCACTCTGTAGCCCATGGAACTCTCATTCTCCTCTACAGTACGCGAGCAGTAGGATGAACTGTCGCTCACTTTTGCTGCACCGCAGAGGGCGTTGGTAGGCACGGGCGGCTCCGCATTCGATGGGTTTAGACTCTCGTGGGTGCAGGCGCCCATGGCTCCGGAGCACAGATGGTTTCCTGGAAAACTGCTTCCCTGGAGAAAAATGCAACTGCGGCCCCTCCATGAATGCCCTAGGCCATCCCGAGGGCGAGGTGCAAACGCATGTTGGCTGCTCAAGAGCAGTTGCACAGCCCTGGCAATGCCCTCGTTAACTCCCTTTTGCTCTTAGCGCAAACTCAAGTCGACCCCTTGGCCTTGCTGTACACACTTCCTCGCAGTGTCACAATAACAATGGCTTCTACAATGTTACAGCTCATGGCCGCCCATCTCCTTGATTGCCCAACAGGCAACGTGCACAGCCGAAACCGCAGAACGAGCCAGTTCCGAACTCAGGTTCCAGCTCTGTCACTCATGGGGGCCCGACATCCCGTAGCCAAGCAATACTTGATCCAAAAACAGGATGAACGCGCTGCACATACTGCACATGGCGTTTACGTTTTGCAATGTCGCCACCGCTTCTGAAGCCATAATACCCATAATCCAAGCTGCAGGGCTCTAGGTCATCAGAAATTGCCTAAACCAGAGCCCGAGCGCGCTGAGTTTTTTTTCAACGTGGAAACTGAAGACCAGATCTCCGGCAAGGAGACGCGCACATTTTCTCTTCCCAAGTGGATGTCTAATGCCGCATCTGCGAACCTTCCTCGCGACAGGCACAAAAAAGGACACCTTTCGCTTTGAGGGCTCAGCAGAATTTGAAGAAAAAAAAGAAAAAGCAAGATTCAAAAGGAGTGGATTTCCCCTGGCCTCATGATTTCAGGGGGTCAGACGACATCCTTATCACTACGCACTTACGCACTGCGCCACATCTCCTCAAAAAGTTGCCGGAGACGCGCCGCCGGCTCAGCCGGCAAGTATCTGCAGGCCCATCGCAAGGTGGTTCCTAATGAGCTCTCGCTCAAGGTCCTGATGTTGACTTTCGGAACAGGGTTTGCTTCCGGCAAGTTGGCCCAAAGCCTGAAGGCAAAGAACAGGATGATCTTCCTCGCCTTGGCACCGCCGATCCAGGTGCGCACCTTCTCGACCACTTCTGGCCACAGAAGGTTCAGAACCTGCGCTTCACTGCATCTCGCGAGCAAAGCCCGATCTTTTGATCCGAACTCCACCTCGATGCGGCGATGCGGTGCATGGCACAGGTCACAGCCCCGGTCCCGGCTGCAGTGCCCACGCGAGAAGAAGCGACAGGGCGAGCAAAGGACCGGGTGTCCCTTACACTTTGCTTTGATGTTGAAGTCCGCACAGAGACGCCCGTCACAGCTCGAAGGCCGCGGGGTCATTTCGACGGCTTCTGGGATCTCTACATCAACGAAGGTGCGCAGCACTCTGTAGCCCATGGAACTCTCATTCTCCTCTACAGTACGCGAGCAGTAGGATGAACTGTCGCTCACTTTTGCTGCACCGTAGAGGGCGTTGGTAGGCACGGGCGGCTCCGCATTCGATGGGTTTAGACTCTCGTGGGTGCAGGCGCCCATGGCTCCGGAGCACAGATGGTTTCCTGGAAAACTGCTTCCCTGGAGAAAAATGCAACTGCGGCCCCTCCATGAATGCCCTAGGCCATCCCGAGGGCGAGGTGCAAACGCATGTTGGCTGCTCAAGAGCAGTTGCACAGCCCTGGCAATGCCCTCGTTAACTCCCTTTTGCTCTTAGCGCAAACTCAAGTCGGCCCCTTGGCCTTGCTGTACACACTTCCTCGCAGTGTCACAATAACAATGGCTTCTACAATGTTACAGCTCATGGCCGCCCATCTCCTTGATTGCCCAACAGGCAACGTGCACAGCCGAAACCGCAGAACGAGCCAGTTCCGAACTCAGGTTCCAGCTCTGTCACTCATGGGGGCCCGACATCCCGTAGCCAAGCAATACTTGATCCAAAAACAGGATGAACGCGCTGCACATACTGCACATGGCGTTTACGTTTTGCAATGTCGCCACCGCTTCTGAAGCCATAATACCCATAATCCAAGCTGCAGGGCTCTAGGACATCAGAAATTGCCTAAACCAGAGCCCGAGCGCGCTGAGTTTTTTTTCAACGTGGAAACTGAAGACCAGATCTCCGGCAAGGAGACGCGCACATTTTCTCTTCCCAAGTGGATGTCTAATGCCGCATCTGCGAACCTTCCTCGCGACAGGCACAAAAAAGGACACCTTTCGCTTTGAGGGCTCAGCAGAATTTGAAGAAAAAAAAGAAAAAGCAAGATTCAAAAGGAGTGGATTTCCCCTGGCCTCATGATTTCAGGGGGTCAGACGACATCCTTATCACTACGCACTTACGCACTGCGCCACATCTCCTCAAAAAGTTGCCGGAGACGCGCCGCCGGCTCAGCCGGCAAGTATCTGCAGGCCCATCGCAAGGTGGTTCCTAATGAGCTCTCGCTCAAGGTCCTGATGTTGACTTTCGGAACAGGGTTTGCTTCCGGCAAGTTGGCCCAAAGCCTGAAGGCAAAGAACAGGATGATCTTCCTCGCCTTGGCACCGCCGATCCAGGTGCGCACCTTCTCGACCACTTCTGGCCACAGAAGGTTCAGAACCTGCGCTTCACTGCATCTCGCGAGCAAAGCCCGATCTTTTGATCCGAACTCCACCTCGATGCGGCGATGCGGTGCATGGCACAGGTCACAGCCCCGGTCCCGGCTGCAGTGCCCACGCGAGAAGAAGCGACAGGGCGAGCAAAGGACCGGGTGTCCCTTACACTTTGCTTTGATGTTGAAGTCCGCACAGAGACGCCCGTCACAGCTCGAAGGCCGCGGGGTCATTTCGACGGCTTCTGGGATCTCTACATCAACGAAGGTGCGCAGCACTCTGTAGCCCATGGAACTCTCATTCTCCTCTACAGTACGCGAGCAGTAGGATGAACTGTCGCTCACTTTTGCTGCACCGTAGAGGGCGTTGGTAGGCACGGGCGGCTCCGCATTCGATGGGTTTAGACTCTCGTGGGTGCAGGCGCCCATGGCTCCGGAGCACAGATGGTTTCCTGGAAAACTGCTTCCCTGGAGAAAAATGCAACTGCGGCCCCTCCATGAATGCCCTAGGCCATCCCGAGGGCGAGGTGCAAACGCATGTTGGCTGCTCAAGAGCAGTTGCACAGCCCTGGCAATGCCCTCGTTAACTCCCTTTTGCTCTTAGCGCAAACTCAAGTCGACCCCTTGGCCTTGCTGTACACACTTCAGCAGACATGTCCACTGGCTCGCCGCAAACAGTCACACGTAAATGGCGACCAGCAAAAACTGTGCCTCATGAGGCGAAGCACTCAATCTTTCTGGGCTGTTGTCTGCTGCAAAATTACAAGTCAAAAATCTCTGCTGGCTCACCTGAAACAGTCACGTGTAAGCGCCGACCAGCAGATACTCCACATTGCTCACCACCAAGCATGTCAGGCAAAACATTCGGTGCATCGCCCAAGCCGCTGACTCGCAGAGTCAATGAAAGCTGCCGTTGGTCCTTTTTCTGTGCCCATGTGGATCCTCAGCTCGTGTAACATTGGGAGAAACACCACTTCATCAGAGCACATACAGTTTACTGCGGAACAAAGGTCTTCCAGAAGCTACATGCACACCGCGAGCTTCCACAGCTAGCACTGAGCCCGGCATGTGGTTGAACAAATCTCATGTTCGCCACTGCTTCCTATACATCGGTCTGGTAGACGTGGTTGACGCCCTGGGTTTCCTCACTTACTTTCTTCACATCGCTGCAACATTTTCTGTTTTGCTTCAGTGCCTGCTTCTGTTGCTGCTTTCGCTGCTGCGGCTGTTCCTTTCATGTGCTTTGGCTTGCTCGCGACTTCCCTGGCAACGCGTCGTTGAATGCTGGGTTTGATTGTGCTGCTTCCGACGCATTCTTCCTCTGGCTCTTCTGCTTTGTCGCTGTATTGTTCCCCTTTCTCTTGCTTTACCCCGAACATTGTGTTGTTCTTGCTCAGATCCGCAGCATGGCAGGTCGGGTCCAGTCCGGCCAGGTCCAGCGGAGGACCTTCGCGCAGTGCGCGGCGCGCACGGAGGAGCCCTCCGCGCCCTCCGTGCTCCCCGCGCCCGCGGTAGGCGTGCAGAGCGGAGGGGGATGGAAATGTGGAACCCTCAACCCGTAAGTCCACGCCTCCTTCCACCCGCCACTCCCTCGTCCCATCGCCGTCAGCCGGACACTCCTCTTTGTGGCCTCTTCCGTCAGAACGCGATCCGATTGTGTGCCTTCGGGATCAAGAAAACAACGAGCACGTGCAGAAAAGACGTCAAGCGTCCAAGGCACGGCCGGGCGGGCGCAGGTCCAGGTTCGGGTATTCTGCGACAAGGAGGTGTTCATCATCCCTCGCAGCGACATTTGTTCTGCGAAATCAACGAACCACCAAGCTGCTCACGGTGCGGAATTCCTGCGCATTGACAGTTCCTACCTCCCAAAAACTGCAACATATTGGAGCTCACACACGGAGCCAAAGTCTCCGGGATCTCTTTTGTCTGGGATCAACTTTGGAGCGTGGTCTGTGCCCTAGTCGATACAACTGACTGCGAGGCAAGACTTCCAATGACGCGCACGACCCATCACGAATCAGCCTGTATAGGCACGCCTTCGAAAAAAACAACATCGTCCATGCTACTCAACGAAGACCCCCCCAGCTTTGTCATGCCCAGGCTGCTGCAACACCACACTGGTGTCAACGCAACATCGCTAGCAACACACGGCTTTACAATCAAACGCATGCCGGCAAAGACTCAGTCCGAACTCTGTGTGTTCTTGCGCGCCAGCGAGAAGACATAGATCTCAAGCTTATCCTTGAGCTGGTGGATGACGGATAGCAGCCAGAGTAGCAGCCAACCGCCAAGGGCAGCTGTGTAGACAAGCACCGCATTTTTGGTCCACTGAAGGGGCATGCACCAAGATCCAATCACGAGAACAACGAAGGGAAGGACACACGGCTGCAGCTTCACATATTTCATTTTGGCAATGCTGCAAAGCAGCATCTGCAAAGTGATCTGAGCCATTGACAAGCCGCTAAGTAGACTAACTGCCCATGGATTTGATTCTGCCAACGCTGGCTCCCACAAGAAAGATGCCACGCACATGAAGATCAAAGAGAGCATGTCCTCCAAAATGAGGAGAACGCTCTTCTCCTTGGAGCGCACGTGGGCCACGACATCGCTCAACATCTCAGCAATGCAGCCGATCCAACCAAGCGTGGAGGCAAAGATGATCAAGGTGCCAAGCTTCACTGATGCCCACGCAGGAAGTTTCGGCAAAGACACCTCTGTGGTCATCCACATTTGCCATGTGTCCGGGCCCACACAGCCGCTTAGAAGAAGGCCGAAATAAGTGATGGTCTGCATCTCCACAATGCCAAAGTCGCCGGCACCGACTGGGCAAACACCGGTGTGGTACATAGCCAGAACTGCAGCAAAGTACGAGATCTGCCCGACAACGTGTACAAGTTGAATGTAGCCGCCTGGAGCACAGAGCATGGCCCACACGGCAATCTGAGGCAGAAATCCGAGGATGTCGCAATAGTGATCGATAATGCAGCCCATGGGTGACGAGGAGCCCGTCCGCCTGGCCTGTTTTCCATCCATATTGTCCAGCGTCTGGTGCCAAAAGACAACCACAGCAGCAGCGAAGGACAGCCAGCGTGGCGCGGCTTCATCGAACGAAGGATTCTGGTACCAGATTGCGATGTAAAGTACAGGCAAAGGGATGAAGCCCAGGAGCGAAATCAAGTTCGGTGCCAGCCACATGGGTAGCATCTGTACGGCTCTCTCCCACCATGGGTTGAGGCGCCTTTCCATGAAAGTTACATGAGGGGCCTGGTACTTGCTCTGCTTCACTTGCTCCAACCCTTCTTCCGTCAAGATATGCATCCAGGGCCATGGCATGGCGCGCCGTAATGAAACGCGTGGCATCCCAAGAGTTTTGGAGAAAGGTACGCGGAGTTCAGCTTGGGCGATCCACGAGCTGCGGCAGCGAGGCAGCAAAGTTGCATGCTTTCTTAAGCTGGACGCGATTAACCAAGGCGATGAGACATGATGACAAGAACCTGTGCCAAAATGCGTGACAGTCCGGTCTAACTTGGGCGACACTTCGCACAAGAGCATAAGCTCCTCCAAAAAGCTGAGCGAGCAGACTGCAAAGTGCCTGGAAAACTTCGCGACCTGAGGACGCCTCACGCTTGTTCGACGTGAGAATTTGCTGCAGCATGACTAAGCAGCATTTCGACGAAGCTCTTGTACACTTTCGACATCGCGGCAAAACCAACATGGGTTGTATTGCTGGAAGCGCATGGTCGGCACAGTGTGGATAGGAACCCTGTGAGGTTGATGTCATGAGGTGGACGAAACAGCCATGGGCCGTAGGCTTATCCAGGTTTGGAGAATGCATTGCCCGCGCCGATATACTATCCAAAGCCAGCAAGTACATGCAGTACTCAGGACCATGGTGTTGGATCAGTGCCTCACCTTGCACCATGCGCAACAGCTCAAGTCGCCGCCCTCTGCCTATACCCTCCACGCTATCGCCGTGCAACACTGCAACAATCCACCACTCCCACACTGTAGCCGTCTTCGACAACAACTCAAGCAACACCTGGCAATGAGAACAACCTGCAAACAGGAAGCATGTTGCATTCTCAAGTTTGCGTCTTAGGTAGGAAGGCCCTTCTGCAGCGCTCCCCCTTCCATATATTTGCTGCGTCGTCGACAACATGCACATGTAAGTGACGGGCAGCTGATTGCGCAAGTGTTGCGGCAGCCGGCAAAAACCGCGCAGACGTTGCATTTGCAAGTCGGCTGACAAAGACCCTCCGCCGATTGCGGAGCTGATCACAAAAATTTGCTATACAACATCCCTTGGCAAATTAATAATGCTGTCAACATGCCAAACGCAGGGAACACTAAGAATGTTGCAGGAACATGCCCGAGTTGATTTCACTGCTGCATGGCTACGCTTATGCCAACATACGCCATCCATGAAAGTGCACTCGCCGAATGGCAATGTCTTTGGTGAAGAAGTTTTATCACTAGCAACTCAGGCAGAGAACAAGAAGCCTCAGCACCGCTCACGTTGGACCTTGTCGCTTATTGGCGTTTGCTATCTTGTGATTTAAGTTGCAGCTTGTAGTAGACACCCTCCAAGGCCATGAGCTGCGCGTGCGTGCCGGATTCAACGATGCAGCCATCGGCACTCACGAGGATGACATCGCAGTCCGAGATGGTCGAAAGTCCTTTGTGCAAAGCTTGTTAAGGGCACGCAGAACGGGTGTATAAAGGTGCCTATACGCCTTCATAGAGCGCGCTACTTAGATTCTGGATTTCCGTCCAGAAAACAATATCTCGACGATGATTAGTTCCCGAAGCTAGACGTACTCGAGCGTCGCGATTCTAGATTTGAACAGAGGACAGTGGTTCGTCGTTGACACTGTTTGATCACTATCACGCTTGTCAGGTTGGTTGCCGCTTGGCTAGATTTCGGGTTCAAGGAAAGAAGACGGCTCTGAGCGTCGGTGGGCGACCGCGATGAATGTGCGACCACGGCGGGTAGCCTGCAGTGCCTCAGCCAGCTGAACCAACGGCCGACAGATTGAGCTTACAGAAGCAGGCAGATAAAGTAGACTTTTCGTTGCCATGATGGCGGCCATTAGGTTCTGTCATGGAATCAAGCACCATAGCTGAATGCTCTCATGTCTTGAAGATCGACAGTTTGGGGCCCACTAGTTTGATTCGGAGCAAGTACCGAAACCCGAAACCCAAAACCGATGTCTCAAGGTCTCGCTATGTGAAGCCCGTGCTCTTCAGCCACGAAAGCCAGGGTAAACTCGGAGACGGCCAGGGTTCATACCAAGTAGCTTTCTGAACCAGTGCTTCGCTTTGTGAATCGAGGGCGCTGGTAGCTTCATCCATGAGCATCCTTGGCGCTGAAGCTTTGGGCTTGAAACCGAGGTCTACATTCCGAGAAAAGAGCTGGTGAAAACCACACCCCAGGCACAAGATGATCAGGGAGGTTCGGGAGGACAGCAACCCCATTGGACCCACAGCGCGCAGCTAGATGCGCGGGCCAGATCCCAACCAGATTTACCCGGTGGTGTTATGAGGGTCAAACAAAGTTGGCAGGAGACTTCTCTTCACCCTGCTGTTTTCTTCTTCGCGTTGAGGCAGGACAGGCCCAAATGCGGGGGGTGAACAGTTTGGTTCTCAACAGCTGCCTCATCGACACGCACAACTTGATCAGTGCCGGCGAAAACCCCAAACAGTATGGGTGGGAAACATGTGGAAACATATGGAAACATATGGAAACTATCTCCACCAGTCGGAAATCATCAGAAGGAATTGAGGACACCAACAGTCGACTGTTTGGGGCAAAATCTGGCCCAGAATCAGCGCGGGGTTGCGGATGAGTGCTCGGCATATGGACACACGCTGCTTCTGTCCGCCGGAGAGATGGGAGCCCCGGGGCCCGACCTGCAGACAGGTGACAAGCAGAAGCGATAGCAATACACTAGTCACTAGTAACATAACTTACAATATGGCTGATAGTATGGTATGCATGTATATCACTGTATATCTCAACCCTGACTGAATCGTCGACCTCCGTGGCTAGGCCACGGTTCCCAGGCTTGTAGAGGAACCTCAAAAGCGCGCGAGGAAAGAAGGTCGAAATGCAACAGAAATCCATCAAGAACATTCAGGGGCAGCTTTGAAACCAAAACAACAAAAACTTTGCGGAGCTTGGTTCGGGCGCTCGAGGTTGCACATTTCCTCGCATCTTTTGATGTGCTCCTCGGACACGGATTCACCCTCTTCCAGGCCATACAAGATGTTGTTGCGCACAGTGGTATTGAACAGCATGGGCTCTTGCTCGACAAAGCCAATCTGCCGGCGCCACCAGCGAATGTTCAGCTCATTGAGAGGCTTGCGGGCCTTCCCAATGTACACGCCGCCCTCTTGGGGATCGTAAAAGCGCTGGATGAGAGACATCACTGTGGTCTTTCCACCTCCGGAAGGGCCCACCAAGCCTACGGACTGTCCTGCTTCAATCCGGAAAGTCATGCGCTTGAGTACCTGCACCTCCGGCCGGAAGGGGTACACGAAGCCAACGGCCTCGAATTCAAGAGTTCCGGCATCCAGCTCACTTGGAGCTTCGCCCTCGGGCTCCAGCCCGTTTATCTTGGACACGCGGTCCAGAAGCTTGAACATGTCGTGGCAGGCCACCTGCCAACAGAGATGCGACTGGAAGCGTGACTTGAGATGGAACTCTTTCATCTACATCCGCGGGCCTTGGCCTTTGCTGCGTCGCCCATGAACATGGCCGCCTGCCCCGCGCCCATGCCGGCATAAACGATGCCCGTGAAAGCCGTCATGGCACCCTTGAAGCTGACCACGCCCTCACTCACCAGGAAGGAGGCGTAGTAGAAGCCCCCGGCAAGGACGAAGAAGATCACAGCATTGGCAATCCCGAAGCCAAGGCCTGCCAGAAGATTCCGCCTCCACATGTTTTGAGTGATTTGGGAGACCATTGAGATGTAGACTTGCACCAAGTCCTTCTCCGCGCCCAGGGCGTGGACTGTCCGGGCATTCATCACCGAGTCGTTCACAATCTGCCCTGCAAGCCTGACGCTTTCGTTCTCCAGCTTCGAGGCCTTCACCACTGCCAGTGCCTGCACCGCGTTGGCAGCTGCCATGATGGGAACCGAGCCCAGCAAGACCAAGGCCATCTGCCAGCAAAAGGCGAAGGCAATCGCGATGCCAACGGCTACGGAGCTCATCATGGCAGCCTTGGCGCCGATGGCCTTGCAAAGCATGCTCACACGGAAGGTCCAGAGCTCCAGCGCCTCCGAGCTGGAAGGCAAAGAAACATAAACTAAGGTTATTTGGGGGATGGTTTGAAGCCTCATCAAGATTTTTTAAGGGGGGAAATAGGGGGTAGTAGAGAGCAAAGGCCACGCTAGCTGTTCGAGCAACGTCCCTTTCCAGAACAAGATCTATAGAGGAAGAGCAGTAGCAAGCAGATGGAATCGTAATGACGGATCGTTTACCAGTTCGGGGTTTTTCTCAGGATGTTTAAACTTGACTTCCGGGTCTCGGCATGCCTTGAGCTCGGCTCGACATGTTCAGCGCCATCGAAGATTACACGCCGCATGGGGCATCATCTAAAAGTAGTTTCATTGGCCATATGATCCCTTACCTCCCTGTTACATCTCCCCTGCACCGATGGCAACAGCATCCGGACAAGTTCGGAGAGCTTGAGATTTAAACCTAATCTTTGCCGGTGAAAGCATATTCACAAAAGCCAATTGACATTGTGAGAGCTGCCTTGGACATCATGCCCGGGGTGTTCTCCGCGTCGTCATGGAAGCCAATTTCCTTCGTAAAACAGAATGTTAAACCATTGTACACTGTCTGCGCAATGCATCACCTGCTGCGTGCCCGAACCGCCCCCGAACCGCCCCCGAACCGCCCCCGCCCTCCACACACCAGCCCTCCGACCCCATCGATCTCACACCACCCACAGTGTGTTTCCCCGCACTGCCCCGGCGAACGGCCTCCTCGTGTTGTCAGTTTCTGGCCCGATGCAAGACCCTTCGAAGGGGTCCTGGCGCTTCATGCCTTGTGTCTGAGATGACCGTCAAACAGGTGACTGGAGGGTTCGGGAGTTCGTGCCTCGCCCTCGATCCCTCTTCCAAGCGGTTCTCACTCAGCACCGACAAGAAGGACTTCCACTCACCAGCTTGCTGTTAATTCAAGAAGATGGCTCCAAAGAGACTACGATCTCTTTCCCGACCGCCCTGACCGCCCTGACCCCACCGCTCACATCGATGCATGCCCAAACTTCCCCGGGCTCCCAGATGTGAACAGGGATTCTGCCAGCAAAACATCATCTGGAGCAGGATTAAGTTAAGGCCTAGATCCTATACGAACTTTGGGCCGGCGTCCTTTCTGCAAGGGAAATTTGATCCACATTTCTCCAAGAATTGGTCAAAGCCTGGGGTGCCCACAACGAAAGCTTAAGTCGTACTGGCAAAAACTGTAAGCGAATAGGCTTGTTCCTGGAAAAACGAAAAAGATTTAGGAACATGTTTTCCTAAATCCTAAACGATCAAGGTTTAGGAATTGTGTCTTAAGCCCGTATAAATGCTAAGCGAATAGGGATAAGAATAAGGTTTGCACTTAAATCCTGACAGAATAGGGTTTAGGAATCAGGTTCAGGCTTGAATCCTATACGACTGCGGTTTGGTTCCTTGAGACCGTAGGTTGACAAACAGCCAATACCTCTGCATTCAACATCAGGCTCGTGGCCGAAGCCGCATCCGCGCTGAACCTACTTTCTGCTGAGCCTTGTACCGGTACACTCACAAGTTGAAGAAAACACCGCCACCCACGTGGTCGCAGGCTGCTCAACAACACATCAGCAGACACAAGGCGCCCCGAATCTCCTGGCAAAAGATAGCCTTGAGGATCGCCACCCGAAGCCTTTGCGTCATCGACTCGGCCAGAATGGCGAAACCACCGTGCCTTGGATTTGCGAGGCAAAAGGGGCGAAGCAGTGCCTGTCTTTGGCAGGTTCCCATTTAAAATCTTTTTCCCCCAATGAAACAGAGGTGCTCGAAGACGCAGCCGACCAGGACCGAGGACGCGATGAGGAGGAAGAGTATGCAAGTGAAGGAGATCTCGTCGTGGCCCTCATCTCTGAGGGCCTCCAAATGGTACGAAAACAAATTGACAGATGGGTTTAGGGTTTAGGGTTTAGGGTTTAGGGTTTAGGGTTTAGGGTTTAGGGTTTAGGGTTTAGGGTTTAGGGTTGACAGTGATCATGAGGCTATTGTGAACTTACAACCCAGACATGGACACATTCCCTGAGTTTTGACATCTTGCACCTGCCTCTGTCCCCAGCTTGTTAAAGGCATCCATTGATCGCACCAGCACAACAGAGCAAACTGGCATGGCTGACCCTTCGATTAGAGCTCCCAGCACTGCTGGCACGAAGAATGGCCACTCTGGCTTGTTGTAGCTGAGGAGCCGCAACATGGGAACTCTGTAGTCGGCCGCTATTTTCTTCTGTCGCATGTGCTCAACGTCCTGCTTCTCCTCGGGCTCCTTACGATCCGTCTCGGACTCGTTGGGGCCGTTGGGGCCGTTGGGGAATTTCGCCTGCAGCATGGCGGCCGTGTGCCAGTGGGGCAGCTCGGCCTCGGGCTGCTCGGTTTCCTGCTCGGTTTCCTGCTCGGCTTCCGCTTCTTCCGAGGAGTTCGAGGATTCTTGCGCCGCGACGAGCGCATGGTACACGCCGTTCTCTTTCATGAGGCTTTCGTGCGTCCCCTGCTCCACGACCTGGCCTCTGCTCAGAACGTATATCATGTCCGAGTTGCGGATCGTGCTGAGGCGGTGCGCGATGCTGACGATTCCCAAACCTTTCGTCTGGGCGCTAATTCTGTCGATTGTCTGCTGGATCATCTTCTCGGAAGCGTTGTCCAGGGCACTTGTCGCCTCATCCAAGAAGAGGAAGGAAGCCTCTTTCAGCAAGGCCCTCACAGGGCAATGCAGGCCATCCCAACTGAGTCCCAACAACCTCAAGGCATCCCTGCAAGCTCTGAATGAACGCATCTGGTGCAAGAAAGAGATCTTCCACGAGAAGGTTCTCGCCATGGTTTCGAGAAACAAAAAGAGAGCACGCTGCCTTGCCAGAGCGATCCTCTGCTTCTGTCCCCCGGACAGCTGGCCGCCACCTAGGGCTTGACACAGAGGCCTTCAAGGGCTTCGAAGGCCTTTGGGCCTTTGGGCCTGTGGGCCTTTGGGCCTGTGCGCCTTTTCGGGCATCGGTATCCTTCTACTTCCCCAACCTGCCGAACTGCGAGAGCCAATGGTTAGACTTAGGGACTTAGGGATTCACAGTGTAAACTTCGTCTCAACTCTTTGTCACATTGTCTTCTGTACATGTCCCAAGCTTTCTCTGCAAGGCACCGGCCCCCACGAAGGTGCTGTACTTCTCAAGAAGATCGTCGACAAAGTCCAGTTGCGCATCCATGCAAGCTTGCTGAAACTGTTCCTTCGTGGCCCTGGGGTTCCTTTGCAAGGCATCTACGGAAAGCGAGCTGTTGGCTTCACCACTTACGGAAAATTTACAGATGAGGGTAGGTGTGGGAAGCACAAGACAAAGCGCGAAGGGCTCGTGATGACGCGCGCACGGTGAAGTTGCAGCCGAGCCTCCCCAGCATGATGTTTGCCTGGATAGACTGTGAGAAAAGCACGGGCTCCTGACCCACGTAGCCAATGCACTTGCGAAGCGCGCCAATCCTTGATACTTGGGCAATCCCCGACTTGTGAGTTCAGAACGACACAAGATTGTGAAAGACTCGGACGAATGCACAAAAACCTGCTCAACCTACTCCGCCGCAGGTTCTTCAAGGTGCGCATGTCGCAGCCGTTCACGTAGATGGCGCCGGACGTCGGATCATAGAAGCGTTCAAGGAGGGCAAGGAGAGTACTCTTGCCAGACCCTGACTCGCCCACGAAGGCCACCTAGGAATGTCAACATGCTGAGCCTGGCATTCTAGAGGGTGAAGTGGGTGAGATCAAAAATATCAAAACTCGCCTTTCGAGCCATGCTTTGGAAAAGTGCCCCCACCTTCTGTCCGCGACGAATGGTAAGTGACACATTGTACAGGATTCTCACGTTCGGTCGTGCTGGGTAGTGGAAGTGCACCTGGTCAAAAGCAAACGTCTCAACGTCGGCGATGTCCTTTCGCTCGTCCCTGTCCCAGCGCTGGATGGCAAGCTGGCTGTACTGTCTCCCATGAACCTGCCGGCCCAAGCCAACTACAGAGCTACACTACAAGTCACAAAGCGTGCAATCACTGCTCACCGCACCTCGAAAACATGCTCTGTCGCCATCCTGGCAGCCTCCATGGCCTTCAGGGGCAAGGAACCACCTTTTCCGAGTTTGCGGGACGTGGGGTCGGGCCTTGATGCTCGGGTTGATCTGACCCAACATGAAGCTACCGTTGTAGATGCTGAAGAAAATGGACCTGGGGTGACTGCGCCAGGCCCGAAAACATCAGAATTCCCAGCATACATCTCCAAACATTTACACTAGTGACTTCTGTTCAGCAGGGAAGCCTCGTTAAGGGGGCTAGATTGGGCCAAGGCCGAGACGTCTACGGAGTTTACTGGATTCAAGGATGCTGGCAAAGGGCATGATGTCGCCAGTCTTCCACACCTCCCCAGTTCCGGGGTTGATGTCCCGATTGTAAGCAAAAGTCATTCCCACAAAGAAAGCTAGGGCGTAGTTTGCATACTCCATGAACCAGCAATAGCCAGTGCCCAAGCCCATCTTGACACCGTTCCAGATTCCCGCTTTGCGTGTCAAGGTGACCGCCGAAGTGAACCTTGCGAGCTCCCTCTGCTCGCCACCGAAGGCCACCACAGTGCGTATGCCGTAAAGGCACTCCTCCACGACGCTCGCCGATTTGCTGTACCATGCCTGAGACTCCATCTGCACCTGTTTGTAAGCCTGACTTAGAAAGTAAGATCCCAGAAGCAGCAGTGGAAGCATTGCAGTGAGAACGAGGCCCAATTGCCAGCCGATGCTGAATGCCACTCCAAAGCTGCCAGCGAAAGCTGAAAACGCCATGATGCCATTGCCAAGCTTGTCACCAAGGCCATCTTGGATCTGGGACAAGTCATTCTCGATCTCGGCCGGCAGCGCGGAGACCTCCTTCGTGTCGAACCAGCTGACGTCCTGGTGCAACACATCTTGGAAGTACATGATTCGGAACTTCGTGGTCTGTGACTCACAGAAGATCTTGAAGCATCCCCCTTGCAGAGTCGCTGCTATCATCGCTGCTCCGCCGACAAGACACATCATGAGGCATAGCCGCTCAGTTTCGAGCAGTGCCTCCTCAGCACTTCCGTTGCTGAAGGTGCTGATGAAATCACCGAGTATAACAGTCATGAACGGGTGGGCACTCCCGTGGCAAACAGCACTCACAAGGCCAACAGCCAACACTAGGGCTTCCGCAGCATCAACTTGCGAAAAGAGTTTGATAAAGGATACTCGTTGGCCCTTCGATCTTGCGGTCTTGGCAGCCCCGTCAGTTACAGGAATATGTTCACCGAATGCAGTGAGGGATTTCGAGCTGCATTCTTCGACCACGTCCTTGTCTTGCCGTGGCTCAACAAGTAGTTCAGACTCGTCCCTGTCAGGCAACAAGATTTGCTCCTGGTAAATTGTGATAACGTGCTTGTCGTCCAACGTGGAAGCTTGGCAACACTGCACCGCACAGCATTGCATGAGACTATGTCAATCTACCACTACCGCCCTGCAAAATGGAAAGCGGCGATGTTACTTGGGCCAGGCAAAACTCGGTCAGGCATGCTAAGCCGCTAAGATGTGCAGCATGGATGTTGCGCTCGGGCTAGCTTGCTTGTGGCGCAGCGCGCTTGCAACATACAAAGCATTGCACTTTCAACTGATAAATTGTATAGGGGAAGTGCAGCCTTCACAAATATGTTTGAGCATCTAATCCCACATAAAGGTTATCAATCATCAAAGTGAAATCATATTCACATTCAATCCACGGTCTCTTTTTCCTCCACAACGAAGATCGGGGGTAAGATCTGCGGGCTACACACGCGGACTCGGGCGAGCACGGATGAACAGCTCATCGCTCGCCGTCCACCCCAAAGACACGGCACAGGCCACACACCGTGCCTATCAAGTCCCGAGCAAACCCCGGGTGGGTGGGGTGGGATCAAAAATTCGTGCGTTCACCAAAACTTGAACCGCATCAATCACAAGGTTCAATCTGACATGGAAAAACGCAAGCTTGTGAAATTTCCCACAAACTCAACTTTCACCTGTACAATTTGGAGCCATGCATCAAAGGACCCTCTTGCAGTTCAGCCTCAAATGATGTGAGCACACTATTAAAACTTTTAGCCCGTTTTGTACAAACCAGGGAAATCAAGATGCCTCGCAACATGCTCTCAGCAACTTCCCCTACGCCCTAATCAAATTAGGGCTGTACAATTTATTTGGTTGAAAGAAAAGTCTGCACGCAGAAAATTATCTTCAACTTATAAATTGTATATGGGGAAGTGCAGCCTTCACAAATATGTTTGAGCATCTAATCCCACATAAATGTTATCAATCATCAAAGTGAAATCATATTCACATTCAATCCACGGTCTCTTTTTCCTCCACAACGAAGATCGGGGGTAAGATCTGCGGGCTACACACGCGGACTCGGGCGAGCACGGATGAACAGCTCATCGCTCGCCGTCCACCCCAAAGACACGGCACAGGCCACACACCGTGCCTATCAAGTCCCGAGCAAACCCCGGGTGGGTGGGGTGGGATCAAAAATTCGTGCGTTCACCAAAACTTGAACCGCATCAATCACAAGGTTCAATCTGACATGGAAAAACGCAAGCTTGTGAAATTTCCCACAAACTCAACTTTCACCTGTACAATTTGGAGCCATGCATCAAAGGACCCTCTTGCAGTTCAGCCTCAAATGATGTGAGCACACTATTAAAACTTTTAGCCCGTTTTGTACAAACCAGGGAAATCAAGATGCCTCGCAACATGCTCTCAGCAACTTCCCCTACGCCCTAATCAAATTAGGGCTGTACAATTTATTTGGTTGAAAGAAAAGTCTGCACGCAGAAAATTATCTTCAACTTATAAATTGTATATGGGGAAGTGCAGCCTTCACAAATATGTTTGAGCATCTAATCCCACATAAATGTTATCAATCATCAAAGTGAAATCATATTCACATTCAATCCACGGTCTCTTTTTCCTCCACAACGAAGATCGGGGGTAAGATCTGCGGGCTACACACGCGGACTCGGGCGAGCACGGATGAACAGCTCATCGCTCGCCGTCCACCCCAAAAAGACACGGCACAGGCCACACACACACCGTGTCTATCAAGTCCCGAGCAAACCCCCGACTTCACGACTTGGAGGCACGCACAGACCGGATGAACTCTTCATCCTGTGGAAAAGGTTCCACGCAAGATGCACCAGCCAGCTTCAGTATTTTGAGACCCTCTCCCCTGAAGGAAAGTCTTTTTCATTCATTCCAACGCGTTCACTGACTCAGTGATTCTGCGGGCGCAACACACACAGTTGGTGTGGCCTCTTACGGCGCGCCGGACACCTACCGCCTTCCATGGCGGCTCGGACTATTGCCGCACAAAGAAAAGATTTCTCCGCTGTACATCCCTGGCTGTGGCATTAGATGGTGTCCTACCATCATCTACCAGTTGTAGGGCCGAATTCGCGGCTCCTTTGTCAAAGGCCTCAGCAATCTTCTCAACCTTAGAAAAGTGGGATTGTGGTTTAAGACAGAAGCATCGGTAGTGCCCAGTGTTGGTGTCCCGGCATTCGGGTTTCCCCTGGCTGCGGGATTTGGCGTCCGCCTCCTGTGCTGGCTCCTTCAGCCATTTTCCTGCGCTCCGTGATCTCCCTGAATTTGGACCTCGATCACTATGTTTGACGGGGGTATTGGGACCGTGCAGCTTCCCGGGGCATGTTTTTTTTGCGAGATCACGGTGTAACACGCCCTCTGGAAGACGCTCCAAACCCAACGTGCCTTGTAAAAATACTTTGGCGAGAAGGTCTCACTGCCTCCTCGTTGCATCGATGGCCCGCTGTCGCCGGCAGTGGCTTGTGACTTCTCTCCGGGCGGATTCTTGCACCGATGAGCGTGGTGGCCGCGGACTCCGTGAGGGCCTGCAGCGCTTTGTTGATGTTTGGGCCGGGCTTCGGCATCCAGGGAGACTGTCAGCACGAACGTCGTGGCTCCTGGCCTGTCTTCCTTGACCCCGCCTAGAATGGAATCTCTAAATGACATTTGATAACTTCCCTTATCAGCATTTGGACTGCTTTCTTTACGTGATGAGCAAGCGCGTTGCCCTTCCTGGGCTTCTAAAGCTTCTTTTCCGGATTCCAGCGCGTGTACGACCACGCCATTGGTTCCGCGAAGCATCTTCTTCTAAATGAGCGGCGCCTATGCTGCCTTGTCGCCTTCCATTCTTGCAAGCTCCAGCAGAAGTGCTCCAAGAAGAGCCTGTAGGCTGCAGGTGCACTTGTTTTCTTGGCTCTCCTTCCAAGTGGCCGCAGTCTTGACCAGTTGGGGTATGATGCCCAGCGCTCCAGATCCATCCAGAGAACCCAACTTCTGTCCGCCTCCAGCAGCTGCAGCGCCATCGTGCTGGCTGACGTACTTGGTCAGAACTTGTACTTGCCTTGCCAGGTAAGTTGGGGCCGTAATCGGGCCTTCTGCTGCTGGTTGGCACAGTCTAAAGGCAAAGTCCACAGTGCCGTGTCAGCATGTCAATTACCTCTTTGTCCCAGCTTTAAATGTGTTCTGCCCTTGTGGGTGTCTGGCTTAATTGCCTGGCAAGGAACCTAGCAGTGATGCATGCTCGCACATCTCTGGTGACGGGGGCCGTTTCCGGCGCCCCAACTTGATGCCAAGTTGCCAATGCTTGCATGCCAGATGTGGGGGTGCTTTCTCTTTATGTGCTTCTGAGCCTTTCTTGGCAATCACTGTCCACAGAACCCGCAATGCTGAATAAGACTCCTAGCATGGTCTCTGACGATCTGCGTCTTAGATTCCAACTGTAGTAGCTGCCTTGCCACTTCTGTTCTTCGCAACAGCGGGATCTCAGGATTATGGGCGGAATGTGCCGGTGGTTTCCGAGCAATCAGGTTTCAGGGAGGATGTCTTCAGCGCCCTCCAAGCACTTCCGGTTCCCTCTCTGGGTGCCCGCTAGGGAAGAAGCGACGTTCTGTTGCTTGGCTTCCCGAGCGCGGCGGGGTTGCTGCTGCCAGCCACAGACTTGTTGAGGACGTGATTCCTTAGAGCGTCCCATGAGCCAGTTTTAAGACCGCAATGAATGCACTGTGCCTTGAAAACTCTGCCCCTATGCTGCCTTATTGTCTTGGTTGACGGGAATTCAACTCCATCTTCCGGTCGGTGACGACAGACCAGCTCCTTGTGCTTGGCAACCGCGGCGGAAAGTAACCCCAACGCCGCTCCCCTTGGCAAGCGCGGCGGCGTCTCTGGCACACCTCCCGGTAGTGGGTGCTGGCATCGGTGGCAGCGGCAATGGTGGCAGCGGGGGTGGGTGGTAAGTTGCTGTAGCATATTTTTCCAATACTAAGAGTTTGTGGTTGGTTGATAATACACGGTTCTGCAACTCGAAGTTTTTCAAGTTTGTGCCTAATACGTTGTATCGTAGCATCAATAGGATTTGTCGAAGATGCCACCGCCTTGGCAGAACTTCCTCCCTATCCCTTTGAGCGAATTTGCTACTGTTTCCCGGCCATAACACCTTTTGAAGTTTTCAATCCAAACCTGCACTCTGGCCAAAGCGTTGTACAAATCCCTCCCCGGCTGGTAGGCAAACTGCGGCAGCTGGGGCCGAATCAGCTTAGAAAGTCTCACTTTGAGAAGCTCCGCAAGGGTTTTAGCATCAGGAGACATAAGGCCGATTGGCCAAAGGGATGAGGGTTTCCCGGTTTCGGAAGCCAGACTGTCCACGCGTCGGTCCACTGGAGAGGGAGGGTGATCCCCGGTTGGTGTGAGTGCTGGTCAAAGGCCATCTTCAGTAGCTTTGCAACCTGTAATAATATAGAAAGTAGGCTTATGGGGGGGGTTTTTTTTGAGCCAAAAAAACGCTCCAAAACGCTTTAAAATGGCTCTTTTGAGTGAGAGAGGTGCGAGGAGGTGGTGTTCATTAAAAAAAAAACGCTCAACTTGGCTCCAAAAACACCACCTTCAACCTGAGCAAGGAGAAGGTGTTCATTGCTAAAAAATCGCTCAACTTGGCTCCAAAACAGCACCTTTAACCCAAGCTGTCTTATGGTTTTTTTAAATTCAAAAAACACTCAAAAAACGCTTTCTTCGACCGGAGTAGAATTAGCGCATGTGTTTTTTGGTGGAAAAACGCCTTAACTTGGCTGCAAAAAGGCACCTTCAACCAGAGTACCGGGGAGGCCACGCACAAGCGGACGTGACTTTTGCACACAAAAGCGGACCCAGAATCTGGCCTCGGAACAATTTCCTGCGCAAAGACCCAGAGCACATATGGAAAACCTACTCGGACCTACTCCTGCGGAAAAATACAGCTGGGTTAGCCCCAGCGGTCACTTCTGATTCTCCCTGTGCCATCAGCATCCACCTCCACAACCTCACCTGGCAGCGCTGCAAAGCCGCACGACACACTGCGCCGCTTGCATCTTGCCTATCTGGACGAGCGCCGACCGCATCATGTG